TGTGAGGGTTCAATTCAGTATATAAACAGAAGAACTGTAGTCAGTCAGGGAGAAATACAGCAAATGTTGCAATTAATATTTAGATAAAAAATTCAAGATTTACAGAGAAACATAACTCTTAGAATTTGACCGGTTTTTTAAAACTGTGCAACCGGCCTAGATCCGCGCTTGAAACTATAGCAAATTTTTAGCTAAAAATGCAATTCTGTGCTAAACAAAAATATCAAGAAATCGTTTGATTCGTCACTATTTATTTTGGACGATTCACCACTCTGATCTGACATACAATTCTCAAGGAAAGGAGTCTTTTGATTTCCAGCAAGGTTCGCGATTCTTTAAAAGCAGCTTAATCATTGAAGTCGCATCTGACTATTCTTTTGCTGAATAGCTGTATGCATTGAATAGAAGACATAGTGATTCATTGGAAAATGAAGCCCGAAGTCTTCTTTCTCTTTTGTTTTTTTTATTTAATGCATGAGGAATTCCTCCCTTGAATGGAAATTTGCATACAAATAAGGAATTTCAAACATAAGAGGGTGTGGGAAATCTGAAGTGTTTGCTTTGAGCCGCGCACACCTATTCTCAAAACGAATCCACCTCTGTCTTCTACTACTTGAAGTGGCAACATTGATTGAAATACCAAGGTGGATAGCTTATAGCAATCTTGTTATGTGCGTGGTTTGATATTTCTCAACATTTCTTTGTCGTTGTCATTTCCATTTGGTCCTTGTATAAGTCAAAATAAAGCAGATATAAAGTCCATCGTAACATTTACATTGATGATTCACAGTGTTTATTTTCATGCAATTCAGGCAAAATGGGGAGCACGACAAAGCGGCTCGATGGCTGAACCTATTTTACACTTAGTTGACCTTCTACCCAGTTTATCTTGCGGTCTACTTGGATTTTCAACCACCCCCCCCCCCTCCCTCCCTAGCAAATGCTCTTCGTTTTTAAATTCTCAAGGCAGTTGAAAATCAGAAGCAAACTAAAAATCTGTTGACTAATAGAGTATATTTTTTATCAACGTCAAATCGCTGTTGCTAAAGAATTATATTGCTTTTTAGATTCGGGCTTAAAATAAAGTTTCCTGCAAAAACTTGTTTAGTTTGTTCTTCAATACAGGCCAGCAGATTTGAGTGAAAAGTAAATGTTCATTTAAATTATGAAAAGAGCACGTAGCTCCGAAGAAGCTGGCCAAGTGAAGAGAGGAAAACTTTTACAGCAGATACTAACGGCTTCGCATTTAAGCTCCAGCATTTTTTAGTAGCCCTCAAAGGAAAATTAATAATGGTCTGGTGATACTGAAAAGCCTCCACGTTTATCCTAAAATGTGGGATTAATGCTCTCGATGACCTCCAATTATGGCAGACAAAGAAATTCACAGACAATGAAATGTTACAAAATTTCACTTAAAAACCTACGATCTTCAAAATTTGGCAAAAGTCTATGGGCATTTTAATGGTATTTTGTGGTGTTCTTGGTTATTTTCTCTACATTCGAAAATTCTAAAGGTAAATTTTTTAGACATCATCTTGTAAAGAAGATCATACTTGCAAAAAGATCTAGAGATCGTTGAAATTGGAGAATTTCCAGATTTCGTTTGGAAACCGTTGAATTTTAAATCAATATAAATACGAGCAGCAAACATTTCATTTTGGCTTGAGATATGAGTGGTATATTGACTTTGCGGAATTTCCTTAGATTATCTTATTACACGCAGTTTTACACACAGAATTAGTACACCTTTTGTGTGACAAATAACAAGAAACTAATCAACGGAGATTTCCTAAAATCACCTTTAAAAGGGCCTAATCATGACCTAACAAGCAAATGCAAATTGTAAAGGGGTAAGGACATCTAAAGCAGGAAACTTAATTCAAAATAAGTAAATTCCCACTATGTAAAGAAGCACTTTCGTTTGGTATTTGCAATCGAGTTGTCTGTAGTGTTTATATACTGCGTCGGCGAAATTTCTTAACGTGTGAATTAAGCAGATGTACCGACGTTTTGCAAGTAAATAAAAGCAACGGATCTCAAATTGCAGTTTGTACTTCAATAGCATACGGTGGTGGCTCGTCTTGTGCTCTTTGGTAAGTCACTTCATTTTAGATCAAAAATTTTATTAGTAGCTTCACTTTAATTTTTAAAAAATAAAACTCCTAATTTGTCTCAGGTACAGCAAATGACGGTAATATATAAAAAGGGATATGCAAGAAGCTGCAGCCTGCCAACAAAAGGGATATTTTCGCTTTATGAGAAACTACACTTTACTTTCTTTATCTGAAAACGATTTATAAGAATATCCAAGCTCGAAATAAGAGCAGTGCAAAAACATGCTAAGTCTCAGATAAAAAGTTAATAGAAATAATCATTTTGTTTTTTAACATTTTCTCTCATTTTATGAAAGCATGGCAACTAGCTCATAAGCTGTACTACTAGAAATTTAATGCAAAACTCTTTTTGGCGGTCTTGGAAACAGTTTTGTTCGATAGCTTTAGAAAGGTCAATGTTGAAATATGAACAACATTAAAAACAAACAAGCCTCAAGGTATCTAAAAATGTTAACATTCAGCATTCGCAGCCTGATTTTTTTCATTTTTTTAATAATGATATGATATTAAGAAAAATTATCTTTACAAACAAACAACAGTCTTGAAAAATTAGTCTTAACATTATAAAGATGCTTTTCGACAAAATTACCTCTTACAAATACGCTTTTGAAAATGCGAAAGTGTCTCTAGTGCATTTAAATGCCAATTATTTAGTCTTTCAGTGATAGAAAATATGCATTGCATAGACACAACTTAGCTTTTTCGTGTACTTTCTCGCGCGCGACAAAAAATAAGATTTTTTTGTAAAGGAAAATCCCTTCAAGGAATCTTGGGTTTGGTCAATAAAATCCTGAGTGTTTTCTGCAAAAGAAAGACGGAGCTTTTATATGCTTATGTTTCCAGCAAGCTAAATAATGGACTGTAACTAGCTACGTGAATTCTACATAAATCTATGCAAAATTACTGTGTTTCAAAGTAATTACACCTTCGTTATCCTTACTTTTCAACTTGAATAAACAACGACCAGCAAACACGAATGATCTAAATAAAAATATTTGCAACAGTCCAGCTGACATTTGCACCTCGTTCTTTGAAATTTTGCTGTATATGGCTAATCTTTCTTTGGATATTTGGTAGTAATCAAACGAGAAATAATTCTAAAGTCCCGTTTATGGCTGTAAGTAAGTTGCCTTTTATCTACATTTTTCAATTTTTTTCTGTTCTTGGTATATCATTTTACGTGCACGCCTGTTTTATTAACCTTTGATTGGTCTATCGAGTTTGTTTGTTGCCTTTTTTATCTCATTAAGTCCACAATCGATTAGATGTCAACTAATCACACAATTTGATGTGCATCTTTTTAGGCCAATAGTATAAATTTTGCTGTGCTAGTAGCAAAAAGGTGTAAGAAATAGCTTTAGCTCACAACAGGCCAAAGCTTGACCTATCACCTCAAACTCTTCTGCTAGTGAGAAAAAATGATTGCGGAATAAAAAGAGAACCGTTCCACCAACACAATTAACACATCCCCGCTGGGTAGAAGCTTTTTATTTTTCATCGGTCTCGAGCATCGTCCTTTCCTGCGCTCGCAGAATTATATTTAACAAGCAAAATGACAATAAATATGTCTAGAATACAAAAGACATTGCAGTTACTCTTTCAAAGCTATTCTTTCGATTGTATAACAAACTTCACTTTTCCCCGTCTAAAAAGAAGGAAAATGAAGAATTTTCTTCATGCACCGCAGTTGACCAATCAATTAATGTAGTCCTGACATAGACCTATTCCCGTGTGTAGTTACATACAGTTTTAATGCTGAAATTAAGAACTCTTCTATTGGAATTCTTTTGAAAACCAAAAGTGTTTGCGTATGATGAATTTTTTAACGACTAATAATGTTTTTAAAATGCCTAGTAGAAAGAAGCGAAATATCTGCTGCATTCTACCTCCAGTTTATGTTAGAAACACCTAAAATGAAGAACTTTATTCAAAGAGTTCATTTTGTTATACGACAGAATTGATAATATTAAAACAATGATGTTCATAGTCGGCCTTTGAATTATAGCAACTTGGAATAACACACCATCGACATTCGATTTATCTTAAGGTTGAGGTTTTGGAAAATGACTCATGATACAACACTTATCGATATAAACACGTTTCTGGTTTTGCGCTACTGACCTGATTTTCATAGATAAAAATTGACATCAGATAGAAAAAAAACTTCAGACACTTCAAAACATTTCTTCACAGAGGTATGAAATAACAGGTGATGACAAAATTGTGAGTATACATCGATATTTGATTTCTTACTCAAAAATAACGCGAGGAAAAATGGCATGTTTGATTGGTTAGCATAAGGTACTGTTACACCTGGTCCTGTTGAAAAATTTATTTGGTAAAAACGTACTTATAAGCGATCCTTTGAACTTCTATGGCTTGAATCAGCATTGCTTTGGTACATAAGTGTTACTAGTTTTTATTATCTATGGTGATCTATGGTGATTTTTCGTTAAATTGCGGGCAGGAAATGGGCCAGTTAAGTTTTCTTTCTATCCATATAGGGAGGGGAAGGGGACTTTAAGGCAACACATGAAATCTAATGTGAATTCTTTATAAAAGCAAAAGATAAAATATCCGTAAAAAATTTTTGGTCAATAAAATTTAATTGAAATGTTACATAGAAACGTTACTCACATAGAAAATTTTATGTTAATCATTGTTAGTCATGACTTTTCGTTATGTAGGAGGTTGTGGGTGAGCAAAACCTTGAGATTTTGCTATGAAGGAGCGTGGTTTAATGTTATCATCCCACTGCTAAATCGAAAGATTAAGGAAGCCATCCAAAATTCATTGCTCGTTGGACTATAAACCACTAAACATTCATCAAAATGCCTTTGTTTGAAGGCTGACCAACGCAGAGTCAGTTATTTGTTATTTACCTGTTCTGTATTATATTTTTGAGATTGAAATTTAAGATGTAAATACAGTGAATCAGCCTTTACTGAAATCAAATATTGGTGAGAGGGTCTGAAACAGAGTAACTACTTCGTATTGCAGAGATTTCAGTGCAGAGAGGTAGAAAACGGTAAGAGTTTAAGATAACCGTGATAAAAATTACGTTTAATTTCTTGTTAAATGAGCATGATATACATTATTTGTCATGCTAAGTACGATGAATGATCTACGAAATAGGAAATCTACAGAGATTCGTTAGTGCTCGCAATTATATTCGCTTTTTGTGTTATTCATGTCATACGGAGTAACGAGACTATGAACAGAGATTTCTTGGTAAAACTCGGTCTTGGACTCAAGAGGTGGACTGGTTTATTTTTTCAATCTTGCTTCGTGGTAAATTTTGTAAGATGCATTTTTGAGGTCCTCTACCAGATCTTTTGTCTCCTTCTTGAATGGGCTTGGCTCAAAATAGAAACGATAATTTACCACTTTTAACTAGGATTTACAAGGCTACGATTTTATGTAGCTACAGATTTACCAAAATTTGTTTAACAAATCAGACAAAATTTTGCCATTTTTATTTTAAAATTTTATCTTTTCAAATTTCCTTTCTATTTTACAGAGCTGCTTGTAAAACTGTTTCATCTTAACATTTACTAGCAATTTTTTTCAAAGGGGTTAGCATCGTACCAAAATAGCGAAAACATGTAGAAAAAGCAATACAAGCTCAGAGAGACCAGCAAAACTAGAATGGGCAGGACATGTAAACGTAGCAGCTAGAGGGGAGGCTCAGCCAAGCTTCTAACTCATTGGCCACGGTCCAAGGACCAGTTAATCAACCACTAAATTGATCCTTTTCCGGGTCACCAAAAGTACCAGCAAAGTGGAACTGGCTTACGTGCCATAGAGGAGGACCTAGCGTCTTTTTGCGATATTTTTACGATGATTTTGCGCAATATTTGTATCGTATTAGTCATTTTATTCACTTTTCGTCATAAAAGCTCAAGATGACACCTTAATTCATTTTTCGTCATAATGTTTTCGTACAAAGACATCATGCACGAAAATCGCCGTCTTCTAAGTGACCCATAGCTTCCTATTGTATAATCAAATTAGATTTCAGTTTATAAAATTAAATCAATCCTCTCAAATGTTCTAAACGTGTGGCCATAAGATCCAACATTCTCTTGCAGTTTTGATCAAAGCAAAACCCAAAAGTGACGATTGTCTTCGCCTACAATTTCGAATGGCTCCATCTTCGGTTGAAGTTCTTTTCCTGTTGGCCTTTGCATGTGGTAAGTCAGTAATTAGTATGAGTTTGATAAGCCAGGTGAGTCAGTTACTTTTCCGCTTAGCTCCCCCTTTGTTGACCATTTGCAGCTGGGTTGGAAGAAAGGAAGAATCTAGACAGAGTTTGTACTGACAACTTTAAATGGTGCAGGCAAGCACTCCAAACCACTTAGCAACTTCGCTTCTGTTACTTAAATTTGCAAACCTCTAATAAAGATTACGGTAATGTATATTGTTAGCAGGGACCACAAAAGCGGGGAGGGCCTGAGAGGAGCCTGGGAGCGAGGGGCATTTGTATGCCTTAAAAACCATACAAAAATTGTCTTGCGCTTGGTTTTAAGCAAATCCGTAATATGTTCCACGGTCCTTGGCTGTTCGGTGATTCTTGAATGCCTGCATGCCCTTGAAGGCTGAAATATTCAATCGATCTCTTTCTGATAAAACATTTCCCTTCCTTACGAAAATGGCTAATGTGTGCCCTATTTTCAAAAAAAGTCTTTCATCTAGTAAAGAGAATTATAGACCAATAAGTGTGCTCCCCTCAGCTCAAAGATATTTGAGAGAATAATGTTCAATCAAATCTACAATTACACCAGTGTTAAACTGTTCCCTTTGCTTTGTGGATTCAGAAAAGGTTATTGAAAGCATACAACACGCTTTATCACGACTTATTGAAGGCCTGTAAAAGTGCCTGGATAAAAAAGATCTGGCTGGTGCAGTGCTTATGGATCTATCAAAAGCATTTGATTGTTTACCCCATATACTTCGACTAGCCAAATTGAAATCTTATGGCTTCAGCGACAATGCAATGGAATTCGTGTATAGTTTTCTAGATAAAAGAATACAACGAGTAAAAATAAACTCAGATTTTAGTGATTGAATGGAAACAAAGCAAGGAGTTCCTCAAGGATCAATCTTAGGCCTGTTGCTTTTCAATATTTACATGAACTATATTTTTCTGCATTTGAACAAAAGCAACTTATGCAACTATGCAGATGACAATACAATTTGACTGTCAAGTACTGATATGAATGAACTAACTGACGACTTAGAATCGGAAGCAGCTTTTCTTAATGAATGGTTTTATAAACATTTTTTGGTGCTCAATGGCGATAAAAGCAAGCTTATAACATTTAAAGCCAATCGATCCAATTTAGAGGAATCTAAAATTCAAACAAATGGTTCTGCTATAATAGAAAGCTCATGATGATTATGAATAAACTTCTGAACAACTTTTGATAAAGAATAAAACAATAACTTCTCATAAGAAAAATTTACAATATCTTGCGATAGAAATTTACAGAATATTTAACGGTTTGAATCCAACTTTTATGGATGAAATATTTTCTATAAATGAATGCCCATATTACTTAAGAAACACCCAATGCATAACACCGGAGCAAAATTACAAAATATATGGATTTAATACCGTATCGTGCAGATTTAGCCAAATATGGAACTCAGTTCCAAATGAGATAAAGTACTCCCCTACTTTGCAAATATTCAAGAAAAAAATGCTGCGACCTCGATGCAGCGAGGAGGCTCAAAGAACTCAAATCGAAGTTCGCCAAGTTTTCTCCAAACATAACTCTCTAAACAAAGAGTGACAATCTCTCTTCAATATATATTTGGACTAAGTATCCTTGAGCGCCACAGAACAGGAATTTGCAAAGCGAATGGCCATTCATTTTGGTATTTGGAATTTTCGTCCGACATCCTCTTTCGTGCACAGCTCTGTGTCTTTCAGTGACTAAATAAAAGTTGATTTTGATGTTGAGCATTCGTGTTAAATCACTTAGAATCGGTATAAAGCAAAATAGTGCCCTGTTTCTCGACTAGATGTCCCTCCGCTTCTCCGCTCCACTCTTCTACAGCTACACTAGCATAATTTGGATCTTAAACACGGATCATACAGAATAGTCAGACTTATGCGAAGTTCAACTTACACGTCAGTCGGATCTTTCCGACTTACACAATGTTTGAAACATTTTAAATCGATAAACCCCATGAAGCATATAACATATATCACAGCTGAATTAATGAAGTTATGAAATTACTTTGTCCGAGCTATGCGTTTAGTTTTGTGAACCCCGTGCCTTTATTTTTTTGTCATTTTATATCCCACGCCAAAATTTGTCTTAATACTCCCTCTGTGGAATTTGGAAGAAACTCCACTATTTACTTTTAGAACTCTTGTGTTATTCTGCATAGTTGAGGACGTTTCCGTATTGCATCGGTTTCGAGTGCCTCCCTACAGAAGATAAAAATCTCTAGACATGTCTAAATATATTTGCGTAAACCTTCCCACAAGACATATGTCTTGCCTCACCTAGAGAAAAATTGGATGCGTTCACCTTCTTCTATTTCATCTTCTTTGCATGTTTTGTTTGAGATGTTACCTGTCTTCTTTATCCTAAAATTTATGTCTGCAAGCATTTTCAAATCACTCAACCGACAATTCTGAACCAAATAAAGTTTCTTTTTTGTTTGCTGTTAACTCCTGATCAAACATGTAACATAAATTTTCTTGATTTCGTTTACAATCTGATCTTGACTGGTGATTCTCATGTAAATAACTTTGTAACGTTTTAAAACATACATGAAGCTTTTTATCTTACACTCTTCGGAGTATAAAATGTCAAAATAATGATAAGAGAAAATTGTTGCGATCGCTGATTTATTAAGAACAAGGAGCTAGTTAAACGTGTCTTCCTTCCTTTCGCGTGATTTTTGATCCACATCTGGGCATAAATTTTCAGCTTACTTTCAATTATCCGACGTTTATACTCTGAACGGTGTTGGACGAAAAGTCCTGAAGTATACCATGTTTTCGCTAATTTGTGCCATCTTCAAATTTGAAAGTACTGCAACTTAACTACGAGTACCATTAATGAAAACGTGTAATAGTTATCAAGCATTTTTATATCGAGATGCTAAATTTTGGATCCTCTTGGATTCGGAAGTCAAGCAGGCATTCTCTTTTAAGTAATTTAAAGATGCTTTAAAAGAAATGATGTTTTTAGTTATTTATAATTTGTTATAATTTTAGTTTAGCTAAGGGCTCTTGACTGACGAGATTACCCTGGTTAAAATGTTAACTTGAGTTGAGCACACTTTTTTTAATGAATGGGCACTCTACCTTAAAGAAGATTTTTGCTTATTCATTGAAACAAGGATTTGTAAATAAAGAGTATGTTTGCATTATTTTTTGTTCTTATTATCAAAAACATGAAAAAGTAAACAAACCAGAGCAATTTGCATATCTTCCTGAAAAAGAATTCATTCGAATCCTGTCTGTTTAGATTATATATCAACGTCCTTTTCCTAACAAAATCTGCAAGCATGAAGCACATGTTTACAACCACCTCACACTTAATCAACAAGCTATTATCATCAAATTCCTGATTAAAGTTTGTGCCGTTTCTTTCAGCCGACGTTTTACCGAATTACTATCCAAATAAACGTGGCATCCGGTTTAAAATTGCCGTGCTAGTAATAATATGCGAACTACAAAATAAATAAGAGATGCCGTAGTTACTCAAATGAAAGCACTTGCGCATTTGGATAGAATGGTCTTGCCAAGTTTATTAGTATTTTTAAGTCAACATAAAAAAGCTTTGTTGATGCGGGTATGTTTGGGTATGAGAAAGCCGAAAATAAACCAAACGGGTAAGAAATTTAATCTGCTATATCAAGCGCATATTTAAACAGGCAAAAATTTTATCTAATTAGAAGAACATTTCCTTCTAATATTCTTCTCATTTAGGGAACCTATTTTAGTGTTTAACCTAATTTAAAAAGTTTCATGACAAATTGGCTTTCATCTTGCTCGTAACTCGTAAGGAAAGATAAAGAGTTTTGAAGATTAAATGATGACAAGACAACGAGTTGCAAATGATAACAACAGTAAACGTTCTGCTATGCACAGTGTCGTTTCGAACTGTGTCGAATTCAGTATGATTTGACAGAAAATAGATTGAATTTTTAGTCAAGCATTTGCAGTTTTATTATTGAAACAATTTTGGATATGCTTTCGTCAGTTGTTCTCAAGACAACCTTCAGTTGCATACTAGCTTTAACTAGGCATGTAGCAGAGCATTCATCAAATTAAGTGTTCAAATAAAAGTACAAGAAAAAGGAATAACAGTCAATCAAGCAATTTGTATCACCACTGTTTACTTTTGCAGACACCTTGTCTAGGCTTTATTCAATGACATTTTATACCTCTCCAGTTTTTGTCATTTTGCACACAAGATAAGGTCCTAGATATCTGGAGAACTGAGAAAATCGAGTCTTCTTGTGCTCTTAAAAAAGATATTACAGTCACTGTTAAAATTCTAATATAAACTTGCTATCGATGATAAGTATAGGTATATCAGAAGCCTGCATAAATGAGGTAGCTTACTATAAGCTTTTTGACTGAAACTTGGCCTTGTGGATTGCATCAGTAATCCCTTTTCGCAAATTTAAAGTTAGCAAACATCATTTTTAGAAGGAAGGAAATAATGAGAATTGTTATTGAAAAATATTGGAGTTGAAAAGTCTAAGAAAGTCAAAGAAACTTCAGGTGCGTCACATTTTTAACAGGTCTTACTGCTGTCAGAGCTGACTGCAATACCATTGCGTGTTTCAGCAGGGATACAAATCTTTTCATCAGAAGAAGATGACAAAAGACAATCTTTTCAGCAGAAGAAAAAGACAAAAGACAATGTTTTCATTCAAAAGACAAAAGACATACGACAATCATAGTTTGATTCTTTCTGCTAGTGCTTGTTCTTTTTAAGCACCGCTTGCGAAGAAAAACCTGAAATTTTATGACAGCTACAAAATATTTTTAAGAATTAAATCTAACGTTTTCAAAGAAATTAACTTTGCTAGAAGAACTTCTACTAGAAATTAAAAGTATTTTCTAAGGTATTTTTAAGGACGAATTCTTTTGGTTTTTCATTTAGATCTAGCAACCTTTCTTTGAGTCGTGTTCATGGAGATTGCATAAGCCAAAATGGAATGACAATCATATAAAGTAGTTTGTCTTTAATTGCAGAACAGCCGGGGTCTTACACAAATCAATAACCAGTTTGTTTTCAAAGCATTCAGAGCATTGCTGTTCTGCAGAAGCTGCCTGTTCTGCATAATCGCGTTCCTCGGCTAGGTGACTTGAGCTGTGCATGGAACCACGGCAAAGCAGTCGAATTTTCGTGCACACGAATTTTGTTTAAAATGATTACCTCTCTCCTCTGCTTTGGAATAATAATCGGTAAGTAAGTTCCACCTGTGTCTCAGGTAGTTATGTTGCATTTTCTACATTGCTTAAGAATCAAATAGCTCATTAAGAAGAACGTTCTTCCTCGATGATAGGTATTGGCAACAGCTTGGGATGCCTTGATTTGTTTGCTGTTGAATGATTAAACAGGGACATAAAAATTAATTTGTGATATTTCTATATACAAATGCAGATTTCGACAAAACTTTTGCGTTCTCTTTGCCACAGATATAAATTCTTCCTTTAGATAGATTTGTGTCGTTCACAATCTTCGACAGTATGTATGTTGCTTTTTTGCCAACAGATTGTTAGTCTAACAGTCAAAAATCCTTCAAAAAGTTTTGCTGAGGAGTCTGATGTCTAACTTTCCAGCTTTGGACAGATGTTGCAGTGCAAGTTATAGGGCAAAAAATTGCTCCCTCAGAAAAACTGCCATCAGTTGCAAAACTAGGTTTTGTCATCAAGCAAAAGAAAGTTAGCCAAGGAAAAAACACTGCTTTACCCTAGTTATTTAGCTTCAAAGCGCCATGAGCCAACAAGACTTCCTACAATTGCGCGTGAGCCTGGAAAAAGAAAGCAAGAACGAGATGAAACCCGTCCGAAAGCTTGTTAATGATCAGCAATGCATTTTGTGAGCCACCTACCAGGAACTGGGCCCCCTTAAACAATCTTTATGGTAGCCACGCCCTTTATACGATAAAACGCATCCTGGTAGATGCAATTACTGTAGCTTTCGATAATTATAAAACAAGATTATATAATAATAGAAACTTTGAAAGAAGAAGCTTTCGATAATTATAAAACAAGATTGTATAGTAATAGAAAGAAATAATGTTGTTTAACTAAATTTTGGTAGTGTTTCGAGTTTCTAAACCTATCCCATAGATGCCAAGGAACTAAACCTACACAATACGGCATTAATAGATAATAAATTGTAGGTTCAGATATAGTTTCTGTTTTTAATCATGGGTTGGCATTAAATAAATTTTTTGGGAATGCTCTTAGAGACTAAGCTTCTTTGCATAAGAAGACACGAGCCCAAGAAGACACGAATCCTTCGAATCAATGCAATGTTCATGATGCTAAAAGTATAGAAAAAAGATTTTGAAGATCTCTGTTATTAAATATCAAACAATCTTTTGGTGGTACAAAACTTAAAAATGGCGTTGAAAAAAGTAAACATTTGAGTATACTGAAGCTTCCGTCTGACACTGTTCATAGTATAAAATGTCAGAACATAGACAGAAAACTCAAATGTTATGAAAGCTCAGGATACTCAAATGTTTTGATTTCTCCAAAGCCATCTCTGGTTTAGAGATCTTGATTATAAAGATCTCTGATTTTGATTGAGAAGGTAATGTTACAAACAAGGCTCGATTATTGAATTGAAAAGGCACCATAAGAAGCTCTTTGACGAAGAGCTAAGGTATTCCCATGAATACAGTTAGAAAATTGGAAGGGCCTGACAACATACTGTTCTCGAGCTCCCAGTTTGTTTCCCTTAAATTAAGCCTCCTCTGATACAATTCTTGGATGCGTGCCTACAGTGTTATAGCACGCAATAGTGTTGAGATAAATATGGATAAAGAAGCCTTCAGAAAGAAATTGCATAGCACGCCCTTTTTCACTGACTCGCAAATTTCTATAGTATTAAGCCTTGATATGCGCATATTTCTTTTTCAGTCAGTGGATTCGCTGATAAGATTAAAAGAGATGGATTTATGAAGGTAACTGAATTACTATATGTCCATGTGATTGACGTCAATGCATTTCTGGTAGTATGAGAAAGTATCTATAGCAACAACGAAGGCAGCTTTTTTCATGTACTTAGCTAGAAACATGCTTGTTTTCTTTATTTAGAATTGAATTTAGATTTCTAGCAGAGAAAAATATCTTTTAAGTTGCATATAACTTGCTTTCCAAGCAAAAGTTGGTGGTTTCTTTGTGTATTCGTCATTGTTCATTTCTACTTCAACCAGTTATGTGTATGCATACGCAATTTGTTTACAAACATAGCTAATTCCTTCAAGCGTTGCCAGACTTTCGCTTTTTTGTTCTATTCCAGCATGCAATAATTCTATACATACTTCGGTATTAAGTTTGATGGTCCAAAGATTGAAATATTTTCAAAAAACTAAATTATTATCTAGAAACATTTTTATTATCATGCATTTCTGTAATAATACGGCAACCTCTTCTAAGTTTCATCAGACTTATTATGATTTAATCAGAAAATTTGTTGCGACTTGATGAAAGTCATGTTTAACATGCCTTTTCGTTTCTGTTAAACTTTAAATGCTCCTCACCGATCTGAAACAAAACTCGACACGACAAACAATGTTCATTCACAGAGTCGTATGCCATTCCATGTTCATACTGTATGCATGGAATTCTTTAATACACACATAAAAATTGAAAGTAACTGCAATTTGCCAAAGAAATTCTTTTATATCCTTTTGCAACATAAAACTTGTATTTTTACCTTTACGATAATCAAGATAATATAATTCCTAGACATGTTTGCAAGCTCTTCAATTAGGTCATGGTGAAAAAATCTGAACTGTTATTAAAACAGAAGCTAGCCAAGTGATGACATCATAGAAATCTTGTCAATTTTTTTTAATTTTGACAACTACTTAAAATCACACGATTTAAAATTCTCTTACCATGCAAAATCAATTTAACCTGTTGAGAATTTGCTGAGATATCGCTAGTGAAAGACTTATTTTCTTAAATCTGATGTTCCTTTGGCCGGACACTTAGATTTAAGATCGTAGCCATATTTCAGACATTTCGCAAAAGAATCAGCTGACTTTTTTGTTTTAGAGGAACTTGATGTTGTTTTTCAGATCCTGTGATCCAAATTCAAAGTTTTATGATCTTTAATTAGCTTTGCTTTCTTCAAAAGTCATGCAGTCTTTGATTATGGTTGATTATGGTTTTGCTGTTCTATGTAAATCATTCTACATTTCACACTGTTTTTACTATAGGAAATTCACCACAACTTTGCAAATGATGAGCTACATAGAGTATTTGGAACAGAGGATTTGTCTCAAGGTATATTTCCGTATGTCAAGCAATCTTTAAGTTGTTACTCTTTATTTATCATCATCAAAAGACGGTCATTCTATTGTACTTAGCACAAAATTTGTTTTCCAACATGCAGATATTTCAACAAGTGCATAATAGTTGCTTACACTGTTGACTGGACACGGCAATAGCTTTGTTGCTCAAGCTCCGAATCCTGTTGGACGAGATTGCTAAAGAGTGTGGGGAAGTTCTAATTCGTTTCAAAGATAATTGAAAATATTTCCAGTTCTTCAACAGCGATTGTTATTTAAAAGAAATCTTTGCTTTTCGTTTCTTTCATAAAATGTACTTTCTTGTTATTTACACAATTGATCACAGCAGTACAGCGTTTGCTAACTTGCAACATTCTACTTTCTACATCGCCAGATGCAAGATACCTTAACGTCAAAAATACACTAGCGCCATTTGATTCACCCATTCTAGTTTCTTCCGACAAACTGTTTGCTGGTATTCTCTCAAAGTTGTGTTTAAAAGAGAGGTACCACAAGCGTCCTACACCTAAATTAGTAAGCAAACTTCTTTCGACAGCGCACATGGAAAGCAACATGGCACGAGTGCCAGAAAGTATCAAATTTGACAGTTATTTTTCTCTATCAGCGATAAAAGAATATTCCAGCATCTTTACCTCTCGCATAAGGAAGTAATTTTCCTGAGCGAAATACCACGAAAGACAATTTGCTTAAAAATATTTTCTTTCATGTACACCTTGAATAATGCTACAATCCTTAGAAATATATTTGCTCTACGAAAGATATATAAAAGATCAACAGATAAAGTGAAAACAAATAATGCAGGTCCGAAACTTTAGATAACTAATCTTTTAAGCATCTTTGTCAACATCGTAAGTGAAAAAGCCATCAAGTTCACATCGCTTGCTTTTCGTACTTATTCATGTATAAGCAGTGTCTGTCGTTGCTACGAAAACATTCTTATCGTTATCCGGACATGGAGAATCCATGTTACTTGGCATCTTGAAAGCAAAGGTGCCCATTCGATATTTATCTCAAAATTTAAGCCCGTACTACGATGTTTCATGCATGCTGCATTTGTATTTCAGGAAAATTATGATGTTTATACTGTTTTCTATTAATAAGTTGGCCTGCTTTGCAAAATAATGCAACACAGTATTGATCGTGCCACAAACCATTCAAGAGTCACAGTCAAATGTTTCTCAATTTCACAGCAAATAAGAATGAAAACTTTTGTAGCAAAGATTGCATTTTTTAGATCCTACCAATCTTGATTGAATTAAGTTATATTACAGTTCGTTGCAAAATATAATATCACGTTACATTTCTTGACATTAGCTTTCACGAAATTACATTACACGTGATTTATAATTGCATTTTCTGTCATTTGCTGCAAGACCTTTCTTAAAGTGAAAATAGTTTACCAAACAGTTCCATTCTTTCCACCTATTAACAAATTCAGTGAAGAATAAAATAAAAGATGACTTATTTTGGTTAAGCTGGCATCTACTGCTAACATTGGGCAAAAACTCTTAAATTTTCTTAAAAGTATGTTTCTTACAGTTCCAGATTATCAGGTTGTTCATCCATATACTGTCGATCACAATGCAGAAAGAAGCTCGAGAGCCCGTAGAAGTCTCCACCCTTCAGAACCCATGTTTGTTCACTTCAAAGCCTTTGGATTGGACTTCCACATTAACATAACAATGAACAAGGACATTGCAACTGAAAATCACTTCTTCGAGCACCACACAGAAAATGGGATCGAAAGACTAAAAGGCAGAGCAAATACACTCAGTAAAGGAAAAGTTGTCTCAGATGATCTTTCCAATGTTGCATTGGACCATACCTCTGGGCTGGTTTGTAAACTTTGCTGTAAATCAAAACGATTGGCCAATCAAGAAGCGTGACACCTTCCAGACGCTAACTGATTGGCCAATGGTTGATTGACAACATGGCTTAAGCCAACTTAGTATATGTACCTTTTAAGTTAGAGACATTGAGTCCTGGTAAATAGGAATTCTCTCAAGGGGTTATTTGCTTTCAGCGTGATCGCTGTAGTTCTATGTGATATCAGTATCCGTTGTTGACAGCTTGCTATTGATGGAAGCTGTTTTGTAAATCAGTACGAGGCGAGTCCATGTGATCAGCTCTAGGTAAACCAATAGCACTGCAGCACGAAAATAATGACTCAGCGTATTTTGGTATAACTTTCCTTTTATCATGACTTAATACCCTTTACTTTTAAACAATCCTTTCAACGTAAAGCATATTTCTAGATAAGTTATTATATGTTAATGAAAAATTTTACCTTGCGCTTTTATTTTGGTTTGGAGTGAATCTATTTGCTATTATTGAGATACTTTTTTATCTTCTTTTGTAGTGTGGTTTCAGTTTTCATTTAGTGTGTAAGCTAGGTTTGATCCGCAGTAATGAATGTTAGAAAATATAATTTTCATTTTCTTCTTTGATGTGAACTGTCTCGGGTTTGTTCAATGTTAGTCTAGAGTTTAGAATGCTATATTAGAATTTCAATTATTATCAACGTTTCATCAAACAAATTTTTGTATCAAATACGATTCTGAACATGGCTAGATAAAGTTTAGCGATTCTTAAAAACCAAACGGTAGATTTCTTGGCTTTAGATCGACATAGATTGATCAATTCAGTTTCATCTTCAGCTTTGATTCCCTTAAAGATTATTAGTATAACAGACCCGACTCTGCCTCTATGATTTTAGCTTTGAATTTTCTCCTTCTCCTCAGAGCGGGATGATCATAAGAGATGATGACATTTACATAATCACGCCAGTGCCAAAAAGGCATGTTGGAGTCAGCAAAGCCAGCGATTCTCATGGTGCTCATATAATATATAAGCGATCTGCTTTGCCATTGACACATCCAGAACATACCCAGTCTTGTGGTTTTGCAGGTGAGTTGGTTATCGGTTAGGACACTTGCATAAAATAATACGAAAAACGAGAACTATAACTGTTAGCCATTACCGTTTGTGATTCTCCTGGGAGTTTGCTCTGCTCGAGCAGAGACATCAAAGCACGTGAGGGTGGCATTTGATGCAAAGGGCTCAATATCAGAATGCAATAGGTGTGTATCAAACATGATTATTTTTGCAAGACAATCATAGTTGCTACTAAGCATTGGTATTCTCAGTGTTAACACAATTCAATCATTTTCTAGAGCAATTGCAAAGCCTGAGGACATCGTTGAAACGAAAGCGGCGCTCAACATCATCTAAGCCTGAGAAGACGATGGAATTACTTGTTGCAGCAGACAAAAATAGCATAAAATATCACGGAAAAGATTTTCTTCATTCGTACCTCCTCTCCATGGCAAACATTGTGAGTGGAATTATCTTCATCTTCATTTTCGTCATCTTTCAATTATACTTCAAACCGGGTTATCGTGTTTTAGATGATAAATATAGGTAATTTAAAGGTACAATGTCCCGTTAGTCAACCATGCAGAATTTACCATAGTATGTGCAGTGCGATTATGATTAAAAAACGTTGAGAGTTAGTCGTCCAGAACAATGTCTTTATCAGTGAATTAAAGACAGAAGTGAGAAAAAATCAATTTTATTTGAATTTATTCACTATCAAGCATGTTCGAAAATCGTTTCCCAATTTATCATCGATCATTTCATACCATTGCATACATCGGACTTCTTTCCAAAGCTCCATTTTTAAGCAAAGGAGCTGTCTGTTACTTTTGCACATATTTTGCCAAATTCGTCATTGCTATTGACGCCTTTCTAATGGGCTAAGATGATTCCAAATGCTTGTACCATACGAAGAGGTACTCTAGGTATCGGAGCCTCAGTGAAAGGGTTGTCTAACTGCCCACTCGTTCCCCGACCAAGCCTTTCCCTGACACTCTGACACCCAGGGTAACGGAGAGGCAGAGCCCAAGCGTAAAAAGTTACAATCAATGACGGTTTTAGAGGCCTGAAACCTATAGGAAAAATATAGAAATTGTAAAGAACTAGGGCCGTGCAGCTGTTTTTGGCCCCGGGCTCCGCAGTCCTTAAAACCACTGCTGGTTGCAATGGGGTGAATGATGTTTTTTCCTTTACCAAGGTTGCTGGTATTTTTCGCGATCCAACATTGGAATATCCAATAACAGTTGCAGTAACAAGAGTTGCTCTTATAGAAAACGACGCGGTAAGTTTCGACCGATCTTGTGATTATCTATCTACATTGTATGTTTATGCATGTATTGTATGTGTAATATCTTGTGAGTGATAGGTCTAAGCTAAAAGCTTGTTTAAAGCCTGGTTCGCAGATTGAAATAAATTGTTCAAGAAACATGTACAAAGCTCAAATACGTGAATTTCTAGATAATGCAGTATAAATCTACCCTGATCTGTAAAATTTTCCGTATGAGAAATAAATTTGTTACATTGTGTAAATGAAAATTTTTAATTTTGCTCATCAATATCACTGAGAACAATACTATGATCTTAAGTCGAAGTAGTGAGATCAGCCGTATATTTTTGCATGTAGATGTGCAACATAAAGTTTAAAAATTAATTTCCTATTGAATGACAAAACTTCAAGAGATCCTATACCTGAGAATAGTCAACCCAGACTGCGTTTCAACAGCAGACCATTAGAAATTTATTTTTTCACACAAGAATCTAAAGAAACGTAGATCCTCTTTTAATTCTGTAGGACATGTCATGAATGGTGTACAGGACCATTTAAACGGGAATTTTATCCATCTTGCGGCTCCTTTAGGCCGTAACTAAACAATACCAACGGTTGCCTGTTGTATCAGTTTGGCCTCGCATCACTTGAGGCAGAACTTAACCAAGCGTTTTCATTTCAGTTGCATGGCATTTTATTAAATGCAATTCCAGTATGCTTCATACTGCAGAAAAGGCATCGATTCGGCAAACCCATTCAGTTTGCTTCGCTGTCCTACGAGATTTTCTCGGGACACGGGTATATTGGATTCTTGCTGTAAAATGAGATAGAATGTGGATGTGAGTGCCTCAGCCTCACATCCAACATGAGGTCACAGTGATCCGTGAACACAGTTCAGTACTTGAATTGACTACAGATGTGTCATGCAACTGCACTCCCTTCAAGATTTGAAGAAAATCCGGGTTGAGATGAATCTGTTCTTGTTGGGCTTTGTTTTCAAATGAAAGGCACCAAATGATATTTGAAACTGAATATAAATAAAAAAGCATGTGCTGCTGCCAATGACCTGCCAAAATTGACTGCATTCTTTCATCGATGCTTACCAGTACTCCACGGTGATACATTACAGTGCTTTAGCAAAATAAATTCTCTATAGAAAAAAGCTGTTACAATAAAAGAAAAGCTTACAAAGCTTTGCGGAGGGGAGAATTTACAGGTTCAAAAAAAGATAGAAAAACAGGAATTTTCTCTATTTTCTATAGGTAAGTGCTACTGAATGGGGAAACTTAACAGTCACGTGCTCATGTTTTCTGATTGGCCTATTTCGACCCAAAGTCCCAAGAAATTTGCTAATTATCTTCCATGAAATACCCATGAACCTCAATAATTTACTTTGCAAATCCAAATCTGAAATTGTTAGATTCGATTTACCGTTGATGTTCTGATGAAGGTATACGAAACACTGTTTATTTTATTCTAGCTTGATAATGCCACAGATATGTCTAACTTGCTTTCCAAGTTCAGATCATGGGTAAATACAAACAACCCAGAAGATGATTCAGACCCATTGCATGTAGACAATGCTGCTTTGCTCATAAGGTGAGATTTTAAAGCAGTTTTATCGGTAATGCATCAAATGACATAACTGCATGAAATGTCTTGGAGCAAAGTGCAGTTATGTGGCTTTTATATTAATTGATGTGGTGAGTCAGGTTCCCAAAAAGAAAAAGTTTGGTACGTTCACTAATGTGCTGTGTTCCGTTGTGTTGAGCTGTGTCTTGCTGTGTTGTGTTGAGTTGTGTTGTGTTGTGTTGTGTTGTGTTGTGTTGTGTGTTGTGTGTTGTGTTGTGTTGTGTTGTGTGTTGTGTGTTGTGTGTTGTGTATTGTGTTGTGTGTTGTGTGTTGTGTGTTGTGTGTTGTGTGTTGTGTTGTGTTGTGTTGTGTTGTGTTGTGTTGTGTTGTGTTGTGTTGTGTTGTGTTGTGTTGTGTTGTGTTGTTTTGTGTTGTGTTGTGTTGTGTTGTAATGTCTTTGAGTGGCGAAAGCATCAAGCGCCCTATCATAACAGAATAATGAATTTACTATGAGTGATCATAGACCTTCCACTTTTCTTGTTGACTTTCACAAAAAAATCGTCTCTACTGCAATGTAGGACAAAATGATTGATTAGGAAGTCCACCAAGCTAGTACGTGATAATAGGCCTTGTAGTTACAGAAGTTTGATCAATTTCTTTAACACTGATGGAATTTTAGTGAATAAGGAGGCAGGCTTTACATGGTACGCATGTTTTTTATAAAGATACCTAATTTTTTTATGAGCCTTGAAATTTTGGAATTCTTTTGTTTTGAGCCTTAGATTATTTTTAAATCTTTTCTTAAGCGACCAAACGCCGGATTGGTCTATTTCAAGACATATAGCGTGGAACTTGTTCAGCTTACCAAAAAACACAAATAAATGAAAAGTTCAATTCTTGATTGTGCTTGAGCCTTGCATTCTTCATAAGCTATTCTTGAAGTTCCGTGATATTGAGCCTAGACATTTTATAGACTATTTTTTATATTAAAGTATGCATTGCAGAATAAATGGCATCGGTGTAGAAAAAATACATTTTAAAGTATAAATCTTACATTAAAAATTATTGCTTTATATTGTTCTCAAGCACCTGATTGAATTCTAGGGGTGGATGTTTTGGAGGATGTCAACTGGGAGGTAATTATCAAAATTATTATCATTGACTAATTCCAGCATCTCACCTAGCAGAAGGGACACTCGATTGCTTTCTTGCAATAGCTCACGTGGGTGGGGGTGGTTGTTCCATTTCGATATATCAATTTGATTGCGTTTTTCATCAATATCAAAATCTGTTACACGGTAAATTACAATTAAAAATTTACTTTTATAAAATAACGATCGAATTTTTAAAGCATTGTTTTGAATTTTTAATAATGCTATTGCCTGTCTTATGTGAAAAAATACTGTAATATTTACTGTAAGATATGTTTTAAGATATTCTTATTTGTTAAGTAAATTAATAGAGTCTGGCTCAATAAAAGCAACATGTATAGTTTATTCATTATTTAAAAGCAACAATAAACAATTCAAAATTGTATTTCAGGACTTGCTTACCTCGGCATGTGTGGAAGAGGTTCTAGTCAAAGTGTTTCAAAAGACAGAGGTTTGATGTCTGCCTTGATCATGGCACACGAGATAGGACACAAGTAGGCATTCCCAAGATAAATTTTTACAATCCTTTCTCGTAATGTTTTGATACCCTATCCTACAGACACGTGTGCAGTGGGAGTTGGTTTTTTGACAGGATGGGCGCAGAAGTCAATATTGTTCAGACATTTCCGGGAGTGCTTCTTTCTGTCAAAATTTAGCTTGATTATTGATAAAAAGTCAGACACAATCCATGTGCTACTTTTTTGAAATAGATAGGTTTTCAAAATAAATTTTTTTCTTGCAAATTCAGTTTAGGACTTGAACACGACGATGGCAATTCTTCTATTGCCGGCGAATGCCCGGATGGCATCAACATTATGGCATCTGGAAACGTACAAGGAAGCGGAGCATTTGAATGGTCTAGCTGTGACTCGAAGGAGCTAGCCCAGAGGTTGAGGTAAAAACAGATTTCAAGATAATTGTTATCTCAATCAATGTGTTCGAATCTTAGTTTCTTACAGCTCATAAAATCATCTCAAGTAAATACGATTTCTGCATTTTTATACAATTAGGAATAGGGTGAATGAATTTGAAAAGTTTTCTTTATGACATTTCATTGATCGAAGTTATTGCAAGTATCCAGTTCATTGCTCGTAAGAATTTCATTGCTTTTTTGTTTCTCTTAGTTCTTCTTCTTCCAATTGCTTCAACGATAAACCCACTGCAAAAGTGCTCACAAATGCCACTTTCCAGCATTATGGAGTAGTCTATAACGGAGATAAACAATGCGAGTTGGCTCATGGTAAAGGTTACAAAAGATGTCCTGTGTATAAGGTAACTAGATGTATGACACGGGATTGCTCAATCTTGCTTTACTCCTCTCCAAAAAAATGTTGTGTTATCGATAGGAACGAGCAAATTTTCTCTTATTTAATGACAGAAGCATATTGTTTAGTGTTATTATGTCTTATGTCATTCGCAAATATCAAAACCCAGTTAAGGTAAGATAGTTAAGGCAAATGAATGTTTTGCTCAAGTGCTACGAACATTGTTGATGCTAAAAAATAAACAATGCATCTCAAGGTGTTGTACGTCGCTGTTTCAAACTTTCAAGTGGCTTTGATAAAATTAAAAAATGCAGTTAAATGCAGATACAAAGGTTTGATCCTTACAAGATCTTCAATAACAAATTCTAAATTATTTAGTTTTTCATAAACTTTGAAAACTCATCATAAATTTCATAATGCACAAGATAGGTGGATAAATTGTGAACCATCAAGTAAGATAATGTTCAATCAAAGACGAAGCAGTATATTTTAAATAATATTTAAGTTTATGTAAATAGTATGAAATTTTTGCAAAGAATGACGAAAATTTGGAAAAAAACTATTTTTGTCTTTCTCAAGTTCTTCTGCCTTCAATCTCAAATCATGAAAGTTGTTGTTATAACTGAGACATGTGGTCGGCGCTTTTTTCACCATTCACGTTTTATGTCATTGCCTTATAGGAGAACTGCAATAAGTTGATGTGCCAAAGGCCAACTGGAGATTACTGTGATTTTCTTTCGTATCCGCCAGCTCATGGAACAGACTGCTCGCTCTATCATGTAAGTCATCTGTTTCGAGTATATTGAAATTCAACTATGAGGACACAGCACAAGAAAGGTTTTTAAGGCTGTTTATTCATTTCTAAAGAAGGATTTTTCCCAAATACCATTATAGTTTATTTGACTCATTCATGATGACATGTAGTTACTTTAACCGATTTGAAAATCGGTAAACTAGTTTGATAAGCGTAGCTAGTGACGTAATTCAAACTCACACGATATGCAGAAACGACGAAGATAGCTAGACCAATTCAAGTTTACTGTTACAGCTGTACGATATAAAGAATGTGAAGATTTCTGTCAACCTTGCTGAAGAGAACTCAAAACCCTTATTGATAGCGCTGTACAAGCTTTGACATGCAGGACAGATATATATATTCTATAGTTACATGCCAAAAGTTTATCCTGTGTTGAATGCTTTTTGATAAGATGGTTTATGATACGATAAGATTTTAACATTCGTGTTTTGCTACTATCTTGATCACTAGCAAATTGATAAAATCATTAAATGGAAAAAGTTTACGACCTCTTAGCAATTATTAAAATAGAAGCAAAGAGAAGAAAGTTTTCAACTCTGTCGGCAATTTGAGTGTCACAGGATGAAATGGTTTAATCAATGCTTTTTCATGTTATTTTGCAGTGGTGTATTTATGCAACTTGTGTACGAGACTCATCTCCAATACCAGATCCTATCAACGGGGGTTGGTCGGATTATGGAGAATATACTACTTGCAACCGTAATTGCGGAGGAGGCGTCCAATGGAGGGAAAGAACTTGCACAAATCCATCGTAAGATTACCATTGACGTTGATAGTGATAATGATGATAATTACTGTAGCTGGCTTACTCATTCTTGGAATCTTCAACTTGTTCCGTCACCGCAACGTGCAATTTTATCTATAGTTCAAAATATCGATGTAAGCTCCACGGCATTTTTGAAAGTTTGAATCTTCAAGCTACTTTTTGCATATCTGAGTTTTGTAATACTAAAAAATTATATTTCCAGGCCCCTACATGGAGGCAAAGCATGCGAAGGATCGACAAAGGGGCATTACAAAACCTGCAACATGCATGTAAGTATCTACCTCACATTTGATGCATTACACGTTTACCATAGGCGTGGCTACTGCGATAGGGTAGGGGCGTAGGGGCGTGAAAGCTTTGTTGGGGGCATGGAGACATGGGGGCATGGAGACATGGGGGCATGGAGACATGGGGGCACGGAGACATGGGGGCATGGAGACTTGAGGGCATGGAGACAAAGGGGCATGGAGACTTGGGGCATGGATACATTTGGGCATGGGGAAACGGGTACATGAAGGCATGAGAATATGAAGGCATGGGAACAAGGAGGCATAGAGACATGGTAAAATGGGGCCGTAACGGCCCAATTTTGAGATAATGTCTTGCAACATATCTTTGTTGTTTATTAACCAATATGCCAAAATCATACTACATCCACCACCACTGAGTTGAATTAAACTGCGATTGCATTTTTAGGATGGGATTGTCATTATATCTTTCAAAGTTTATGCTTCGCTAATCGCATAAAACTTTAAAAAGTCGAAAGACTGCATCAATGCCGTGAATAAACGGGTCTCAAATAGCTCCTTTTTGTTTAGCCTAGGATTAGAGTATTGATATCGGGTTCGAAATCATTTGATTGGGTTGGTAAAACATAAGAAGCTCTTTTTGCATTCTAGACATGTCCAGCTGGAACATTGGAATTTAGGGAGGAGCAATGCAAGCAGATAAAAAGCACAATGTTTCCACTATATGACTGTAAGTCAATGCTTGAGTCAAATATCATTTTACATGACCGCAGTTGACAAAGGTATAGCAAGGTAAAACAAATAGGGGGTTCTCACAAAAAAGTCTCAAAAGATAACAGAAAGCGTTAAATATCCGTTGTTTTTGCTTTAACAAAAGGAATTGAGGTCAACAGAGACTCTTCTGATGTTAAGTACCAATAAAGCCTTGAAAATTACATCACTTTTTATTCAACATTCTCTTAAAGGCAATCTGTCTCGTTGTTGATTGGTTATCGCGAACAATAGCTGGAACAATAGCCTAAACACGATTCCAGCGCTCCGCCATATTTTTTACAATGCGATAAATTAAAGGGGGACTGGAAACAATAAAAAATCCCTTTGTTCTTATAATCAATCAACGTCGTGACAGATTGCCTTTAAAACCAGAAGATTTCTTGGGAAGCCCTAAAAATGTGTGTTCTTGAAAATACAACTGATTATGTGAATAAAGCAAACAAACAGTTTTAAGGGTATAAAAATTTGATAGTGCATAAGCTTCGGTATATCTTATATTCTTCAATCCATGATGAACAAAAGCAACTAAAAAGCGCTAAGACTGAAAGCTTTTTTTAATTTGTGGGTCTTTTTGAGTATGCTTGCTAATTGGAAGAGGACCTCTAGAATTGGACAAATTCAAACAAACCAACTGAAAATGCATGCTCCATGGCATTCACTGCTAAGAGCTCTCTACTTGATAGAACAAAGCTATTGCTGTAAGATAATAGTTTGTTTGACGAATACTCTAGTCTTTCTCAGGGGCGTAGCTTGCGGGGGGTGTGGGGGGGTGTACACCCCCCAACTTTCAGAGAACTTGTCGGTAGAATTAAATTTATAAGAGAATATAAAGGTAACAAAAGAATTTCTGTCGGTAAAATATGGTTTTGCACCTCTTACACCCCCCTAGCGAGAATTGTCACTTTCTGTTTCTAAGGTTTAATGGAGCTGAAAAATCGATCAATTCTTTATTCTTTGTTGAGTTCATTGCTTGAATTGTTCATTTACTTTGCTTTATTTACAGCTTCATCCCCTTGCAAGATTGTTTGCCAAGAAGAGAATGCAAATCCATATTATTACGGTAACGTCGCAGACGGAACGTTTACAACTGCCGGTGTCGCTTTTGAAGGAGAAAAGGCTTTTTTCAGTAGTTACGATATGTGCATTCAAGGAAAACCAGAGGTTAGTCAGTCTTTAGCAGCATACGATAGTAATTTGTCTAAGTATAAAAAATTAGGGGCCATATCCCAAGGCAGGAAAGCAGGGTTGTTAAAAGCAATTCAAATTTAGGGGCACAAGTAAAATGTTCAGGGGAAATTTACCAGAGACAGGAACCTGGGAGGTTAACAAGTAAAAAGGCACTTTTATGCATTTGAAAAGTTGGGGTATTATCGATTAATTTTTTTCCATGGGGAAGAGATACCACTTCAATACAAAATTAACTTTACAGCTGTCCTTGTACAGTCCAATATTAGCCTAATTGATCAGACAAATGTTTTTTATACCCAGAGACCGTGGAAGCGGGGGGAGGGGGTGCCAATAATTTTCAAAACGTACTTGAAACAATACAAAAAATCGCCCTACTCTTGATTTTCGACCATTTTTAGCAAAAATCAAACAAAATTTGCCCTCCCCAAAAAAATTATTAGCCCCCTCAATCTGTCATATGCTGCGCCGTCCTTGGTTGTACCCCAAATTGGGTTCCCTTTTCTGCATTGTAAATTCTACTGTAAATTCTACTGTTTCGGATCAAAGATACTGAAGATAATTACTTTTGATTCTGTCAATGACCAGCTCCTTTGAAATTTTCTTCGTCACTGACCCTCTTTGTTTGTGTGTTGAAGCTGAATTTTGGGCCTCTTTTTTCAATACAGAGTGTTGGCTGCGACAAAGTTCTAATGTCCGGTGCAATATACGACAGATGCAATGTTTGTGGTGGTGATGGCTCCACTTGCAGTGCCATCACTGGTGTAAACAAGGAGCCATATGGTTGGCAAGGTAAATAAATACTCGATATCAAAGGCCAATGATATCAAAGTCCTTTTCATTGCAGCGTCTGTAGCCAATTTCCTGGTTAGGGGTGACTGGTTGATAAAAAATTGGACAACTCCAATGCGCAAATCTCTCTAATGTCACATTTGGGTTATCATCTGACAGTTCATTATTGTAAAGAGTAAGAGTGTTATAATAAAAAAAATATGTTCTTGCATTGTTATTGTATTGTTGCTGATTTTTTTTTTAATTTTAACTTTAGGGCAGTATGAAATATCGAGTACTCCAGCAAATTCAATAAATTTGAAAGTAAAAGAGTTGGCAGCATCCTACAACTTTATCAGTGAGTAACGAAGCTGCTATTTGATCCTTTTTTCAGCTAGAACAATGAGTTTTTCCTATTAAAACTTTCCTTCTCTACAGTCACTGATTACCATCAACGGAACTTGAAAAGATAGATGACACGTGCAATTGTGTTTTGACATTCATTACCATGAAAAGTATATAAAACTATGATATGGTAAGAATTACCGAGGCATTTAGGGGGGGGGGTAGGTTACAATGGCTCCTTGCTTTTTGTAATATACTTTGCCAACATTTTGTGATTTCTGTACATTTTATGATTACAAATTAATCTATTACCATTTAAAAGCAATACTTTACCTCTAGAATTACTTTACCACTAGCATGGCTAGAACTCTAGATATCTGTTAGGAATCTTGATAACTTTTTTATCTGTTTTGCAATAGCAGTGCACATGTTCCTAGCATGGAACATGGAACCTATTCAATGTGGGGTTTCCCAAGGCTCTTGCCTTGGACCTTTAATATTTTCTATACATCACTGATCTTTCCATTCGTTGAAATTGGAGAGGTTAACATGTATGCAGGTTATACCAGCATTTCCCACTTGTCGGACTTAGATTGCCTTAAGAACTGGCTGGAAAGTAATAAGTTATCGCTAAATGTACCTCAAACGCAGAGCATACTAATTGGTAGCCAAAATCGACTCAAATGGATCGGCCAGACCAAAACACCAGAGCCACCCCTAAAAATAGGGGATGAGCTAATCTTCATGGTAAAACGTGCGATACTTGGGTGTTCTGCTTGGTCAGATTCTGCCTTGGGATGAGCATTTGAGACTTATCACCAAAATTTTGCCGACAAATAGAAATGCTTAAAACTTTCAAAAAGACCTATCCTTTTACAGAGATGTACAAGAGTCTTGTAGAGCCGTGCTGCGGGTTTTGTTCACCTTTTTTAGGGGTAATTGTGGTATATCGGCAAACCAAAAATTGCAAAGGGTGCAAAATAGAGCAGCTAGGGTTGATACAAATTTTGTCCCCGTGACGCTTTCTTTCTACCCCTCATTAAACAACATGATAGTGCTGAAGCCAAGCAGGTTCTGAAGTGGAACAAATAGATTCTGAAGCCAGAGCAACAAGTAACTTCTTTGGTTTAAAGAAAGCTGTTACGTGAGCCACAATGAAAAAATTGATTAAATTCTTTTAATTTTTCTTTGTTAACCTTAAAAACGTTACTTTATAGCTGCTCGAATAGGACAAAGTGGAGAAAATGCATACTATGTCCCATCTTGGTCGAAAAGCATGAAGTTGGCGGGAATGACCTGCCACTACAAAATGCAGGCATTTGATTTTGCTGACGAGCTGACGTGCCTCGGAAAATCAAATGACATTGTCAGAGTCGTGGTAGGTGTTGTTGTTGCGATTGCAAGTGTTGTTGTTTCTTTCGATGCTTTAGTTTTTTCTTGTTGCTGTCGTCATTTATTATGAGTATAATATTGATTTTGGTTTTAAACATCAATGCTTATCTTTTAGCCTTACGTAAGGTGGCTAATCCGATACCAATTTTGAATATGTTTTAATAGTATGTTGGTAGATTTGTGGAAAGTCATAGCTATGACCTAAAGGACAACCACTTATAAACTACACTTTGCATCAAAAGTGCGAAGCTCATGGTATAAAAGCGATACTAAATTTGGTTTCTAGTAACAAACCTATTGGTAGGGTATAGTTGCCCCCGTCCAAACATAAGTCAAAAGGGTGTTTCGCACTTTCAGAAAAGCTTCCCACCTTTTACTAGAGGATACTGTTGGTCAGTTGCATTCTGGAAGCATAGTTTTGACCACTTAAATGTTCCTCTTGCCATGTCTATTTGCTTTTATACTGACAAAGCAAACAAAAGTTCCGAATAAAGTATCTAAAATACTTTGATAATTTGTTTTCGTATCTGTTTTTCAAAATAAAGAAGGCCTATATTGTTTCTTCTTTCACCTCTAGTGGGCCAATATATACGGTGGCTCTTCACCTGGGCTTCAATGGACATACTACGAGCCAAGCGAGGGCAATTCCTCTACGTATGAGTACGCTATTTCAAGCAGCTGGGGAGAATGCAGTAAAACATGTGCTGGAGGTAAGACACACACTACTAAGGGAATAAATCTCTTGTCGAAATGAAATGTGGGATTGCTAAGAGAAATTGTGACACTGAACAGTTTAGAGGCTGTTGCAAGAATAGCTCGAGATCAATCGGTAAAAGTTCATAGTAACCATCTATTGGGACTATCAAAAGAACTGAACATCTCTAAAAACCCAGCGTTGCTTGTCTGGAAGGCTATCCCAGCCCTTTGCCCTTTCATATGAGAGAGAAGCTTTCGCGTGATTTTAGAGCACATACTACTCACTGTTGCTCTTTTTGCAAAAGCCTAGCTGTTGAAAAGACGATTAGCATGTTATGAAATAGAATAGCACTGACTCTTTAGTTGCAGCCTTAACCGTATTGCTAAGGAGATAACATAACAAACGTTTGTCTATGTAAGCGTGTATAAATAAACATGATTCTGCATAAATTGCTCATAGACCAGGATTATATTACGGCAAGGGTAGCATCTCTCCGAACTTTTTGCCACCATGATGTTTAGCTACCCTTACCCTCTGGTAAAGAGAAAATATTTGGTTTACCTGCTGCGTTTACCAAATATGGACATTTTTCCAAATCGTGTGCCAATAACCACCATTTTTTATTAATTGATCATTGAAATTGTTGAAATTGTGACTATGAAACTTAAGCCTTGGCATCATACATAGTATGAAATGTACAGTTAAAATATGCAGTTTAGCGATCGACCTTATCAGTTAATCCAAGATAAAATAAGAGAAGTGTTATCTTATCTTGGTTACTCGGATACCAGCATTCGTAAAGGTATGCCTAGTTTCAAAGCAAGGTTTGATATAAGAAATCAGGTTTTCAAAGCTACTATAGTTGAATTTGCAGTTTGAAGCTGATTAAAGCTGTAGGGTTACTGTTACGTAGCCGAGTCCTGGTGTTCGGACCGTTAGCAAAAATCTGATTACTAGTAATTCAAGCAGTGATGCTTTTTAAAACTCGATTCTGTGATATGTTTTTTATTTTTTTTCTTTATAGGGGTACAAAGTCGCACAATCATATGTAGAAGAACTGATGATCAGACACCTATTAGCATTGCATATTGCAAATCATTGCCTAGACCAGTTGATTCTCAACCATGCAATCAGCAATTATGCCCTCCACAGTAAGTGCTTCTAAAGCTGCTTAAATGCCACGCTGTTGCTTAAATGCTTAAATTAATCGTTTTGCATCACACCAATAGGTATGCGGTGAAGAAATCTTTGATAAACTTGTAAAAGAAAGATTTCTACACTTTCGAACGAAACATGTGTTTCAAGTATGATATTGAATGAGAACAAAATATGAAAACATTTATTTTTAGGTTCCTGCGTACGATACGCACAAATGTAAATTTGCAAATATCTACGCCAAAAAAAATTTTTAAAACCTATAAGTTGAGCTGAATTTCTGAAAATTGTACTGATATCAAAATAAAGGTTCCGTATTGTTAAATTTAGTTTCTCGTGCAACTTTACATTTACTCGACAATCCAGTGTGCTCCATACATTTATTCGACAATTCAGTGTGCTCCAGAACATTAATGTCGCCAGCCTAAAACCACTGGGCAAGCACGGTCTTTCTTTATCTAGGTATTTTGAAATCTGCCAATATCAAAACTTGTGTAAATGCTCCTTGGTCACAAAGATAAAACTAATCAACAGCATCGTTCTGCCTTACATGCTACATATGATCCACATCTCGATATAAAATTTTGCTTACATTTGGTCGTTATTTGATTTCCATGCTCTTTTCACCAATTTTTCGTGATGTTTCTAACTTTCTTTGTTAACTGATATCCACCAATATTAAAGTCAATATTTATAACTGATTTCCTCTACCAAAGGTGGTACATAAGCCCATGGTCCGAATGTAACAAGACTTGTGGAACAGGACAGAGAACAAGAAACATAACTTGTTCTCAGCTTGGCTCGGATGGGAAGTATCATGAAGTGAGCGATGCAGCCTTGTGCACAGCAACGAAACCAACCGTCTACACAGTGGAAAACTGTAATGTCATTGCCTGTACTGCTCAATGGGTTCTTGGTAAATGGAGTGAGGTATGTTGCTCTATTTCATTTTCGTTGAATATTATTAAACAGTTTTTTAGTGGTACAAAAAGGAAAATATGCCTTTAAAAAGCAAACATTCAAAGGAAATACCAGAGTTCAGAAAATGCCTTCACGTTCCTCCGGATAAAACATTGGCCTGCTTGCCTCCCTCAAAATTTTCTTAATATCTTTTGTAAAAATGTTTCTTAGAACTGGAATTGAAGTAAAATCATATATGGTTTGGTAGGAACGTAATGGCCTTCCTCAAAACTACTGCATCGTTGGATAACCTTCCTCCGGCTCACAGCTGTGGAACTGTAATATTTTCTGGACTCTGGGAAAGACTATTACATTCTACAAGAATATATAATTCAACCATGTTTTGAACCCAGTAAAAAACCATTAATTCTATGGGACTTGAACCTTAACATTTTAGTGCTCGACGTCTTGTGGTCAAGGGACAAGAACACAGGAAGTAAGCTGCAAAAGAACTGGTGCAGATGGGACAATAAGTGAAGCTCGTCCTTTGGAATGCACTGATCCGAAGCCTCCAACCATTGAAGCATGCAATATCGATAACCCATGCCCTGTTTGGGTCATCAAATACTCTAACTGTTCAAAGCTCTGCGGAGGAGGTATACATTTACTGAATTGTTAATCAACAAGGCTTATGGCATACTTCTCAATCTTTTTAAAAAGTTTCAACAATTTTGCATTCTTTAGTGTTTATTTTCAGAATTACGAAGTGTTCAATGACAAATCCCCACAAATCCCCATTCTCTTTGAAGTAGCTACTAAAATAAGTATTTTAAAATAAAGTTAAGGGGGGAATAAAAATAAGCTTATAAATTTCCATTACTCTAAAATATAATCACTACAGATTTGTAAACTGAAATATTTCAGCACTGCAGCTATCTTCAACTAGGTTTATGTGGAAAATAGATCTGATCACAACTAGATGCTGAATAGCAACACTTGTGATCACTTAATCAAAATACCGCAAGAGAGGTTCTTTTATGGTCCAAACTTATGAGGTCAACTGCTTACCTTTCATTGATAGGGCCATTGTTTTTGAGTAACTTATTAATGATTCCAGCATGATTAATGATAGCGTGCACTAATGATCTCAGGTGAAAGCTGGAGTAGAGTTTGCATCAATATCCAAAACAACTGAATATTTGTTGTCAGCAACTGTATTCTCATTGTGGTATTGAGGCTGTTTTGAAAAGTTCTTTAGTTTTCGAATGCATTTAAACATTGATAGGTATCGATATTCGCTCTCTGCATCACGAGAGGCATCAGAATTTTTTATGACTTTTTGTTCGAAGGCTTCCAATACGCTTACACTGAGTGCCAGAGGATTGACAAGAAAGTTGCAGACAGCGAATGCCCTGCGGCTACGAAACCTGATATCAGTGCTATCCCACCGAAGTCATGCAATACTGAAGCATGTGACTCGTATGATTGGCATACAAAGGATGGAACCTGTAGCGTCAGTTGTGGGGACGGTAAGTTTTGTGCTCTATTGCCGCGTTCTTGCCGCATATTTGCCGCGTCTAACCATGCCTTAAAAATTGAAAATGAAAATGAAGAAGTGAAATGCGTTATCGCTGCATTTTGCTTGCTTTCATTTTTTACTACTCATTGTGCCTACTTTGTTTTCATGATATTACTTTTCTTTGTTATTGCCACTCAAATTATAAGCACCTTTCGTCTGCATTACTTCCAATCTTCTTACAATTATCATTTTAATTGAATATTAAAATCGATTTTAATTCGTTTGTATAGGTACCATACCAGTCACGGTGACGTGCAAGAGAGCTAGAGATGGCTTAGTCGTTGGTGACGAGATGTGCAGCAATACCACCAAGCCAGCCACTACGAAACCCTGTAATGCAGGAGACTGTGCCGAGGTATTTGAATGGAAGATTGTAGCAGGGACCTGTAGTGTTACCTGCGGTGTAGGTAAGAAAAATTGCAATTGTTGAATTATTAAATTTTCTTATAAACAGTACATTTGACGTTTTGATGGCCAATATACCAACCTGGCATTAATCAGGTGCCTTTCTAAACATAGCCATCGCCCAGACTTACTCATTTTTCAGCTAATATTTCTTTTCTGTAACAAGACCATTACAGAACCAACAGAGTTGAAATGAACGTACACATAGATTACCTATCAATGCCTTCATCAAGCTATAATTTATGTATATTTTAAACCCTTTCCTTCAAAATATTTGAGTGCATACTATTACAGAGAGTGTCTTGATTAAAACGTTCTTCTTATTTTAAGGAAAAATCACAGACAAGGTTGTTTGCATACGAAAACGAGATGGTGCCAGCGTTCAAGATATCTACTGCGAGGCCTCTCTGAAGCCGAGTGTTGGTCCACCACGAAAATGCCTCTTAACTGTATGTCCAGACACATTCTCGTGGAATGTCACATATGGCGCATGCAGTGTCTCTTGTTCAACAGGTATGTGCATGTCTCACGTGACAATTCAAAAGTATTCTGCAGGGGAATATCACCAACAAAAGTTGCCAACCTTTAGCCCTTGGAGTTGTTAGATTAAGTTTCAGAAAACATGATAAAAAAATAACATCACAACAAAGTAAAATTTTGCATTTAATAAATGAAGAAAAAATTAGAGAGAGGAAACACACATGGCAGTGGCAAAATTCTCTTAAGTCTAAGTCAGCCAGCTAACCTAATGCTACTTAGTCCCTGCGCTTAAACAAATTTAGTGCTCATACTCAAGTCACATGTGCAACGTATACAGCTTTTTATAATGTACTTACGAGGACCGCCAGAAGTAGTTGGAACATCGAGATTGCGCTTATAGCAAATGCAGATTCTTCATGTTGCAAGCAGACAGAGCCCCTCCAGTATTAGGAAGGGAGATGGGCATTTGGCTAAACGTCAGCTACATCGTTTCGGCTCCCAACTAAATTCATCGTGATTTTCTTGTTGAAATCCAACAAAGTTAGAGGGGAAGGCGTTGAGTATGTTCAAACGCTTTTGGCGGATATTGTACTTAAACAAACTATTTTTGGTTACTCAATATCTATTTTCATTTTGACAGGTGTAAAGCAGCCAATAGTAAAATGTGTTAGAGACAGTGATAAGGTGGTGGTAGATGACTCTAAATGTGAACAAGCCAAGCCTTCACCAACCAATGAAAGTTGTAACATGGGAGAATGTCCCGTTTTATACGAATGGAGAGAAGTTTGGAGCACTTGCAGTGCATCTTGTGGAGAAGGTTGGTACAAAGCTTGTCGTTTTTATTGATAACGAAATATGCCTACAGCCTATGTATACCAATTGTTTTGATCAAACCGTATTAAACTCCTGGAACATGTCATCTACATAAATGCGACGAACTTACCATGTCAATAATTGTGTGACCTGAGGACAATGCAAACTTGATGACCAAATAACCATTAATTTACTTTCAGGTGTGAAAAAGCATAAAAGTTATTTTATTGACATTATTCAATATCTTATGCCACAGAATCGATTGTTAATCGAAGAGATTAACCAGTTTGGGTATACAATTAAAACTTAGTGCAATCGGAGAAACGTCTTACTATCCAGAGAAACAACCGCAAGAATTTAGATCTTTCAAATTGCATTTGATTTTGAAATTCCGAAAATTTCATAGTTTCTTTGCAAAATTTGATTGGATTTTTAGAAAGTGTGTGTAAGAAGGAAGAACTGCAGGATACGCTGTCCGCCGGATTCTGTGAATCTTGCAATTAATAATAAAACGAAAAAAAAGGAACAAAGCAATACGACGATGAGTATCAAATGTAACGAGATAAAATTTTCAAAATAAATTAAATTTAAGGAATACTAATATTTCGCCCCGGCATACAGGGCTTCATCAGAGTAAATAAAACAAACGAGTGAATGAATTTGAAATGTGAGATGGATGTTGATTGGTGTGATACCAATCAATCCATTGCATATATGTTTACATTTGTCCTTCACATAGCATTGTTTTCTTTTTTATCCACAGGGACCAAAACCAGCCAATTCAAATGTTACATGGCATCTGCAAGCACCATTATGAGCGATAGCTACTGTTCATCCACAACAAAACCAGCATCTAGGACGACTGCTTGTACTACTCAGTGTACATGGGCACCAAAGTATGGCGTGTGTCTTGCTGACTGTGGATCAGGTACACAATGTACTTGCATTGATATGTAACGGGATTTGCTTTTATATCCCAACGTGGTCCGTATTTTATCTTTTTTCATATAATCTCAAAGCAGTAGAAATTGAGATAATACGTAACTGCAGATTGATTTAGAAAATATGTTTTTTGAAAGCCCACTTTTCTTTAATTTCACAAAAAGAATAGGACTAGAAATCATCAAAAAGTGCTCAAGGTTTTTCAACAAGCCATCGAGTATGCCTTGTAAGATACAGAAATAGTTTTGTTTGTGAGCATATTGTGCATTTTCTGACATAATGTGGAAAATAGCTTTAAACAATATAAGAAAAATAATTAAGAACTTTCTTCAAATCAAAATGTTATGAGGAAGAGGTGAGATTTAGAAACATCTTTATTCTATTACTGGAATCAGGTTAATAAAAGATGACTTGAATGAAAGTTATAGTTTCGCAAAAAAAGTTTCCTCAGTCCAAATTGGAAAGAGAAATTATTTAAAGGCTCGATTTTTGCAGGGCTTGCCAAGAGCTATTTTATCTCTGATAGAGATATTGATTCTAAAGAAAAACTTTCCACTAAGTTTTTGGAAAAGATAGTTTGATCGATATTTCCATCTATAGTCAATATTTCTATTTATAGTCAGTTAGTGACAATAAGTTATTGAAACAATGTACAAAGTAGTTCATAAAATTTATATCCATAGCAAAATGTTTTAAAAATATATGTAATAATTTCTTAAGCGAATTATACCTTTTTGTAGCATTCTTAATTGAAACTTATGTCCTCATTTCTTTTTTGTTTCCAAAATGATAGGACACAAATTGATGTCCCTTGTATGTCAAAACGAAAAGAAAGAGATAGTTGAAAGCAAGAACTGCGCTAGTGCACCAGTAGGCACATATACACAAGAATCCTGTTCAGCGGCGACTACTTGTACAGAATGTAAGTGGTCTTAGACTCTCTCTTCTGTAAACAGGCAATAGACACTTTTTCAGTATAGAGACAATTTTTCAAATTAGACTGATCGATTTTTATTTTCCTTATCATTCTTATTCAATAAATCCTTAATGTCCAGCTACAGCAGTGAAACAGTCATTATCAGCCGATAGCAAATGCCCAAACTTCAAATTTAGGGCTACACACTATTTTTTTAAGAGCAATTTTAAAAGAACACGAGCCTTAAAATTGGTCAAAAGTTAAAAACAAGTTAAAAAAATTCTAAGGCTGAGCTACTGTAAAATACAATTTTGAGCAACATTTTATCACAAAAACGATGGTTTTAGCCATGTGTGGGTGCTTTTTCGGTGAAAATTCAAACATGGTGGCAAATGAATCTTGTCTCAACGACTTTGTTGGCAAATGAGGCCTGAATACCTCCCTTGAGCGAAAAGCTAGCTATCGCACTGCCTATACCCTATAAATTTAGAAAAAATTAAAACAATCCAGCCTCAGATTTTCGAAAAAATTATGAACAATCAGACTGAACTTAAATTTCTGGTTCTTATCAACTAGTGCATTCACTTATTACCTAACACCAATGGACTAGAAGAGAGGGGTTATGTAGTTTTTCCTCTCTTGTAAATGCCAAAAATGGCCAGACGCTGTTTCACCCCTGCCAAACGCTGTTTCACCCCTGCCAAACGCTGTTTCACCCCTGCCAAACGCTGTTTAGATTTCCTAAAGGTTTGCTATGCTTGTGTTGTATTGTAAATTATTTTTGCATCTGGTAATGCCATTTCGTAAAAAACAAAGTACCTGATCTGAATCCCGTCAAATGATCTTTTCAACTGACAGTTAAGGCGTTAAGGCCTAATCCTCTAAAACTAGCGGGACCATCCTTTCCAGGAAGACCAAGTAATTGCGGTATAATAAAATTGTCTTACCAAAAAGCAACTTTATGCCATGTTAATTAAAACAACTGAAACAATTATGAAACGAATCTCTTGCTATTTTTGCAGATGCCCCAGAAATAACCGACATCCCAAAGTTCTACTCAGTTGGTTGCTATAAAGATAATATTTACGACAGGAATTTGGAAAACTGGGTGGGAAACTTCAGAAACCAGATTGATTGGTAAATATACTGGATAGCGTGCTGCACAAAATAATACAAAATAACTATGAATTTAGGAAAATTGTACTAGGAGTAAATAATAGATTTTGAAATAATGAAGTTTCGAGCATAGACCGTTATCACGTTACCACTTGATTCGGATTGATTAGTAGTTGCTGAAACCAAAGCCTTTGACTTGTTAATGCAAATATTTTACTAGAGCTAGCATTACAATGCATGACTTAAGCTGCAAGACTGGAATTGCTTTCGTAGCAATGTCTTTAACAAGATTCTTTTTCAGTAGAAACAGAAGATCGTTTTGATTGTCAGAAGAAACCTTTTATTAGATGAAGACAAGAAAATATCAGTGTCTATAATGAGATAAAAGCATAAATTTGTAAGAAATATTTTTGTCCAAAAAATTGAAAAATGTGAATACTGCATAAACACACTTTTTGCTGCAAAATATTTACTAAATTCTAAAATTTTAGAATTGTTATTCTAACAACAAAATAGATGTGCTGAAATTTATCAATTTAATTCAATTCAAGGAACGACATGTCAAAAACTGTCAAATCATGTGCGCGCCAGGCAGCCTCCTACAAATTCTTTGGAGTTCAATACTACGGTGAATGTTGGGCCTCGAACAAAACGAAATATTTTCTCAGTGGAAGTTCACATAATTGTTACATGGGCACTGGTGGAGAATTTGTGAACTATATTTATGTATTCAATGCACCTATCGGTGAGTAATATCTGATTCATACCAACTTACTCAAATAAGAATTTAATATTCCCCTCTTCTTTTGTGCTACAAATTTGTCTAATTTACCATAACATGGTTTCACAGTTAATCTTGTCGCCCCGTCTTCATTTAATGATGGAGAATGAGTGCCTACTAAAGTGAAGATGATTATAATAATAACGAAGAGATTGACATTTCTGTCGACCTTGGGCAAAGAACAAACGACTTAATTTTTCTAAAACTTTGCACCCAAGTGATTTTCCAAAAATCTAGCATCTTTTTTTGATGCCATCTGAAAATGTAATTAAAAGCTAATAAGCAACATCCTTTAAATGAGGGTCAGATGAGCACTTCCCCTAACACTGAAAACGACTTATAGCATATAGACTTGTCAGCTTGTCTTTCATTGTATAAATATGTAAAAGAAATATATCTTCTTTCTCAAACGAAGAATCTTTTTCGCAGCAACGACAAGATTACCTGCAGTCAAGCCAATGGGATGCTTTGCAGATAATTTGAGCTCACCACGACCGCTGCCTTACTTGATAGATAATTTGAGGCATATCTTTCAGTAAGTCCATAATTTCTATTTCTATTCATTTCGTATGTTTTACTGCCGAATAAATTTTTACTTTTTAATGGACTTTGAGCAAATTAAAAGCTTTCATGTATACTTTATTTTAGAGACAAAGCAATCGATCAGAAAACAGCTGAAATCGTGATTTCAAAATGTGCCAAAATGGCATCGATGCGTGGATACACAATATTTGGTATACAATACCACGGTGAATGCTGGTCAGGCCCCTCTGCACAACTCACATACATGGAGGATGGAGCATCAAGTGCATGTGTTCACGGACTGGGCGGAATCAACTCGTATTATGTTTATTCCTTTGTTTAAATAATTCAACTTTAGCAGGCACGCCAAAATATTTATTTATGCTCTTAATGTTTAAAGGTGCTGGTTATCAATTTATGGTGAATTTGAAAAACAATCTATTTTCTGGAATATATATGCAATAAATGTTGGTATAGCGATAAAATATCTGGTGAATCTCTTAATTCTATCGGTCTTGGTACTTGAGCTTGTTGAATTTAGCATAATACTGTAGCTGGAGGTGATATTTCCTAAATTGTTGTGACGACGCAGTTTTTGCAGATTGTGGGTGTACTGGATTCCGGTGACAATTAAAGATGTGCTCACTTGATTGCTTTCTTCAATCAAATATGACAGCCAATTCAACGTCTTTTTAGTATTACATTTTAGCAACCGATGTATACAGCGGTTTTTCAAAGAATTAACACACTGACACATCTTCTTCTTCTTAATTTATTGAGCAGTAAAAAGACATTGAAATGTTATGAATAGAGCTTTTAATTATCAACAATATCATCTGTGTATCTAAGCAGGACACTTCTGAAAGATTATTGTTTGAAATTTGGGTGGCTGTGTCCCTTTCTAAAATCCCTTCAAGTTTTGAAATACTTGAAAAGTTATTTTCTTAGTTGTATTTGACTGTAATGACATACTTAGTCTCAAGTCTTTGATATCTAGCAAAACCCGACAAGTGTAAACTCTCAGTAGTTTTATCGTGAAAACCTGACACATGCGTTTCTGTCTCGTCGTTACTCCTGCAATATTTAGAAGAACAAGCGTAGGGTTTCAGACACGTTTAAGGAATTTGGTTCTTCAGTAACTGGTTTCAACTTAGAGGGGCAAGTGAGCCACAGCGTCCTTTTTATGGCAGCGCCTCTGAAATTGACCTTCTTAATTAACAAGGACGTCTGTGTTATTTTCCTTTTGCATCAATTCCTGTATCCTTGATAACACACAAAATTATTTATAACATGTCGAAAGCATCATTTGCCAGAAGTCAGCCTTTTTTGAAAGATACCTGCATTGAGGGCCAGATAAAGGTGGGTGCTATTGGTGCTGCAGTATTAGGCCTGTTCCTGCTTCGAGATTTTTTAGAATTTGAGTTAAAGCAGCAACAGCTTTTAAATGAGTGGTGAAATGAAAAGTAAAATTTTTATGAAATATCAGCAACTGTTGCCGTTAACCACTGATCATAATTGTATAATTTGAGAAGAACCTAAAATAATGATTTCTGAGCTTATTTTCCTACATTGAAATAAAAATAAGACCCAAGGACTCTCGAAAAAGTGATAGTTAATTTTTTGCAGGATTTATTTTGTTTTTTAATATCAACCATTAAGTGTAGAAAAGCTGTTCTTAGCTTGGCTTTTTGTCAAGTGCAGGGCCATAAGCTATTGTGCTCAAGGGGGTGGTGCCCAGGGCCTTTTTGCGGACACAAGGTTGCCGTGTCTCACGGTTTGGCCGTGAGACTCACATATATTCACCTCTTCTCACAGTCTCACGACGGGAGTTACTTTTTTCGCGGATTTCTTCCTGGGCCTCATTCTTCTTTCAATTCAGATCAAACGCCTCAGTGGTTGCTGAACACATTCCATTCCACTATATTATTTTTATCACAATCACTTGCCCAGACCTGTTCCGTGAATGATTGTCAAACGCGTTAATGTATCAGTATTATACATTATCAGTGTTCATTGCTTCCATTGTTTGTTCTAACGTTTAAAAGCCTGTTTTCTGTGTTTTTCTGGAATGTTTTAAATGTGAAATAAACAAATGTTTAGGCATTCTGACAAATGGTCTAGTTTTAAGCCATTTGAGCACTCCAGATCTTTTGAAATTCGGGATTCTTCTGTCCCTAATCCTGGACCCCAGTTCCATTGTTCACTAGCTGAGCTCATGAAATCTCACAGGTATTATTTCCTGTGAACTTGGCAACCATGTCAAAGTGGGCAGGCCATCCAAAAAGTCAGAAAACTTGCAGGTGAAGCACCCCTAAGTGGCATAAAACTCCTCGTATTTTCAATGGAATTATTTCTAGGGGGTGTCACATCCCCCCCCCATCCCTCCATGCCCCGCGGTAGCAATGTCCTGGTCATTCTGTGCCCTTGTCAAGCTCTCCACCAGTGTCTCCACCGGACGTTGCGAAGGAGCCTGAAAATCTTGTCCGCAATCGAGGTTCTTCTGTCTCGTGTTGTTGTTTCAGGTCGATTTCTTGGTCTTCCCTCGGCTGGCATTGTATGAATGGAACAGTTTCATTGGAATAGTTAAGACAGATCGGGCTTGGCAATGGCGAAAATCGTGAAGAAGACATATGGCAAGAAACTTGCCTGGGGAACTGGATCATGCCCAGCTTTTGACGAGGCAAAAGTACAGTCCAAGAAATCCAGCGTTGTAAAAGTTTTAAGGCCAAGTATTTGGGCTAAGGTACCCCTGATAGAAACATTTGCTGAATCGCCTCATCGATCGAAGAAAAAATCGATAACTGCTCCGACAGTGCTTTCTGTTCCAGAGACCGTGAGTGAACAAGCTCCAAAAAAGAAGGGAAGAAAGAGAAAAATTGAGGACCCTTTTGGTTTCGGAGATTTGGATGAAGAGGTTGCACCAGCATCAGAGTACATTTCTCCAAAGAAGAAAAAGCAGGAACAATTAGCATCTTCGGTTAAGAAAAATGGAGTAAACATGAAGGTTAAAACATCCAAAAAAAGTAATGTGAATAAAATTGGGTCAAGTGTTTTTTCAGGGATGGATGCTAAGAGCCCAAACTTAGGCGTAAAATTTTCAACTAAAGAACAAAAGGCAAAGAAAAGTCCATCTGTATCTGAAAATGGTGCTAGTCCAAAGAAGCGAGGTAGACCACCAAAAGGCCAAAGCCCAGGAACATTAAGCCCAAAGAGTATTTCTGGAACTAATGATAAAATTGGAAACAAAAGCCCTGGATTGTCTGATAGTGATGTTAGCCCAAAGAAGCGAGGTAGACCACCTAAGGATAAAAGTTTAATAAGTTTAAGTCCAAAAATTACATCTGATATTAAACAAAACGAGAATACTAAAAGCCCAGCTTTGTCTGAAGGTGATGCTAGCCCTAAGAAACGAGGCAGACCACCCAAAGACAAAAGCTTATTATCTACCAGTCTGAAAACTGCTTTTGGTGTTAAAGGAAACAACATTAAGAAAAGCCCAGCTTTGTCTGAAGGTGATGCTAGCCCAAAGAAACGAGGCAGACCACCCAAAGACAAAAGCTTATTATCTACCAGTCCAAAAACTGCTTTTGGTGTTAAAGGAAACAACATTAAGAAAAGCCCAGCTCTGTCTGAAGGTAATGCTAGCCCAAAGAAACGAGGCAGACCACCAAAAGACAAAAGCTTGATGGCTATAAGTCCAAAAATTACTACCACTGTCAAAGAAAGCAAAATTAAAAAAAGTCCAGCCTTTGTGGAAAATGATTTTAGTCCCAAAAAAAGAGGAAGACCTCCAAAGAACAAGATATTGTCACCTGGAAGTCCAAATGTGTCAGGGAAAAGCAATGAAGACTTAGTTATTAAAAGCCCACCCCTATCTAAAAATGCAGCCAGTCCCAAGAAGCTTGGAAGGCCCCCAAAAGACAAAAGCTTAGCAGTTTCAAGTCCAAAGATTACCAGTAAAAAAGGCCTTCTCCCAGAGAGTCCTATTTCATCTGAAGGAGCAAATACACCTAAAAAGCGTGGTAGGCCACCAAAGAACAAAATTGAAAGTCCAGTAATGAATGGAGTTCTTATGGCCGCTTCCACATTACCAAGGGATGCTGGGAATGGAAATAAATCACCAAAACCACTAGGAAGACCAAAAAAGTCAACTAGTAATGAAACTAAGACATCAAATGTGAAATCTTCTTCAAACAAACAACCAAAGTCGCCTGCTGCAAAAGAACTTTTCAGACAATCTCCATTAGAACTGGAAAACGAAACTGACACAGGCAATTTTTCAGTGACAGCGCAAAATGTCATTGATGTTATTGATGGGGCACCATTAGTTAAAAGAAAGAGAGGCAGACCTGCAAAGCAAAAGATAACTGAAAATTCAAAAGATCATTTAGTTTCTAATTCTCATATTGATCCAGATCAAATAAAAACTAGTGAGGATGCTGGAGAATCTTCCTTGGTTTCACAAGTCTTCTCTGAAACAGATACATTAGAAATTAATGAAGATGAAGTTCACAATCAGTTCATTTCACCCACCGAAGCTGAAATGTTAGCAGAACAGACAACACAGGAAATGACACCCAAAAAAGTTAGATTCTCATCTGAAAAGGAAAGTGATCTATCTGGCAGAGCAAGCAGCTCAACAGAGACAGGGGTTAGCATATTAGATGTATTTTCTCCATGGTATTCTTGTTTTTTAGGTTTTCTTTGTTTCCAAATTCAAGTTTAAGGGTTCCATTTAGTTTATCTTCGTATTGTTTCTCAAACATGTTGATTTCCTTTTCTAACAGCTTACATGTCAAAATCTTAGGATTGGTTTGGAATGATTTTTTAAATATTTAGCAATTTTAAAACTAAGAAATATTCACCTGTGATATTTGCACACAATATCTGTTTTGGGCTTTGAGATTGTAACTATCTTTATTTAGATTTTAATGTTTAATTTGATCAACTTCTAGTCACCTTTCAAATGGTTCTTGAAGAATAATAAAAAGACACTCTCACCAAGAAAAGTTGCAAAGTTAAGAAGAATTTCAGTTCTGGTATGTTATTTGTTATTTTTCTGTTATTCAGTTCACTTGATGACTTGTTTAGTTCACTTTGATCAATCTGATTGTGTGACAAATTAGGCTTTTGAAATTTATCTATTAGTTTCCAACTCATAACGTCTCTAACTTTGGAGTGTCAAAGGATTAGGTATATTGATTTTGTTCTAATGAGATTAATGTTTGAAAAAAGTTTTTGAACAAAGTCATCATCATTGCTACTCAGTGTTTCCCCTCCCCATTTACAATGTTTGATTTTGACTATAGAATAATGACAAATAAAGGTAGAAACAGGAACAGTTTATCAGATGTTAGCAAAATGTACATCTTTCTTTTCAAGATTTTTTAATGGGAAAGGTTTGAATTGGTATGCTTTGTTTTCTGGTTCTTATAAATGCTACTGCTCTGTTTAAGCCAACATGTTCCACAGAAGGGGATGACGATGAAGAGGACATGGATGCTGCTGTTCCATTTGGCTTACCTTGGGGATTAGAACCAGATGAAAATTCCCTAAGAGTGACAAAAGATGAAAAGGAAGTTAGTGTGATAGCTTATAAGCAATTTTTTTGAATGTTTCTTGAAATGTACTGAAATATTCCTGAAATTTTTAAACTTTGAAATGTTTTCAAATTTTGAAAAAGCTCTGTTATCAATGTAAAGAATTTGTGCCTTTAGATAAAAGGCAGAACTTCCATCAAAATTTTCAAGAACTTCAATGAATATACTCAGCCCCATTGGTATAATATTTGCTAAAAAACAAAAGAAGTAATTCAGATCTCTTTTGGCAAAAAAATTGTTCCGCCAGTTATGATTTCAAAATATGTTGTAATTTTTTACAGCCAGTATTAAACTGATTCACTCTGAAGCAAACAACCCACCACTTTTTATCAACTTTATTTTTACTGCATGCCAAAATGGTATCTTTTTCCCTTCAGCTCACTTTACAGATGGTATAATTGATAATTGCTTAGATCTTGACCTTTCCTTTCCCAGGCCTAGCTGTAGCATGATATTAAGAATAATTTAAACCAAGCCTATCAGTTATAGTTTATATCACATCTTCACCCTAACCAGATCAATTATTGGATTTATTTCCTATTCTCCATTTGTCTAGCTCTTTACAATTGTGCGGAATACAAAACAGGCACAGGAAAGTGTTGAATTTGGAGAGAGTCAGCAGGTATGTCGCCAAAAGGGTTAATATATGATTTTGTCATGTAAGAAATTGGTAGTATTATCACAAAGTGCTATTATCACAACAAAGTGATTGAGGCCTTTCTGAATCATATGGTTGAAATGACTTATGGCCCATGAGTGATTTTATTGCTTACTCATTTGGAGACTGCATTTAGCTTTTTGGTTGCCTCAACAATTATGTAGAATTGATATTGCTAATACACAGCCAAATACTTGCTATACAAAGCTGCCAATCATTATCAGTGTAAATATCCAATTCATGTTTTTTGCATAATTATTTGATCAATGAAATGGCAGAAAGCTATATTAAACATGAAAAGATGATGGATGTCATATTAGATATTGCCAAAAGCCAATACTTTGATCTAGTTTTCTAATTCTCCATAAGTGACTTTCATTATGTATTTTCCACTTTGGGTTTCTTTCAGTTTGTCTGCAATACTTAATATGTACTGTTTAAAGTTTGTAGAGTAGCATTTGGCTAATGGCAGACTATAAAAACTGCATTTTACTTAATGCTAGAAACATTTTCTGACAAACCAGCTAAGAAAAACATTTTTTATGCCTTTAATTTTATCACCTGAGAATTTATTGTATCAAAGCAGTCAATCAAAACCGTTTCCCCAAAAAATGTTTACAATAAAACAGCAGGATATTTTCCTGTCTTCAAAAAAGTGACTGTAACATTTCCGTTCACTATGTTACAATGTTGTTCACTGCTCTTTATGTTGCTTTATATAATATAGTAAGTGGCAGGAATTTAACTATAGGGTATGCTTGCAACCAAATGCTGTTATTGTCCAGGTATCTTTTTAAAATAGCGTTCTCCCTGCTGACAGGTTTACATGGGTTTCTTTCAAGTTAGGTTCCCCTTTCTTCTAGTGTCAGCATGAGTAAATAGAGTTGCTATACTGAAAGTAACCATAACCAGAAAGAAGTGTTCATTTTATTCAAATTTTAGCATTTATTTAATCATCTACCGAACCAGCAGAGTAATTATGATTTTGGCATTACTTCTAAATTTTTTTATTTCATTTTTTACCTAATAGTTCAAAGATGATGTGGAATACCTTCTTGATGGCATTGCTGATACCAACTCGCTTTCAACGAGGTGCTTGAGCCTTATTGAATTAGCATCAAAGTGTGCAAAAACTGCTTTTAGGATGAATCTTAGAGCTCATGGCACTATTGCTGCGATTTTCGAGAAGCTGACTGATGCACCAAATAACCAGGTAATTATTCCCATTTTTGCAATCGGCAGTGAATCTTGTCTTTTTAAAAACGGATGTTTATCTTCCACCATTTCACATGCTACCAATTATCATCATATGCCTTGTACTCACAACCATGTTGCGTAATGAAAAATGTAGAACAACAGTGAGTGAAATAGTTTTTCATTCAATTTATAATTCATTATATAAAAAATCCGTTTTTGAATATGCCAATTATCTACTTCCACCATTATTTATCAGTATAAACCCAAATTTTTGTTTCTCTCGTTTCGGCTATGTACATTAAGCTATTAACTTTTTATTTTATGAAATTCTGCCTGAGTTTGTTTTGCTATATGTGAAGATTTTATAGTTTCAGTATTGCTGCTAGTTCCTCGTCGTCTTCATAATCAAAGTCGAGATTCCCAGGGGATGTAAACTTGCTATCCAGTCGGATTGGCCTATTGCTGTTTGACATGGGAGTCATTTCTTTGTCAGCTGACATCCGTTTGCCGTCTCTAGTTGTACTTTTTCCGTAGAGAGAGTACATTTCTCTTCCGTGACTTGCACCTCTGCTACTATGAACAGAGTCACCCTGAAGAAGCTTTATCTCTAGAACATGTTTCTGTTCCTCGATACACTCTTTCTCTTCAAGCAGCTTAAGAAATTCCCATCTCGCTGTTTTTAAACTTTCTCTCAGCGCACATTCTTCGCCGCATTGTATTTTGTATTTCTTGTCGGCTTCTTTTGCTTTTTCTTCAATTATCTGCAGTCTTCTCTCTGACGACTCTTTTACTTTCTCTAAGAACCTTGTTTCTTTTTCCAGTGAGCTTATTTTATCCTTCAGCTCTGCAGTTTCCAGCTCATTTTTGTTAGCCATCACTTGCATTGTTTTGATCAGATCTTCGTTGGTGCTACTTTTGTTTTTGTAGTCTTCTATTAAGTCTGTCAGTGTTTTTTGGTCGTCTGATAATGTTTTCAAGTCTTTCTCTAAATCCTGTATGCGATTGCTCTTTCCTAGAGACTCCTTCTTTGCTTCTTGAAGATCTTCTTCCAGCTTTTTAAAGGTTTCCCTATTCCTAGCAAGTTCTAGCTCAAAATTCTCCAGATCTTTATTCTTCTCATCGAGTTGTTGCCGCATATCTTCAACCTTCTCTTGCTCAACTACCAAAAATTTGTTAACCTGGGAGGCGCGTATCTTCAGATGCTGTTCAATCTCTTCTTTTTCATTCGTAAGACGAATCTTGTCTTCTTCTAGAGCCTCGCAGTTCATCTTAATTTTCTTGATATCGTTTGCAATTTCAATTCTTAATCCCTTTTCGCTTTCAAAAAGTCCCTTCAATTTAACAAGCTCGTTGTCATACCAAGTAATTTTTTGTCTCATCTCAAAGAGCTCATCATCTTTTTCTTCGATGGCTTTTTCTACTTTCTTTCTCTGAGCATGTTCGTATTGATGGCTCCCTGACAACTCATCAATCAGATATTTTTGGTTGATGACGTCACCAAGAGTTTCAGTGTAGTTCTTTTTCACTTTCAATAACTCCTTTGAAATGCTCTTGGTTTCTTTCATCAATGCCTCGAAATCCTTTTCTTGTTTATGTATCTTGTTTGCCGCCTCCTCTTCTCGCTGCATCACCTCTTTCTTTTCTTTTTCAATATTTTCACATTTGCTTTTAATCTCATAATAAGCAGCCTCTAATCTCTGAATTTCGTTTGCTAATTCGTTTGATTTTTCCTTAAGTTCTTTGTTCTCTTCCTCGAACTTTGTTACTGTCTTTTCAAGCTCATTGATTCTTTGCTCAGCATCTTTCGCTTCAATTTTCTTCTTGGTATACTTTTTCTTCGTTGCATCATTTTCTTCCCTTGCTTCTTCAAGGCTTTGATTCAAAACCTCAACTTTGCCTTTGAGCTCAGTTAGAATTTTATTCAAGTGTATCACATTTTGTCTTGCCTCATCGCGATCTTTTTCCACTTCTTTTTTTCTTTCAGTTGTTTCCAAGAATTCATCATGTAACTTACTATACTTCCTGTTTAGTTCCTTGGTGTCATTGTCAAGTGTAACAAGTGTATCTTCTTTTATTTGCAATTGCCTACCTAGTTTTTCTAAGCCATCTGTTGCTTCAGCCGCCAGTTTTTCCTTTTCATTAAGTTGTTTTTGAAGGTACTTCTCATTGTCAAGCAACCTGCGTTTTTCTGCTGCACAATCTTTTGCCTCTAGCTGAAGAGAGTCTTTCTCGAAGTTTAATTTCGCATTTCTTTCTTCAAGTTGGGATATCATTGTGTCATTTTCATGTAGCTTGCTCTCCAGTGTTTTTGTAAATTTCAGCATATCTTCGATTTTTAAGAGAAGATGTTTCTCTTCTGCTGACAATCGCTCATTTTCTTTCACCGAAGCTCCCAAAGTATTTTGTATCTCCTGAAGTGAAAGATTCAATTGTTTTCGTTCTTGCTTCAGATTCTCCAGTTGGTCTTGTTTTTGACTTAGGCGATTTATCAAAGCATCTTTTTCTTGCACAAGATTACTGATATGCTGCTTTCCTTTGGCTATTAGCTCATTATTACTATGTTGCTCCTGCTTTAAACTCTCTATGTCTGCCATTTTTGCTTTACATTCATTCTCCAGATTTTCATGGTCTGTACGTTGCTCCTCAACGATACTTTCAAGCCTTTTGATACTTTCTTCTAACTCTTTTATCTTTTTACGAAGAACAATTCCTTCATCCTTAAATAGCTCTGTCTCATTCGCTTTGGTTAGATTTTCAGCCTTTGCCTTCGTTAAAGACTTTTTCAGGGACTTGCAGGACTGTTCAGACTCCTTCAAATCATGGGCAATATCGTACACCTTCTCAGTAAGCTTCATGATTTCGTGCTCATTATCTTCTTTGCTGTTCCTCGCGACAATCAGAGCTTCATTTAATTCTGAGTTTTCTTTCTGGAGTCTGTTGAGGTTCTCTTGCAGTCCGTTGTTGTCTCGTTGCAAAGATGACAGCTGATTTCTACTAGCCTCGTCTGCTTCTTGGCATTGACGCACCGTCTTTCTCAACTTTCGAATTGACTTTGACGACTGCTCCTTCTCTGTCTTGAGATTGTTTTCAGACGATTGAAGTAGTGCTTCTTTTTGCAGTACGACATTATTCAATGCATTCAACTTCAGAACCAATTCCTCGTATTTCTCTTCGCATCTTGCAATTTCTTCAGTTTTAGCTTCCCTGCATTTCTCCCCATCAGCAACTAAGCTTGTAACCTTTTCGGCCAGCAGACGGTTCTCTTGCTCGTAGTTTGCCATTTTTTTCCTTGAAGACTCAAGTTTTTCTTTCAGGCTGCCTATTTCTCGCCTTTTAATCTCCAGCTCGATTTGATAATCTTTTTCAGTCGCCTTTGCTCGATTGTGCTCTGCAATAAGCTTTTCATAATTATGTTCATTGTTCTCCATCTTCACTTTGAGCATTTCTCTCTCTATACGACCTTCTTCTGCTTTATTCCTTAATCCATGGTATTCCTCTGTCAGCCTTGCAATTTCATTGTCTTTACTTTTAATGTCTGCTTTGTACTTTTCACAACTGCCTTTGTGAGTGCTTACTTTGTTTTCTAATTCAGATATGATAACAGAAGCTCGAGACAGATCCTCATCAGATCTTCGTCTTTCTAAGTCAACCCTTTCGTTTGCCATCATACACAGTTTCAATTTCTGACTAATCGCCGCGTGTTGTTGCTCTTTTGTGGCCAGTTTATCTTCCATAGCCAGTATCTTCCGATTGAAATCAACCAAGTCGTTATCCTTTGCATCACATTCTAATTTCTTTCGTTCAAGTGCATGCTCTAACTGTGTCTTCTCATCAAACATGGCGTCCAATCTTTCTTGTATATTTTCTACTTTTTCAGCCAATCTTTTATTGCTTTCTGTCAGCTGAATAATCTTATTAGACCTCTCGTCCCCTACCAACGAGCAGTTGTGCAACTTTTCATCAAGCAATTGCTTCTCCGTTGACAATTCTTTAAATTTCGCTTCATAATTCTTGATTTTTTCCTTGCAGTCGCACTTTGACTTTGACCTTTCCGTATCAAAAGCATCAATTTTGTTCTTCATCTCTTTATTTTCCTTCTCCTTTTCAGCCATTGCTAAATCCTGTTGTGATTTCTCTTTTCGCAAATCTTCGATAACATTTTCCATTTTCTCAAGGTCCTCTTTAAGTTTGCTATTTTCATCTTCAAAGATATACAGGTAATCCTTCAATTGTGCTACCACTTTTTTCATGTTGCCTTCATAGCGCACTTGCCTCTGGAGTCGCTCTTCAAACCCTACTACAGACGCATTTGCCTCATCTAGCTTGCTACGCAGTCGATCAACCTATTGAAAGACGTTTATTTTATAGCAAAGGGAAATTCACAGGTCCACAATGCCCAAGTATATATACATGGCGGTTTGTTCATACTAGATAGTTAAAAGTACCTACGCCTACAGTCAATATGGATATATAAACACTGTTTTTATTTAACATCTGTTACGATTCAGCTTCAGTCACGTGTTCATATCATTTAATGTTTCACCGTAAGCTTAATAATTGTAACCAAATAAGTTATTGTTACCGCAAAAGCAGATTCATAATTTAAGTCATCTTACTCGCATAATTCTTTGACAGCATTGCATGCTTATTTAAACTTTGGGGCCTCCCTTAAAGTTCATTAATAATCGGTAAAAACCCGCTTTGCTAAATGTTTCTTTTACGCCTTTACGCAACACTAGAATTTGTTTAAGATAGGAATGGTTTAATACAAAGGCTCCTCTAGATTGTAGGCGCTGTTTAAGAATTTTTATTTTCCTTATATAGTTGTAATACATATATTTTCATTCAGATTTTTTCTTACCTGCTTTTCCAAGTTTGAATTGTTTCCGACCAGCTCGGAGCATCTATCAGTTAGGCCCTTGATATCTTGCCTTGAGCTTTCAGCATTATCCAAGCATCTAGATAAAAGGCTTTCTTCCTCGCCAGGTTGCTCATTCTCACACTTTTCAGTCTTTAATATGTCCTCCATATCAAACCTTGCTGTCTTCAATTTTTTTATTGTCGTTTATTTCTGAACTAAATTCCTCGACTATTAACATTCGGATTCTTCTTAGAAAGGGTCGCTTTCAAAGGAAGATTACCAACAAACTACATTATTAGTAATTTATTTGATTTGACGTCACAAGTTTGGACACAGTCCTTTATTGCAACAACCAACCACCTCAATGTTAAGAATCTGACGTTAGATTTATTTTCTTATTTCTGTTAATAATATGTAACGATTTTGCATATTTTTGCATATTTATTGTTTATCCCAATGTTATGATAACTATTCTACCGTAAAAGCTCAATTAAGCCCGAGGAGGGCTTATCTATTTTTGTCAGTCTTAAATGAGGGGCTTAAAAGAGAGGGAAGCTTATTAGAAAGAGGGGTTTTATAAATGATCAATGTAAAAATGTTATAAAAATGCTTTTATTCATTTTTTTATGAAAATGTCATACGAATGTTCTCAAAAACTTTGCCAGCAGCTTCGAAAGTTTCTTAAAATCAATCAGTTATAATGTCCGCATCTTCCGCATCTGTCTGCATCAAAGAGAGGGGGCTTAAAAGAGAGAGGGCATAAATAAGTGGGGGGGGGGGGCTTGATAGAGCTTTTACGTTATATGAACTTATGCCACTCTATGTGTTGAGAATTCAATCCTCAAAATAACCCTTGTACACAAGAAAATCTTTTAGCTTTCGTAAAAAATATAATGATTATAATGACTAAGAAAATCCTTGTGAAAATTAAAATATGTGATGAATCATTTCCTAAAGGCCGCAAAGCCGTTTAGTTTAAATAATTGTAATTGCATCTTACATGACAATGTTTCGCTGTTGAATACAGGGCTCCTTATAATGACTGTCTCATTATAAAGCCTTTCATACACGAAATATAACATTTTTCTGAATATAACTGAAAATAAAATATATTGCTCAGCGTGCACCTTATATGTTCTTCTGCCTGATTGCGTTTATTTGCTTAGTACAATTCATTTTTATTTTATTTACAGCGCCTTGCATTGTGTACTGCTGCATTGATGTTTATGCTCACAAGAGATCGCTTGAGTATTGATTTCGATAAATCGATCTTAGGTATGATTTAATTGGCACCTTACTCTTTGAAATTGACCGTTTCTAATGCAATGCATAAGCCTTTATATGTTGCTTAATTTCTTCATTATTTTCTAATTTTTGTCCTTCATCCTGTTTGATGCTTGGCTAGAATTTTCCATTAACAAAATTCTCTTCTGTTTTTAAAAATTACATGATTTGATCTTCAGTTTGGTGTAGCAGATTGGGGTTGCGCGTGTTTCTGAAAATCTAATACCTATGTTTGTACTTGCTTATAGCAGTTTTGGTCCTAGCCTCTCTTCAGCATTAGCCTTTATGGAAAACGATGTCACCATTTGGTCATTAAATATTGGAATGATTTTCTAATTATCTGAGTGTCGAATAGGATTTATGAAAATATACATCTGACGTGAAATATATGTGTAAAAATGCGAGCGACTGATACAACAAGGGACATATTTCAATCGATACGAGTTGTTATCCCATTTTCTCACTGTGTGAGATGTTCCATCATTGAAACTTCTAATATGCATGCAAAATGCTTCAACTGCCCTTTGCTCTTCTGTACTTAATTTTATTATAAGACATCAAAGCCACTTCTGTTGTTTGAAAGACAGATTGGCAATAATACTATTCTTGATGGAGAACAGGATTTGGGAAACTCAGAAATCTGAAAAGAGTGCTCATTTTGAATATATTTTCACTTCGAAGTGAAACTGATATAATTAGTGGAATCTAGAATCTACGAAACTTTGTTTTCCTTCTGCATAAATATATTTTCGCTTTGATGTATAAAACAACGGTTTTTGCTGTTCTTCACACCAAAAGTGTGTACAGCTCTGCCTAACGGCATCGAACATTTTATGACAGACCGGTAAGCAGTTTTCATTGAATATATATTTAGGTTTATTTGTTGTGTTTTTGTGCCCATTAATGTTTGCAATTTTGTTATAGAAATGATGCTTAAATTGCTTGCAATGAAGGAAGATGCAGAAGAAGAGTCCTCAAAAGACTGGACTAGGCTTACCACGAAAATAAAGTATGTTTTTTTAGATTATGAAGTCATATTAAAAACCCAGAACTTATCTTTGTACAAGCATACAGAATGTTATGATTTTGATGTTAGATATGACAATCAAAATTGTGTCCAAAGTGGTTATCAAATTTTTTGTTAATAAGCCATTGCTTTGCGTTGGTTTGAAATGAGAACCGAGTTGACATATAGAAATATTTTTGCAGGGACATCTTTGGAAAAGATTCGATCAAAGGAGTAAACAATCTGGATTTATCCAAACTTACGGTAAGTAAATTAATGACAACAATTCATTATAAAACCATATTGCATAATATTCTGTACTCTTTAAATTCATTTTTACCATGTCGTTGCTTATCTGTTGTTCTTTTATTGCAAAGCCATTTTCAAGTTTTGTACCGCCAAAAGATTGTTTGAATGAATTTAACCATTATTTTTATCGTTATATAACCCAAACCGTTTTAATAATGGTTATAGATATAGCCATTATTAAAGCTATTGTTTTTTGTTCAATAATTGTCGATAAATGAATGATTAAATTCACCAGTTTTCGTATTTAGATAAACATTAAAATGGTTTTTCTATGGGATTCATTTTATCTTTCAAATAGGACATTGATATCAGTAGACAGAATGAAATGATTGCATTGAATAATAAAATGTAGCTTCCTTACTTTTCAATTGATAACTGCTTTCAATTTCAATTTTCACCTAAAATCAGCAGCCCGATATGCAAAATAGTTGTCAATTTTGTTTCGAATTGGATTTTTATTTTTTTTCCTTACATCTCATCTCAGTTAGCAATTTTTTGTGTCTTCCAGACGGAATCATTGGCGAGAGAATCATTTTTGTCGCTTACACTGCAAAGAACTGGCTCCTGGTTCAAAGACGAAATTAGATTGCTTGGTGGTTTAGATCACGTGGTCGATACGGGTACGTGATTGTCTTTCATTAAGTTGGCATTTCTAAATAATATTTTTTTATTTCGAAGTTTTATTGATAGTATGATGTAAAGTTGTCAACAAATTTATCTCTATTTTTAAACGATTTCTTTGAAATTTATCTGTGGTTGAAGCAATTCTGCTAAAACTGCCTATTGAAGACAAATTTTGTATGTATATATACAGTAATCCCTTCTTGGTAATTAAGCTCTCTTTTTCCTATATTTATCTCTTCCTGCGGTTTAAAAGTTGCTCATTGATTATCCCGTTAACTTATATTTTCTATTGGCATTTTCTTCCTTTTTTGCTCAAACTTTTTTTTCTTTCTTGTAAGAATTTTTTTATCACGGCTTATTCCTGTACCTAACTCGTGTTCGTAAAAAGTTTCCATAGAATTTAATATCGACTCATAATTTCAACTGCGCTAACTTTGTATTTTCCTTCCAGTCGTCTCCTGTAGCAAGTGTTTGAAAGTTAACGGCAAGTCATCTGAAAATGATTCTGTGACGAGCGTGAGGCAGATAGAAAGATGCTTGAAATTATTAGAAAATGTAGGTTTATTTCTATACAATGGTTAATTGCCCTTATGATTCTTTACAGTACCCCAATATAATTCGGGCAATCCCGTAAATCAAAGATTTGTCCATGCCTTATCAACATTTAATAAATCCCCTTTGCTAAGCCCTTAGCCCTCTATCAGTTTATCCCATTCTCTGTTATCCTTCGTTGGAACCTCTTCTAATCTGCCCGTTCTATAATTATAATTTTCCCAGAGACTGGTCTCTTATTTCATGAGTCAATGACAAAACTGTCACGGCCTAATCTCTTCTACTGTCTGCAAATACGTTGCCTTCTGTCTCTTCAATTTCCCATGTATCTGTCTGCTAAATGTCCATCTGTGGTCATAAATCTTCTGTGCATTGCAAAAGCTATTGAAAAGTGTGGATTGATTTGTCTTTCATTTTCCCCATCCTCCCTATCAGTTGTTGTGATATATATAACTGTCTGTTGCAGGTGACAGTTCAATGTACTTCCAATCAAGGCTATTTGGTTTCTTACCGAGATTCGGCTTTACTCGAATCATGCGCAAGGTATTAACAAACTATTAACAACAATTTCTTAAAACAAAGTGTTCACCAATAAAGAGCTTATAAAAATGAAAATATCCGTGTTTCCGCAATAAATGATCAGTTAATTCACACAAGGGTCGCGCGAAGAGACATTATCCAAGATTTTTCATTTTCGAAGGGTATTAACTTGACAATGTTTCCTTGATTTAGGTTATTTTAGTTAAAGACGCTGCATTTACCAGCTCTGGTTTCCTTAAGGTTACAGGAACACTGAAAAAATTGACGTCTGGTGTCATGGTATCAGGAGAATCATGAGAAAATTTTAAGAAATCCGGCAAATTACTCTGCTTAATAACCGAAATAACTTCAAGAATCATTGTTATTCTGGTTTTGATATCCCTAATATAAAGTTATCGCGTGCAAACTAGCATTTATGATTTCGGTGCTGGTCTAATTAGAGACCATGTATTTCAGATATGTGTTCTCCAATTCCAACAATTTTATAGCAGGTTTAGGCAAAGAGGAAAGGAGAAATGGTGTGAATTTTGATTTGATGCGAAAAATTGAAAGACAAGTGAATGAAATGAAAATCTCTGTTTTTTGTCAAGTTTACTTATTTCAGCAACAGTAAAACTTTGGGGGGGCTAAATTGAGAGGGGGCTAATTATATTTTTCTTTCTGAAAAGGGGGGTAATAAGTGAGAGGGGGCTTAATTGAAATGGGGGGGGGCTAACAGAGAATTTACGGTAATTGTGTTTTGTTTTGCAATTTCATTCTATAATTTTTATTTCCTTTTATTTCTCAGATTACTCAAATTTTCAGTGGCATCATTATTTGAAAGTGAACAAGAGAGTGCAATTGATGTTCAGGCTCTTTGGTTTTCAACAATGAAAATGCTTTTGAATCTTACTCATGATAATGGTTTGTTGTTTTTTGTATTCTCACAGTAGTTGATTAAATCGATCTCCATTATTTATTTGTATAAATTGACATATCTCTGAAGGATAAGACAACAGCTTTCCCCTTTCTTGGCCTTTGGAGGTTGATGTTTACCACTTTACCCGTCCAATGGACGTGAAGAGGGTCGAGGCTATTTCAGTGGACGCTTTGTTTCCTTATAAATATCAATCTGAGATGATTAAGTTTCTGTATAACCTGTAAAATTCTGTATATGTTATGACTAGCCTTTGGTTTCTATAGTCTTTATAAACGGACATAATGTAAGTTCTCACCTAAATTTGTCATTCTTTTATTTTTGGATGGTTCTCACTTTGCGGGTTAGGCTATCAAATCAAAATAGGCTTTTCTTTCCAGATCTCAAAAAAAGATTTTCTTTGCGGACCCTGATGCAGTGGGGTGGGGGATTTTAAGATAGTCCCAAAAAGATGCAAATTTCTAAGAAATCGATTTTAGTCTTCTCTCAGTCATATTGTCTAATGGCTCATGTGCCAAAATAAATATGCTGCTATTACGTAATCATGGTAAGATATTGTTACAGCATGCTGGCTTTCTTTCATAGTGTGTTTAATGTCCATCAAAATCCTATCTTCTTGTACAGTTTCTGATCACATTAGGTTTTAATTTGATTAAATGAACATGCATCGAGACTTGAAACTTTTTTTGCAATTTAGAACTTGCTAGCACGCGATTTTGTCAGAAGAATGATGTTTTGGGTCTTCTTTTAAAGACCGCCCTGCAGGTAATCTTTATTTAGTTATCTCTTAATACACTTCAAAGCTCACATACACCCAAAGAAACATGTTTAAATACTGTGAGAAATGATTTTGCCTTGCTTTTCCTTGATATAATTTTTGTGTATGCAGTAGATTGTTGGTATTAAGAACAAAAAAGATGCTATTACTCAGATGTTTCTTGAAAGTCCACCCCTTCTGTAAAAAAAGCCAAAAAGACCGAGGGATACTCCAAATTGTTTGCGCTCAAATCCTGTCTATACGAACATTACGTACATTACGTACGTACATACGCCTTTGTAACTGGGGAGGAGGCATCTTTTTTGGAATACTGGTGTCATACGCCTTTGTAACTGGGGAGGAGGCACATTTCTTACGTTACGTACGTACATACGCCTTTGTAACTGGGGAGGAGGCACCTTTTTTGGAATACTGATGTCGTGGCTTCGGATCAGTTTTCATACTGTACTCTGATCACGTAATCGAACTCAACTCTGCTTGAACTTTGGAAAACCTCCAGATATAAGTGTGCGGGGGATCACTGCATTGTGATTTGGACTGTGATTGTAAAGAAATAAAGATAGTAGAGTAGATATCCGGATTTGTATTCAGGTTGTCTGAATGATGAATTGTTTTGTTGTTTTTTAACTTAATGCACTTAATAGAATTGATAGACTTTCTTCCTACACTATATTTTGAATAATTGAGCAGCGTAATTTTAATTACTTTTCAAAGAAAGTATTCAGTATGCCAAGAAGCTTTATTTCTGACAAATTAAACCAATTTCCGGGAGGCTGAACTGCTATTTTTTCTTTTAGTGCCCCAAGCATTTGCCAGTTCCAAAACAATTCGATGTCGCTGTTCTTGTAAGCATCAAAATTCTACTTGATATGTTTGTTTTTACTTTAAACGACCTAAAGGTGAAAGTTTTGAAAATTTATTGAAAATATGTTAAAGGAGCTTGCAATGACACTACATGGTACGAAGCTGTTGGTTAGGAAGATTATGACAAGACATCACAGGATACTTTATAAAATATAACAAGATACTTTATTCCTCTTGATTTTGTAGTTTTTTTCTTTGTGTTGATGTGAATCGACAGCGCCCGTGAACACCCTGCAGTAAGAGCCATGTTTGAACAATTTACAATATCTTAGAACACCATATTTAATTGATCAACATTTTAGTGGTCGAGAGATTAAAAACTGAACATTTGAATGGGATTTATGCATTGATGTGGGCAATGCTGATATGAACAAAGTAGGCAATACGTTGATATTTATATTTCCATTTTGTTTTACGTCGTGCTTAGGCCTTGGGGCAGGCTCCAAATTGGCGTTGCATTTTTCTTTTCAGTCTAAGCTGCATGCCGAATTGATAAATGTAGTTATATTAGTACGATTTTCGCTTGTTTTAGAGTCTTGGTTTGATAATCAACCTTGTTGAGTACAGCAAAAAGAACCTTGCAGCTTTGAACGCTGTTGTTGCGCCCGCATTCGATAGAAAAACTCCTGAAAAACAGGAATCGCAGAGCCAGAGAGAGGAGGCCTCAGCTGTTGATTCGTTGTTGCATCTGTTTCTAGTAAAGTTAGAAGCTGCAAAGGAAAACAGTGGAATGGAAGAAGATCTCTCGAAACTGAACAGTAAGACATCATCATCATCAAAATCAAAATTACATTTAACGACCCATTGCGGGTCGATACAAATGTCTACGCATCTATCGTTTGCTGAAATGGTTTCTACATAGACTGTGAAAGGATTCTGAGTTACACTGATTAACTATGTTATCAGGCAAGCTATTCCAAATGGGTATGATGGAAAAGAAGAATGAAAATTTAACAGCATCAACTCTTCCCAATTTTGAATTAAATAGTTTAAATGCAAAATCATTACCATCCTCTACCATTAGAAGGATGTGGCCGTTGCAATATTTTCAGTTTTACGCCAAAATCTTTTGATGATACGAAAACTTAACGTTGACCAACGTTGTCCAGACTTAAAAACATGCGAAAAAGTTTTATTGTTAAAGGAAAATGTTTTGCTCATAAAAAAACTCGAAATACCATATGTCGATAGCCTGGGTAATTAAAGGGTTGACCTCACCCGGGTGAGCTAACTTTCTAAGCTCAAGTGTAAAAATGATCCCAAATTGGCTAACCTTTGTTTGTGGCAACCGCATTACTGGCCATGACAGATAGGTTAATGGAATATTTCACGCTCAGGACATCAAAGCAAAGTTATTTTAGCTGTCTGGGTTCTTTTGATGGGCTTTCCATATCCTTAGCTTTGTTTCAATAACATTTTATAGGGGGTATTCCATCAACTACAAATTATCAAGTCTTCTTTGTTTTCATCAATTCTAGACTCTTTGCATAGCTCTAACATTCGAGTCGGCAGCGATGGGCTAAGCCTCGTTTGCGGGGATGATTTAGACAAAACCCAGACTGAAAACAGTGTAACGGAGGAGCCGACGGAAGAAGGAAGTGTGGAGGAGAAACCACCAACGGCTGAGAATGAAGCTGAAAAAGAAGCCGAACATATTGGCAGGGGTGCGTGCTGTATGCTGGTGCTTTTTATTTTTAACTTGTAGCTATTCCCGTATAATAAGAATAAAACTGTATACAGAGTCTAAACTCAGTTTGAAAGTGGCCTACCATGGTGCCTAAAGATTGTAGAATTGGATTGTTGAATTTTACGCAGATAACCCTAGAAATTGTTTTTTCCAACGGGTCGGTGGTAAAAATAACCCGAATATGACTCACTGCTAGTTTTGATAAATTTGAAATTGGATAAAATTTGGAATATATCTGCAGTTTTAACGAAGCGACCCGATGACCTAAATATATCTTACGCATAATTATACTAAAGGATTTTTTCCATTATTTGGAGAGGGAATGAAATAGAGCTAGACCCTTTCATTTGTTGAGTTGATGGGGGGGGGGATAACTGCCTATATTTTGACAACTGAGCCACCCCACTGCCTAGCATTGAAAGAGTATGCCCCATTGGGATTTCAGGTCACCCCTGACCAAAGAGTACAAAGAGTGGCGATGACTCTTCGATGAGTCGGCGATGAATCGTTCCAATATTCGCAGATTTTTTTTTAACGGATCAAGCGCCTTTCTTTTGTATTATTTGAACTTTTTATGCAGGCCTAAACAAGAATAGATATTTTTTAAGAATTAATCAGAAAAACTTCCAGTAATACACGTAAAATCGTATGCTGCATAATTTTGTATCGTATTCTTGACATTGTTGTTGTTGTTACTTGTAGCATTGCAGAAAGCCGGTCAACATATGGAGGACAGTTTGATTGCGTCATACGCAGCCTTGCTTCTTGGTCTTCTTGCTGAGGATAACAAGGTATGTTCAATCCCAATGGCGTACAGTTACATAAAGCATTAACGTATCAAGCAATAAAGGACAATTGCAATCAAAACTCTACTTATTTTCTTCACTGAAGCTCTTACTAGAACACTCTGTCTTAGTTGCCTAACAGAATAGCCGCCCTCGCCCTGTGCTTTGCTGTTTAGCGTGCCAAATCATTTAATTAAAATAAAATACTTTTTCGTTAAAAATCTTGTTTTGATTATTCACGTTGTAAAGCAACGTATTTCCAATGGATGGTCTCTTTTTTGCTAAGGTATCATTCCTTTTTTGGTCGAAGCCTGATTTGAATACATTCATTATCCTAGACATCTTAAATTGGATTTGAATTTGATTTGAATACATCTATTGATCGGTTATTATTGTAGGAAAATCAGCAGACGATATATGAACATTTGCAATATGGAGACTTCGGGGTCATGACTCACACGCTGGATAAGTTCCTTGCTTTCATGAACATGACTGTGAGTATTTCATTTAGGCCCATTTTGGCTGGCTATTTTTGTTGTAGTCTAATTACCGATAATAACAAAGTTCACGATCACCACTCGATAAATCCCCTAATTCGCCTTTCGTTTACTGCTCTTTCTCTTGATACAAGCAGAATTTAAATTCAAATACCAATTTTTCCTAAACATTCCTAAACATGTAAAATGAATGCCACTAGACATAACTAAGGTTTGGCATGTCTCATCCTTGTTGAGAAAACTTTTAGCCAGTTATACATTTCTGAATAATAATTTATTAGAGAAGATCAAATATCATTTTAATTCTATAGAAATATCATTGCTACATTTTTAGAGAAAAGTTAATGATTTTTACTTCAGTAAACAGAGTTCGTTAGGAAGGTCGCATGTTTGCTGTATGCATTTACACAACGTTTTTTCATTTTTCCTCCAAAAAGGCCAACACATCCAGTTCATCTAGTTCCCTCATCATCAAAAGAGCCATTTCTACATTGGAGAAATGTAAAGTGGAATATCCACCAAAGCTGCCTGTAACGTAAGCTCAAAACATCTTGCTGTAAATTTTTCTTAATGTCTTTTCTTAACTCAAAAGACTTAAAAAGTATCTTAGAAAATATAAAGTTATGTAGTTTTACATGTTTTTTTATTTGGCAGTAGGAGTAACAGTTTCGTTCTTTGGAAACCTTAGTGTTTAGAATTATAATTTTTCTTTTATTTGGCCTAAGTAGTATGCAAAAGCGAGTAAGTTTTAAGCTGAGCATGTATTGATATATATTTGGTTTGGTTTTTAGATTGAGCTTTAATAGCATTGACGCTGGCAAAGGTATTCTGAACACCTTTCAAAGCATCCGCTTGTTTTTTTTTCGTTTACTGTTAAAGTAGGCCATGACATGACACGACACGACACGATACGACACGACATGATACGACATGACATGACATGACATGACATGACATGACATGACATGACATGACATGACATGACATGACATGACATGACATGACATGACTGAAAAGTTCCAAGTGAAATATGCGATATGAGGAAAATTTTTTTCACTCGTATATATTTTCACTCTTCGCGATAACAGGGAGGCCATGGGCCCTTTCCTTTCTGTTTTTTCATATGAAGAACGTTCAGACCCGTGATCTAGACGGTTCCCTGCGAGTTCTATGTGAAATCTAATGTCATTGTAAACTAAATCGTCCCCTTTCTACATAACGCAGTTATTGGTGATATAGGACTTTAATGCAATCCATTCACATGACGCGAATTTCAATGGCTGTTCCAAGATGTTTCCTAAATACTGTTAATGAATTTTGCCGTTAGATCCCTTCTTCTAAAGATTTCGTCTTTCCTCCTCATGGCACCCACTTCAAGGATATTTTACTAATGGCTCAGAGGTGTCTCTACATACCGGAAACTCGCTGTTAGTAGCCAATATTTCTGTGATAAACCCACCTTTATTCTAAAGACAGCGCCTTGGTTTTTCCTTCTTATGTCGTCCACTACAAGTATATACTTCTGATTAATCCAGCTTTTTTCTAAAGATTATGCCTTGGTCTTTCCTTCTCATGACATCCACATCAAAGATATGTTACTGATGGCTCCAAATAATGTATACGTACCAGATATTCGCTTTTAGTACCGAAATCAAGGCCATTGTACGGATAATTAAAAAAAGCATCGTAGCTACGGGACAAAATATTTCTTAGAAGATACGCCAGGCCTTATTCTGAGGGCTACAATTGTTATTTAAGGTCTACTCAGAATATAAAAACCTATAACTTTAAATTGCTGCCATTATTTAGTTCTGTATTTGGTTATTGGCCTTTAAATGTGAGAGCAATCTATGTCTCCAACGCCGTAGCACCTCGAACAAGGAAGGCCTTTGGAGTGTTCGCTATGATTTTCATTTTTAGCTTGAATATGTTATTTATCGTATCGGCTAAAATAATGCACTGAACAAAAAAAATGTGCATCGGTCGGGGCTCACTTGAGGGTGGAGACTTAGTTGAGGGGAGTGTCTTTTACAGGGGGAGGGGGGCAATTCGATGATATGCGTCATACGCTTTAAAGTGTTAGTATTTGGCGTATTTCGTACTTTTAACAATATCTAACCCAAACCTTAAAAAGCTGTAAATATTGACAATTTTTAATTGTTAGTTTCCTTTTCAAAACGTATTAATTCAATTTGTTCTAAGAGTAGTGTTTCGTTAGGAAAGACGTAACTATCAGCCTTCAGTAACAGACTGTGGACAAAGGCAGTTGCAATAAATACCGCAAATTGCTATTTCTATTCTAGAATCGTAACGTATTACTTTAGTACTCATTGTCTATCTTTTATTTCCTCATCATATTTTGACGTAAAGCACTCACGATTATACTTTTTTGTGCATTATACTTTTCTCACAAATTTGAAGACTTTACCCGCGATCACTGACATGACCAATAGAATTCTTAAGTGATGGCGTCACGAAAATATGCTTAAAGAATTTTTGAATTTGGATCCATGGCTTGAAAAAGCATCAGGAAATGGCTCTAAGTATAAAATAATTCTTGACAGTGTTACGAATTGGCAGAGTTGTCCACATGAGCACAGACTCTTCTGACAAAGCCTATGTAATTTAGGCTCTGTTCATAACTGTATCCACAATTGATAGGATGGTTTGTTTTGCTGCACAAACAATGCTTATCAAGGATATGTTGCCATAAAATAGCTATAAAATTCCGTTAAACTGAACAATACTAATATGATATACGAAGTATCTCCCTCAAAACCTTAGCGTTCACTCATTGCAGGTTCTTTTCTTAGAAAGTTTAGAAAGTTATTTTATTAACAGCACAACAAGTTTAGACGAAAAAATTTGGTTTAAACCCATTTTCTGAAAAATGTAATGCAGCCGCTAATGCACGAAAAGGCCCTGTGCAAATGAACACCCATATTTCTGACAACTGTGTCAAATTCTCTCTTTAAATTTATCACTGTCTATGGCAACTTGATCTTTACATTTTTTAGAATTAGGTAACCCTGTTTGCTCAGTCATTTTCTGTTTAAATTTCATCTGTGCTCGTCAAATGTCTTGTCAACAAACTGTTGTTACTTTAGAATTTGCTTCTCTTTGCACTTAATCTCTGTATTCCGAGGTGGTACTTTTCAGGTAGATTTAAGTTTTGAACTTATTATCATCAACATTGGCTATAAAACTATCATTTTTGCTATCTAATTAGTGATTTTAAGCCTTGAAATGTCTGTGACTGTAATCTGCTAATATTCTGACTTCTAAAATTCTTAAAGGAGAATTAGCCGAACATTTATGATTTCTCTATTTATTTTCCCCCCTAATGCGTGCGCTAAATAATTTTAGTTTTAATAGCTTCAATTTAGGGTGTGTAGTTGTTGGGAAGCTGTGTTGTTTTTGCTATAGAACTTTAGTTAAAGTTCGTGCAAAAAACCTCCTTAAAATGTTTCCTTCAAGCCTGTCTGCAAATTTTATTATCCTTTGTTGGGGAGACGAGCAAGAGGAGGTTTTAAATGAGTGAGGCAACCCTCCCGAACATGCAGATGGAGCGTAATAACGCATGCTCTTTGACTCAAGGACGGAGAATTTTCCTCACACGTGAAGATTTTTTCGCTCGTTCGTCTCCGCAACAAATCCCTACAAAAAGGCAATGTCAAAAAGGTGTCATTTGAATTTACAAAAAAACAATGATATTTTCATTTTGTCTTTTTTTATTAAATTTCCAAAATACTGCGTCTTTCTCATTTTTATGTTCTTTTCTATTGACACACCTGTTTCATTAACACGTTTTAACACCTCCTCATTTGAAGTGTGACTTGTGTATAAGATCCTAAGCATTTTCCGATACATCCACATTTCAAAGCTGTTTAGTATCCGCGTTAAGCGTCCAGGTTTCACTTGCATATTAAAGTGTTGATAACACATAACATCTGCCTAAGCACTTTCTTGTCTCGATCTCAATGTTTCTTGCTGTAAAAACATCACCCATATTTAGAAAAGTCTGTCTTGCGATTTCTATACGTTGTCTTATTGCAGTATCTAATCTACCATCAGATGTGATCGTTTGCCCCAGGTACTTAAATGTTTGCTGAATATCAAATAGAACAGATAGAAAAAGAAACAGAAAGTGTCTTCCACTCATTTTAATTCATTATCTCCCAAATACAATTGTTACATAAATCTCTCAAACTGATTCTACTAGTAAATTAAAATACAAAAACAAGAACATCAAAAACAGAAGATTCATTCTGAAAAATAAAGAAATACTTAGAAGAAAGAAAACTAAAAAGTGGAAAATTACAGCTTGCAAAGCAGTCTACTTATTGAAAATACTTGAACGCATCTAGGAAAGTCTAACGCTCTGCAACAACAGCTTCATTTTCAGAATTTGACAAGATAATATTTATATGACTGAGATAAAGGGCGTAAAATGGGGTATTAAATTTGTACTGGGCAGTGAAATTGATCCAGTCAATGGTTTTTACCTGAAACTTAACCAACTACACAGGCGCGGCTTTTTGGCCCCATATTGAGATCCTTTGCAAAAGTACATACAACTAGGTCCATTTTACCTTCGCCTGAAAAATTTACGAGTAAACATTCAATTGAAGCCATGGTCCTGACCAAACAAACTTGGAAGTTGTGAATTTTGCTAATAGAACAGTGTAACCACCAAGTAAGACCTACGACCTAGTTGCTGAAGTCCATTAATCTTGGGTCAGGCTTGAGGGGCAGCAGCTAAGAAACTTTGGCTTAAATATCAAAACCTCCATTAGCTGATACAATCTTGTAACTTTAAACAATGATAATTATAAACTAGAATCCCCGAAATATTCTATCGCAATAACGATATCCATGACATAAAGACATTAAATACAACACTCAATGCATTAGTTGTATCAACTTTCCATTTGTTTATTACTACGTGGATGAGTTGTCAAAATCTCGTGAAATAATTTTTGGGTTTTAAAATAAGGATTTTTAGCGTTCCTAAACGCTTTCGAGTGCAGAACAGAATTGGAACAGAAATATAACTATTACGCAGCGATAACTAATAATAGCAAATTTCCCTTAAGTATTGCTGCCTAAGGTTTGACACCTGAGACGCTGGCCATATTTTGACCAACTGAATTGCATTTATCATTCAAACGACCAATAAATCATTGCATGTATGCCAATTGTGTGAAATAGAGGATCTTGGTCCTATCACATAAATCGTTTACTACTACCATACGAATGCATTTCTGAAACGTAGATTAGATTCCCTGGTTTTTAAATAATATTTCTAACTGCCATTAAATTTTGGTTGAAACTGTTGGGCTCTAGGTTTCCATAAAGTGCGAGAACTTACCAGCTTGAAGTCACCTTGATTCCTATTCTGCGCGGGCAGTTTACAGAAAGGAGCAAGAATAACTTGCCTTCCTCTCGAGTTATCTGGGAATTCGTGTCACCAATTATACAAATAGGATAGCCAAAGCTCATAAATTCTCCCCACGGTCTGATATCAGAATGCCTTTCAAAATACATGAAAGGTTCGACTGAAAGGACCTTCTAATGAATCGAATATTTGCAACAACCACAAGAGCAACGATAATATTTATTTCAATAGCTACTTTGCTTTTAATTGCACCAAAGGCTAGTAGCACCAAAGAACGAGCCTGAGAGGATAAGGGGTCTTAACCTGGGTTTTCTCTAGATGATCTCTTTTCTTTCAAGACAGTAACACTACTACCATAATCTCTAAACTGTTGGCATTAGCTGGCAGTACATATCAACTGTCTTGATTCTTTTCCATGATATCACAAACTGCCTGCCTGTCCCCCTCGTACGATTCTTAGGTGCTGCTAAGCCCTGGCATGATTTAGCTAAACAAAATTCAGACTCGGCTGAAACATTTTTAGCGATCAAACGGTCTTTTAGATCTCTTTGTTAGTTAACAATGTACTCAAAACACGACATAAATTTAAATAACTGGAATAAAAACCCTTAGGTTACTAAATACCCTAGACAATAACCAATAAGAATATTTTTGAGATGCCTAGCGGCTAATTTTTGTGCAATAATTCTGCGAACACCATGATAATTTTACGCTCATTTCCGTATCACACTGACCGTCTACTGGTTGTTTTAATATGGTTCTTGGCAGCGCTTTCATCCAAGAAGAGCTCATTTTCAAGATTAACAAACGCCCTGTACGTGCTCTATAATGGGTTTATCGACTTAAACTAACGATAAAGTGCTATCTCAAGATATCAAAAGGCTTTATTGTGAGGCCGAAGGGAGCCAGCTCCATGAAATCCGCCTGACACAAAAGCCCTTACTACAGTTTGCTGTTATCATTTATAAAGAGTTACCACTTGCCTGCCGGGCCTATCTGAATATATAATAGCACAGTTTGAGTAGCACAATATGGCTAGTTATTCGAGCAAGTTATGAAAGCTCTGTCCTGGACTTAGTTCAAAATTTCCAATAAAATAGCTTTGTATTTCATCCCTGTAGTCTCTTATTTCGACAGTCGTTTGGTGACAAAAATGTCGCAATCGACTCGTAAATCGAGACACGTGGATTAGTAACTGACCGTGTAATATATCGTTTAAATTTTATATATGGTCTACGCGCCCCTTTTAATCTCACAGCACAGCCTCTAACCAAATAAATTAACTAAATATAAATCTTGCGACAATCTCAGCGATGACGAGGTACTTTGGTATCTTTTAAAGTCATATGGTGCGAAGCAGGTCTTTAAAAAGCTCGTGTCCTGCAAATACAATCTGCATTTGTCCTGAGAAATAAAGTTATTTTGCATCGAATTATGGACTGACGTATATTGTGATAGACTTTGGTCCTAACAACTAACCAGCTTACGTCCTAGAAATGAACCTAGGACGCCCTAAAAGTGCACCGGCGTCGGTCCTCTTGAGTTACTACTGCAAGTGTACAGCTTTTGTTTGTTGATACAATAACTGTCACTGACCAACTTTCTTTGCGGCATACACCCAACGAAAGGGATGAAATACCGAATTCCCCCCGACCTGATACGCAGCACTACATGCACTTCAAATGTGCAGATGAACCCGTCTTTTGGACTGAACTCTCCTAGATTGATCCTCCCGACTTTATCTTCTAAGTGCAGTATCACCCTGCACCCTTGCAGGCCGCATGGCTCGTCCTCTGCCGACTCGATGATATCTTTAGCGACTTTCAATGCTACCCAGTCGCTTATAAGGGGGCAAGTGCATTCTGGGCTATTAGTAACAATTTCTTTAATCTGCAACGCTAAATTGTCCTGGGGGTCTAGATCTGTTATTTCCAAGAACGTCCCATAATCCCTGAGGCTCTCCCTCGACGATTCAAAGTTGTTGCTCTCTAAGAGATAAAAAACATTTAGTAGAATATGTGTGCGATGCAAATGTTATATGATAAAGTGGGGGCAATTGCGGTTATAACCCCCCCTTCGACCATACTTGCGTAACTAGGAGAAGATATAATTGATACGCAGAAAAAGAAACATCTATACGCACGTGGCCTGGTGTGAAAATAGAACCATAATATATTAAGAAGTCCAATATGACAGATGAAAAAGTCCGTCAAGATGATGACAGCATCTTCTCCCAAAATAAATCCAACCTTTGCGGAAGATGTGCAATTACGTCATAGCGTATCAGGCGGAGAGGGATGGGTTTTCGTAAGTACCTGTTTCTTTTCCACAGTACCTCCCACAAAAGCACCCTGTTTTTCGTTTATAGGAACCCTTTTTATGTATGGAGAACCTGAAATGGTGGCTGGATGGTCTCAACACAGTGGTGTTGTGCTATCAAAATAACCAGCAATATTCTTGCATAAAAATATTGCTGAAAACGACGGCAAAAGTAGAAATTGGCTACACCTCTGGCTTATTAAACAATAACTTTCTAAAAGGCAAACTTCAACCCAAGCCACCACCTTAAAAAGATTTTCATTTAGAGGCGGGAAATGGTTTCAATTCCTAGAAACAAAGCATTCCTAAAATAGAGAGCTAGGGTGGGCTATACGGATTCCAACCCAAACAGAGCCGTGTGTTTGAATTGTTGGAAATCATACAATAGAGAAGCTAGGTTATTTACTAGAAGATGTTCTGGGAAAATCTGCCAAAACGAGTGCCAACCGTGAATTCATTGAACTCGCTAATTCTAAAACGGCAAACAATACACCCATTAATTTCTGATATGTATCATACTCTGCATGGGACAGATTTTTTGCATTAGGAGGCGCTTCTGAACTTTGTTTGCCTTTGATGTTGACAGAGCACTGCTCTTTGACTCACAGATGCACGTCAAAAATGACTCATGCACGTACTCCGTGTCCCAGGTAGGGGTCACTTCTCGTAACATGGAAATGGGTTCTATTTATCAGCCGGAACATAGTGTTTGGCCGGAAGAATGAACAAGATTTAGATAGAATGGGCAAGTTAGTTAAAAATTTAACCCATCAATACACAAAGTTCCCTTCAAAACTCGCTTCTCTCTTAGCCAAGCCAGGGATAAATTATTACGAAAAGGGTAAAGGGGGCCCTTGTGAAAAATTTCTCTAAAAACAAAAGCAAAAAGTAGATGGACCACTTTTTGGCATGAACAAAGGAGGGCTCACTCTACAATTATTTGTGATAATTCATAAAAAAATGGCATTGCACTTTTCCTCGTTTATAATTAGCTCCACAGTCCTTTGCAATCCAATCCCCAAAACCTTTCTGTATTGCGAGACGGAATTTCGGGACAGAATCGAATATAAGAAGGGTCTGCGGTTTGTGTATTCCTGGTAATTGTTTAGCAAATCTCTTGTGCAATCATACTGAGAAAATCGAACCACAATGGTTAGGTCTTGAAAATGGCTCCATCCACCAGTTAAAAAACAGAAGTCTGAGGGGGTCGGGCGGATACTGACATTTTCTACACTCTTTTTCTTGTTTAAGAATACTATTTAAAGAATTTTCATGTTCAAAATCCTACGATTTTTAAAATATTATAACAATATTTTTCCCCTGAAATCATTGAACCAAATAAGAATACTTTACGAATATATCCCGGCTCGAAGCGAAAATTTCGTAATAATTATGAGATTGGAAAAAATGATATGGTATTCTTATCAAAATTAGGGTAGAACAGTTTTCCAATCTCTTTTCTTCATGATAATTTTCTCGACAGTTTTACTTCGTGACTTATTCGGAGATTTTCAATGATTATGATGACCAAGACTTAGATTTCCAGAATCTCCTCAGCAGACAGACACTTCTTTCCAATAACAAGTTCCATGCTATTTTATCGGTATTCCAGTCAAAAGGAGTTTCATATCGACACTCAATGCTCCCACTGGCTAAAGGCACGAAAAGAAACAACCAGTGGTGTACCCAAGGGGGGAAATAGGTACGGACCCCCCACTTTTCTAAAAAATGGTCCTCGAGATTTGTCCAAGAACGATGTAAAACCCGGGGGTATTTACCATAGCTAACAAGAATCAAATAATGGGGAAAATTTTTTGCAAAAAGGGCGTTTCCCTACATTTGCACGTGCTTGAAGGGCGTGGCCCAAAAAATTTCCCAGCCCCTGCTGCAGCTCGCCATTGGAGACAACGGTAACACTACACAATAGATAGAAATGAGGCCCCCAGGGTTCCGGAAAGGGAACATAGCAACATTTTATGTTTTTAACTTGAACCAAGGTAAAAATTCGATAAAATCTTAAAAGGTTTTTAGGGAACATTTAAGGAACATTGTTGGGTACAGGGGAGGGGGTATTTTTGATAATTTTCTCTTTGTTCTCTTGTCTCTTTGCATTAAAATTATTTTTGTTGCAACGAAAGCAATGAAATTGCAATAGTAGCCTAACATGATTTGAGTAAATATAACCACAATCTACAAACTGAAGACCCTAATTTAGCCCTGCAAAATGTAATCGAACTAATGCAAAATTTTCGACAAACGTTGGAGACAATAAATGGAGAGGAAACCCCCATTTCGAAGTTGCCTTTTCTCGATTTTCATAAACAAAGCTCTCTATAAAAGCAGATTATTCATATTCACCTTGAAGTTCCATAAGATGACTTTGTCGTCTTTAAATCTTGCAAAAAAGGCAAAAACCATTTGATACACACTGCATAGGCTCAAATAATATTCGTGTTCTGTCTGCCATATGGTTGGGGAAGAATTTCGTAAGACTAGGGATGTCCTGCTGAGAGCCAATGTATATTGTGTTAATAATAGGCACAAGGATCAAATTGTTTAAAGTTGGATATCGAATTTCGTGTCTCAATAACATTGGGTTCAAGCAGAGACCCTTGGGGTGAATCCGACACACGGGGTTTATGAGCATCACAGATACACGGCAACGTGAACACAATTAGAATCGTTCTCTCCTCCACGCTGCATCAGTGCTTCCGATTTCAGTGCCAATTGGCTTTCCTAACACACTTCTAATGCAATCAGGAAGTGCAGGAGGCATCTTTGCTTCTCGATTGCTACCAAAACGCAACAGCACCGCAAAATGAGTCAGTAGTAATCACGTCAATGCACGCGGCTTGCTAAACAGACCGTTTTCTTTCCAATTAGATTATCGCCTACCCTTCATCGAGTTTCAAGAGCTCTAACCTAGTTAACTTTCATAATTTTGGAAACACAAAGCAGTCTTTATTCTCAAGAACGCAATTTTTAGCCTTCCAGAAATACCTTTAAATATGGCTAGATGACCCTGCCAAGGCCCCCCTCTCTAAATTTTTTCATAAAATACCAAGTACTGAAGTAGTGATGAAAATCAAACAGCAATTAGTTACTGATTTCAAGAGTTGATAAAATTTGTGGTTTAATAATCGTATTTGCACCATTCTAGGAGATTCGTTTGATTCTATCGTAATCTTGTAGGTTTCATCAAAAAGTTTTGAATCCATGAGAAAACACTTACAATGCCTGCAAAAAGTCCTTGGAACACTCTGAAATTTCTGTGAATTCACGTGTCCCATGCTATTTCCATGTCAACAAGGAGGGTGCTGCCCCCTTCCCTCTCATACAATCTTGATTAGTTAGCTGAAAATCAAAGCTCTGTAAAAATGTATCACTTGTACACAGTGGCGGAGCCACAGGGGGGGACTAGTCCCCCCACTTTTCCAGAAGGTTGGTCCTTGAGATTCTTGCAAACCTGACCCCCTGACACACCCTTTGCCCCCCCCCCTACTCATCCCAGGCTGGAGCCGCCACTGCTTGTACATGTAGGATTATTAATATTTCCGTGGCACAACATTGTATAAGGGATAAGGGAGAGGGGATGTTGCAGCTTATGCACAACTTAATTATGGCCAGTGTTCCAAGACTTTGGCAGGCATTGTACATGGAGAATGGACGTGAAAAAGAATACATTTTCATCCCCCATAAATAATTATAGAATTTTGTGCTTGCAGTTTACAGATCAAAAATCGATAATTTCGACATGTTGGAGGAAGATGTGCCGTCTGCTTATGAAGAAACCACGGTGACTCTAACTACCCTTAAATACAATTAAAGGGCATTGCGGGCAGAAATGGTTAATATAAAATTGATTTGGCGCAGTTTCTTGGCTAAAGCCCAAGTAAACATCGATTTTGAAATTTACGTATCAAATTAGAAGGCAGTAATTGGCTTGCCCTTTCATGCAACAATTATCTAACAACTTTAATTATCCAAAGTGGCTTAGTCATAAACAACAAATTGCAAGTCCGTGCCAGCAGGAACGCACTGGAAATCCGCGACTTGTTAAAACTTGTTAAAAGATTTCAAAAGAATAATATGTTTTTATTGGAAAGCCTTTTGGCCAACGTGAGTTTTCTCACTCTCTACCTGTGACGGGGGTGGCCTTTCATTCTCTGATTTCCCTGAGAAAAGTTTTTAAAATTTATAAGATGGAAACAACTAAATACAGCTTGAAATGCTATGAAAGTTTCCTAATTAATCAAATATTTTTTGTTATAGAATTGTGCCACAAATGGAATAATTTCTCAAGCTTCTGCTGAAAATCAGATTTAAGTGTTTGCTGTAAAGACTGTAATTAAATAATTGCAAACCTTTCGCTCTCTCGGGTTCTTTATACGACACTGAATCTGATATCAGTCTATCGGATCTCTTGTCCTCGTCGCAGTCACTGGCATCTCCAAGAGCTGATTCTGATGAAACGCTTTTCAGTATCGTCTTTATAAACCCCAAACTTTTCAAAATCCTGATCAGAAAAGAAGGCTTCGGCCTAAACTGATTCTTCGCGGAATCATCGTGAAGCAGACTGCGGCAACAGTCTTCTCGATTTTCATGAATTCTTGGCACCATTCTCAATCAGTCCTGTTTCCAAAAGGTGTATCAAACTCTTTTATAATCTAACCTCTGATGCCATGAACTCCGATTTTCGATTTGTGAACCCAGATTTGAAGATATAATTTTTTTTTACCAGTCGAGCATCCTTCAACCACAAATTACTTAGTTTAATGTAAGACCAAACTTTAAGGTCGTCCTGTTAATTGCTGGTATCAGAAATCACCAGAATGACTGTAGCTTTCAAACGAAAAATGCTGCAATGCCAAGAGGTGCCCTTTGCCAGAATAAAAAGATTTTTTGTCCTCAGGGAAAGACCATCACTATTGTTTTTTGTTTAATTGTCTTCACGGAAGCCAATGAAATCCTGTATTGTTGTGACTTGTCATGGGAAAACTACTTAATTGTTTTCGGAATAGCCAATCAAAACAAAACAATAAACCAATGTCTCAGTGGAACTCCCGCGAACCATGTGAACAAATGCAACCAGTTAGGATAATTACAGGCAATATGTAAGCATGTTCCGGAAATGATAAACAAATTTCAGAAAATGAATCGATCTCTTAAAAAAACAGATAATCTAGTGTTTCAGATTTGACTTCCCCGGATTTCGAATGCAGTTTCGAAGGAGTCCTCTCTGTGTTTGGATCGGGGTTTGGATAAAGGATTTTTATTGAAGATATCCTTTTTAAAAAACACATTTCTTCGCCACACGTGCTTTTCAAACGTGTTATAACCCGCCCTTCAACAAAGGCCCAGGAAAGAATAACTTAACACCTTGGAAGGAAAGGCAGGTTGCAAAAAATTACGTAGTTTCACTAGTAAAAAAATACTCCTGGGGTTGCCAAAACGATAAACTGCCTGCAGGCACCGCGCAGACATTGGGCTAGCAGGGGCTATAGCCCCCTTCCAGTGGCGTACCCAAGGGGGGAATAGGGGGTCCGGACCCCCCCCCCCCACTTTTCTAAAATATGATCCTCGAGATTTGCCCAAAAATTATGTAAAACTCATTGGGGGGTGTAGTATACTGTATGCTTGTGTCAATAACAATTGTAAAATACTTTGCTATTTACCGTAGCTAACATTAATCAAATTATGGGGGGAAATTTTGCAAAAAGGGCGTTTCCCCGCGAGTGTCTGAAGGGCGTGGTCCAAAAAACCATCTAGAGGCTCCGCCCAAGACCCTTGAAATATGTAACGTGATTAGAGATCAAGTCTCTAAAAACAGCATTTTATGAAAAGAAACAGCTAGAAACAGTTGATTTGCCTTTAAAGGATAAATCAATAACTTACAAACACAGTAATTGCATTCCACTCCATTTCCCCCATTCACAAAGAAATACTATATTGACTCCGTAGGGTGGAAATGAAGAAAAAATTCCCTGTTATCAGGTTTGCTACTCTGTTTTCTTTTGGCCAGGTTTGATATGTTCTGGTAAGATTTTTATATAATCAGTGGTAGGCTACCACTGGTAGCTGTAGTTAGGCCAAATTACACTGTAAATGTCCCTGAAAACAATGTAAAACGTTTTTGGTCCGTCAAAAAGAGGTCCAGTCAAAACATAACCACACCCCTAGCCACACCTTATTTGGCCCCGAAAATTTACGTTTTACGCTGTTTTGTGCAGTGATGAAAATTCCTTAAATTAATGCCTGTCGTCTTGACTAGAAACCCATTTTTGTTCATTTTCTTGGTGTTTTATCTTGTTAAATCTATCTTTATAGTAATTGTTATCTTCTCTGAAATAGACTGTTTATAAAAAATAAGTGGAAAGAAGCAAATATTTTCTTAAACCTCAAAAAATTCTCGGTCACGCCCTTTTCAGCCCACCCACTTTTAGAATGGTGCACGGTGCCTGACTGTCTGTATCAAAAAAGCTATTTCGATGATCTTTGTCGGTTGCAGTCAGGTTTCCATTGATGTATCTGTTTATTAACTGTATGAAATATATGCATAATTGCATACAAGTATTGCACGTTGGATATTCTCAAATTCGCCTTTTATCGAAAATTTGGGCTTTCAAACCCGTTATATCTAGCCTGCGTGCAGACTCGGAATTTGAAAGGGAAGAAAAAGTAGACCGTTTTTTCTCTTCTCTTTTCAATTTGTCAACAGAGTTTGCACGCAGGCTATTTATATCCTGCTGAGTTTGTTTTATCGGAAAATTGTGGGCCAGACACCCTCCCTTAATTTAATCATTCAAGTTTGAAAAGGCCTCTCCATCTGAAAAGGGCTGCCGAGAGGTCTGGGGGGCCCTGGGGCAAAACCGATAAAAACAGGTCACATTAAATTAGCTGGGGCAAAACCGATCATTTTTGCAACCATGCCAATTAGTTAAGTTTAAACTCATTCTATTTTTAATTGGAATTTGTTGCTTTATGCGGCCCCCAAGACCTCTAGGCAATTTGCCCCCCTTACCCCTCCCCCTCTCGGTGGCCCTGCATCTTTCTAAGTTTTAACTTTCAGCTGCACTGGGTAAAACTAAACAGAATCGCAAGAATGCCTGAGAGGTGGAGACAGACCCAACCACAGTCTCTAGTTCTTGCATCGCTTGTGTTTCGCTAGTCTTAAACTTAGGCTACGTTCACATTACTCCGTTTTCGATGAGATTCGTTTTTGGCAGCAAAAACGGAGCTGTTTTTATCTCTGTTCACACTACTCCGTTTTCAGACAGAAACAAATATCTATTAATTGGTGTTCACACTAGTTCTCAAAAACGCATCTGTTTTTCTCTTTCTGAAAACGAGGCTTCTGATATTGGCGTTGTTAGCGTTTTCAAATTGTTCCGTTTTTGGTGTTCACACTACAGAGTTGCGTTTTTGTTTAGCTCCGTTTTCATTTAGCTCCGTTTTTATCATCGTTTTCATTTAGCTCCGTTTTTATCATCGTTTTCATTTAGCTCTGTTTTTGGGGTAGACTAATGTGAACTGGATTTTGATCTGCTCTGTGTGGCTTTTTTATGACGATCTCCGTTTATATTCTTCCAAAAATGCTCAGCTTCCAATCAATAAAGCATTTCTACCTACTGAATTAAAAAAACCAGCTGGGAAACTTTTAGCCAAAATTTGGATACCAAATAAAAACAGATCCAAGTTTCTTATCAAATGAAAAACATGTAGACTAACTGGAATGGAGCCCCCGATTATACGAACTTTCGGTTCCTTGCACCATAATTTAATCTTCTATTGATCAATTCCTTCTATTAACTCGAACTTTTTCTTGATAAAGGAAAATCGCAACAATTTATTACTGAAAGAGAAACCCGGCTGATGAGCTTGATCTCATGTTATTGCGAAAAGGTCACGCTTGATGATGCATCATGGGTAATAAGGACATTGCTTCGTCCAAAATGGTGGATGTGCTACGACGATTTGTTTGTTTTCATTGCTTCGTTTTTGGTTAGTTTGAGAATTTTTTATTCGGGAAGTGACTCTAGCAAAGAACAGGGCCGCCGGAGGCAGATTTGAACGGGGGGGGACGAATAAAAAGGGCACACAAACATATTTTCCGAATCATTACTATATGCCAAAAATACCACAGCTTTCATGGTAATTAAATTACGGTAATTTAGACATTTATAAAAGAATAACACACATTGCATATAGTAAGAACTATCTTCCCTGAACGCAGACATGGCTATGTACTCGATTTAGGGACCACGGACTCTTGATCATACTTGACTGTATAACTCCTCATCTCATTTATATTTCTATTGCAATATGTTGTACTTAATTTTCTTATAATTTGGTTAAGCGACAGGCACACATCGTTCTCCTACACCTGTGGCAGGTGCAATATACTCAACAAATGTCCAGATTTAATGCAACATATCAATGAATCCACATTGATGCAATCATACATGCAAAATTAATAAGAACTTTTAAATTTAAACCCAAATTATGATGTAAGGAGCTGAAACGAATTTTCGAATTTTTAGTCTCTATCTACGTCAAAGCGAATCCCAGTCCCTATTATTTTCAGAGTTTCAGTCACTATGATTATCTAAAGTTTATTCGAATAATAGTTTTAATTTCTTATTTTTACATTTAAACAATTTTGTCCCTACCCCGCTCGAAGCACATAATTCTATTCCCCACCATGAAATATTTTTTTAAAGGTACAAAATTTCAAGTTCAAGTCATCTTCGTGCAGTTGGCCGAAGGTGCGGGCACGTTTTTCACTGCCATAGTAAAATTAATTTACAACGTTGATTAGAATTATCTCAACAGTCTTTTCTTTGTGTATCGAAAGAATCATGTAGTGGTTAAGTCATTTTCGGAACATTTTTTAAGTCTCCTTAGACTTTGTTGCTGAAAACATACTAAGGACATTTTTCTCGCCCAAGTCTTTTCGGCAGTCTCTTTGCCAGTTGATAGGTTCGTCACAGGAGCATGCGCCTTTTGCATCATGCCAATCCACATCATGAAATATATTTGCATCAAGAACTTATGAAAATTTCAGTGAATAGTTTTCCAACAATGCTTAGATTTAGATCATTCTACTTAACTTAACTTAAGGCAGAATATCTGGCAGTGAAAAAATACACGTAATATATTTTTCAAAAAAGACACTTTTCTCACTTTTTGCAATTAGGGGGGGGGGGCTGTGCCCTCTTGGCCCTCTAGCTCCAGCGGCCCTGAAGAACTCAACCTGACAAACTCGGAGACAATGCAACTTGATCTTGTGGCCAAGAAATCAAGAGCCTAAGCAATTGGGCGGGGAATTGGGAAATTAGGGGGGAATCGAGAAATTGGGAGAAGAATTATATAAATATTCACATTTGAAGTTTGCCGTCTCAAACTCTTAGTAGCAAAGATTGATGCTGCAAGATGTGAGTAAATTCATTACAGGGAATATTGCAATGGCGACGCCAGCTACCGCAGAATGGGAAGGATATGGGCGTAATCAGTGAGACCACGCCCTTTTGCCTCGTTTTAGTGCTTTGTACCAGGAGAATTTTCCTAAGGCGAAAAAATGACCTACCTCTACCTAACCCTTCTTGATTCAATTTCTAGAAAAAATTCGTGGACTATGTATTGGCGAATATAATTACCCCATCCCCCCATATACCCTCCTTGCCACTACCACTGCTGAGGAAACATAGGCTAAATCACAAGCCAAAGTTCATATTTCCTATCCTTTATCTTAACATGATAGCAAGGCTATTGTTTTTCAGCTGATTGCGATAAGTAGGATAATCGACCGTTGGGTAAACTGGCATGGTCATTTCAACCCGGTGGTGATATCTCTATGCACTTTTTTATAAGAATCAATAAATTTAAGTTCAGACTGACTGTTCCTTATTTCTTTGAAAATCTGAGGCTGGATTGTTCTTAATTTGTTTTTAATCTAATATGGTGTTAGCAGTGCGAGTGCTAGCTTTTCGCTCTAGGGTGGTGTTCAGGCCTCATTTGCCAACAAAGCGAGTGAGACAGCCTTAATTTGCTGATAAATTTGAATATTCACCGAAAAAGCACCCACACATTGCTTAAAATCCTCGATTTTGAAATAAAAAGGTTGTTTTGCATTTTCCAGAAGCTCAGCCTCAGCTTGTTCTTAATTTGTTCTTAACTTTTGACCAATTTTGAGGCTCGTGTTCTTGTGAAATTGTTCTACAAAAAAAGAGTGTATTAGGCAGAGCGCAGTATGAAACGGTCTTAAAGTAAAAAAAGTGTATTAGACAGAACGCAGTATCAAACTGCACCACTTTTCAAATAATCAGATAAAACAACCTATCGTTAGGTCATGTGCACTTTTATGTTGCCGGTTATAGGGGAAAAGGTACCCTAGGTACCAGACTCACTATATAGTGAGTCTGGTACCCAGGGTAGGGAAAAGGGCACATCTAGCGCCCTCCTTGAATTCCACTTACAGCAATTTAAGACACCTGTATCGTTGCGCTAGCAAATCAATAGAAAGAAAAGAGGGAAAGAGACAAAAGTGTCTCTATGACGCTCTTCGCTGCGCGACTTCTTTTTCTTGTATTTTGTCATTACGAGAATCACTACCCAGAATAAAGGATTAGCAAGAAGACTGTTCAGGAGCCCACTAGGAGGTGAAATTTAGATCGGGCAGTAGATAGACATTACCTTAATTTTTTTTCGACAGAATACCAAAATATATTCAAGTTCTTCCAAGCCAATACATCCCTAAGACCCCCTTCTACTGGAAACAGTCCCCCGTACCTTCCATAGGTATACAATAAGAAACCAACAGATGCAGCAACATTATCTGTTGGTATCAATATTGTGAAGCAGGTTGCATAATTGTAACATGTATACAATCTAATAATATTTACCTTTGCTATACGTAATTGATATTGCAAACGTTATTCAAATTAAAAAATGGCAAATTCCTTTAAATTAAAAGAATAGATTCTATTCAATAACCTCTCAGCCATTATCGGGTGAACATATTCTTTTTGATTTTCTCACTTTGTAAAATATATTTTATATCTAAATATAAAACAAAGAGCACACATGCTCCCATCAACTACACATAGTGTAGTAACTCAATATTCATCAATGGTTTAGTATTCCAATTATCGTTCAATTGCAAAAATTTTCGAAACCATTTTGGAAGAGAGCGAACAATTTTGAAAGAATCTTAGGGACAAAGAGCAATCATTTATATGTTGGTGTTCTTGGAACCATGTGGCTAACATATTTACAACAAAATAAATTACTTTTGTTTGGTGTAAGATACATGTATAATCTTTCTCTTAATAATATGCATCATGAATATAAAAATTTACATTAACATTTCCTTATAGCTAACATAAAGATGTTAACAAAGGTATGTTTTCTTCCTATACAATTGTATATATGTCGATTAATTCACGATATAGTATTAAACAGCAATGCAATGCAGTAACGAAAACTTCAACGACTGTTTCTGGCTTGAACTAGAGTTTCCTAGAGTTTTTTTTGGGGTATGTTGAGAAGGACACTCTATCACTTGCAAAAACAAGTAGGCGACTATGAAGGGAGTTCGGAGTTTTCGTTAAATCCTGGGGTGGACTTGATGACGCCACTGCATAAGGTAATGAAAACTTTGGTTGTTCTTAGCAGTAGAATTAGCAAATCCTCCCGTTTACTGCATCAGGCACTCTATATGGCAAGGTATTTTTCGGAATGGGACAAATATTATTGTTTATATAGATTTTTCAGCAGATTTAGGTTTTTCAACATTTGCCAGAACCATAGGAGAGTTTATCTGAAGGCAATTTGACACTTGCCTGCGGACATGCTTCTATATGGGTTGCTTTGCCTGGAGACGTTTTCGTCTGCGAACATGAAATCAATAAGAAATATCGTCTAGCTAGCCTGTTAATGTTCTACTGGTAACTAATTTCTAAAGGTTTGCTAGTATACTAGTAACAAAGGACTTGCTTTGTACTGCCCATCTTGCTAATACTTGGTTTCTTCATTACGCAGCTTGGAGCTGTGTTAACGTGCCTATGAAGTCATTGTCTGCGGTGGGTAAATATCGAACTAAAACAATTACAGGTATATGATATACAACAGCTGACGTCATTGCAGTATATTTCTGCAGTATGCTGCAATTTAGCAGGTGGGTGATGCTGGTTGCTGAACAACGAGTCGCTTGCAGATATAGTTCAATCGAAATATGTCGTAACCGATGTTACGCCTTGTCACACTACAACGTAGCCTTTCTTGCAATGGCATGTCTGGTGAACAGCAACATGACAGTCTTTTGAGGCAGTTCTCCGCGATATCACACTCTGAGATAAAAAAAGAGCCAAATTACAGCAAAAACAGAACGGTTGCAATATACTTTTGTATTCTAAGCTGTGACATTATAGAATCGAAAATCTCCTTTGTTGACAAAGCGAAGAAAAGAGTAAAAGTTTAATCCAACTAACAAGCAAGGGTTAGTCAACACCAAATAAAAATGTGCTGCCTCTCGATGCCAACGAACTGTGCTGTGAATTAATAGCAAATAATTAGCAGAACCAGTGCACCTTGTAGCTCTTTTTAAATAAGCTGTTATGGTTTCCTGCTATCGAGTAGATTGTTGTTAGCAAGCCTTATCATTATTTCATTACAACACGATTCAAGTAGCAATTCCATTATAAGGTCTTAGCTATTACATTTTAAAAATAGTAGACCCTATTCTCGCTGTTTTGTCTTACGCACAAACATTTATGAGTTTTCTAACTTTTGTCGAATATAGCTTAGTAATTTGCAAGATCCGAAGTCGTTACTAGTCATTTTGCCACAGAATGATCGGAGGAAAACAAAAAGAATATCGAGGAAACATAATGAAGATTATTGTTTATCTGATGTTACCTTTTGAGTCGCTGCCTTGAATCCCATCCAAAATACTTTTACAAGCAGCAACTTCTTGGTACGATGAGCACTTCCCTGCAAAACAAGATGGATGTTTCTAATCACAAAACACTTTAAACAACAAGTAAATGCACTAAAAACCATATTCCAATCCTTTAAATCAGAACAATACCATTGAGAAAAGCTGGTTCTACTTGCCTGATATGTCATCTATGATTAAGAATGCAATTACAGCAACAGCAAAGAGTATTTTGCTTCTAGCATACATTTTCTTGATTGCAAATTCACTTTGGTGATAGTCTTTCTTTAGAAATTGTGTCTGTCTCGCTTGCCTGCTAGCACTCAAGTGAGACTTCGATGCAAGTCTGCATTTTTATAACCATCCCGGCGGACCAATCACTTTGCGTTCCCACGCTGGAAACTTCAACACTTGTCCTACCTGATATCTTGCTGAAAAGCGAGGTTACCAAACACTGGGGCATAAACTCATCTCAGCCATTAACTATGCCATTTTCCCATGATTCAAATGTTAGCTATGATAATTTTAAGAAGATATCCATTTGTTTCCATGACTTTAAATCCAAACTTACGATACAAGATACACAGAGTGGGAAGAGGGCCTTTATCGTTACCATTTAGCGCTCGTTACAAGATTCGTGCCAGTGATCTCTATTTGAAAATACAGGCTGGCAGCCGACATCTTCCTGAACAAAATGGAGTCAATAGAGCACAGTAAATAACAAATTTAACCATAGATCTGAAGATAAACTCTCTTATCCAAATAGGATTGCTCTTTAGGTGGGATATGACCCCTTGCAAACCGCTCTATTACGTGCAAAAACATTGGACGACTATCTCGTAACTATGGGGTATCAAAATCCCAACTTCAAAAAGTAATCTTATTTAATGCAGTTAAAATAGATGATCAACACTGCTAACGATGCACGTTATGGCTGGGACGGCTTTTTCCAAAGATTAAAATTCTTTTTTGCAAGCAAAGGTGCCACTTTTTGTAGAAATGTCTCTTCTTCGAGACTGAGTTTTGAAAATGAGACCCATTTCTAGAAGATTATTGTTCTAGATAAATCAAAATTGTTCAAGAGATTTTGAAGGCACTTGGAGAGGGCAACTCCTAATTCTTTTTTTTCGGAAGATCTGTGCTAAAATTATGTCTTTTTCGTACAAGAAATAGAAAAAGAAGAAAATCACTTAAAAAACAAGCCACTTTCCGTTGCTTTCTGCATTGATACAACCTTTTTTCCCATTGTAAAAGTGAGAGAATATGTAGTTGCTGTCCTGAAATGATTACTTTTCCAGAAAAGAAAGCTTCATAAATCTAAGACATACTTTGCAAAATTTAGGTTTTTCATAATCTTTGGACGTGTTATGAAATGCATCGAATGAATAAGACGGCTTCTCTAAAAATGGCATTAGAATTCATAGTAAAAATGAAATTGATGTTTATTTGTTCGATAAATAATTTAAACTTTCATTTGGTGTGTTTAGAACTTGTTGTCCAGAGTGCAATTTTGATGGGTGCCATCTCAGGCAGCTAGTGCAAGTACTGAATCCTCTTCCTGAAGTTGTAAGGTTAGAGAAAATCTATTTACTTGATTCTTTTAAGTGCCACTTTTACAAATAGAGAAGAATCAAGATCTACCCACGATACCGAATGATGGCAAAGAGAATCAACAATTCCCATTTACTGCTGAATACTTATAAATCAAAAGCATCGAGTCCTATAAGATTGCAAAAAAGATTTCAGATCAGACCGACAAGAAATCCCATCATAATACTGGAACCAAAAGAAGCTTGTTGCGTTGTCATAAAAATTACACATTTTGCAGACACAAACAGACCAGCACTCAGATCACAATGATTTTTTCTCTGTGAACGACTGCTACTATGTCACTTTGTTCCCTAAATGGTGGGTACATGGCATTTGTGTTGGTTGTGAATTCAAGCACTGCTGACAAAGGAATTTCAGTATATAATACCTTGAGGTGAATGAGAACTTAATCGCCAGGCTTAGGAATTTCAAATTTTAGCCAACATTGTAGTGCAGTAAATCATCCTTGTCTCGGCTCAAAGGCGACCACTACTATCCCGCAAATTCCATCTCTCATTAATGTCTTATCACCAGTATTGACCGTTGATAGGGTCTTGTGGAAAAAACCTGTTTTCCTAACAGGTCTTGCAGTGTAGCCAAACTTAACTCATGCTCATGATAGAAGTGAACCCATTAATCAAGCTCTTGAGATAAAGACTTGTGAATTGAGACAGTCTCTCAACTCAGATTAGGATGTCAAATGGGTGGGGGCAATCTAAATATACGGCCTCAGTACTATCTTCTCTGATTTTTTTCTCTATTCAATCCTGGGTCCTACGGATAAGGTGGGAATGCAACAATTACGCTAATACCAGCAGAAAACTTCAGTTAGCATTTCAAAGCCTGAGATGTGGATACGCTTTAGATGGAAAATATTATTTTCTTTTAGCAAACGATGTTTCTAGCTCTTGTCGTTTCATATCCTAGCAGCATTGGTGGCAACTGTGGGTCTCGTGCACGAGCAAGAAAACTGGTAAGAAGATCAGTACCAAAAATTAAATTCTAGTTACATGTGAACAGATTTATTTGGCCAAATAAGGAGTTGTTGGCCGGCTGATTAGAAACTTCTTTTGTGCCCACTCCATTCCACAAATCAAAAGGGTCTAATTACGTCACAACTGAGGTCACAGTTGACATTTCAAATCAATACGAGGACAATACATTCAGATCGAGGGTACAATGAAAACACACTAAAAAGGAAGGAAAGAATATTTACAAAATGGCAGACAAGAACTCTTCTCGTGTCCTTTATTATCATCCCCAGATGAAGGTGTTGGCAACCTCTATAGTGCAAACATGTCGGAATTGGAAGAGTACATCGGTAAGAGAATGTTTGAAACGGTCACATATTTTTTATTCTTGTTGATCGCTCGTTAAGTAGCAGTTTCTGGCGAAACGAAACGATGGTCGCATTATGCGAATTATCACTTGACTTGCATACGCATATGCCAAAGGATTATGGCAGCTGCACGCAAAATACTGTAGTTGTTTCAAAAGGTTATACATCCAGATACAGACAAAATACAATGTGTTAGAAGACTTCTAAAGATTACCGGAGTGCGCTTTAGTGAAACAAGTAGATAAATTGTATTTTGAAAAAGTAGCTTCCCTTTTTCTACCAATTAATTACACCCAAATACTGAAGCAGGTGTAGATTTATCCACATACTAGGCTTTACCGAATGACAGCGCACTCGTGCTACCAGTTTGTCATTTCATACTGAAGTTCTAAGTTGTAACCAAATCTACAACTGAAGTATTTTAAAAAATTATGTAAAAAAGTTTACATGCAGTCCCGCATGCAGTATTCACAGTGGCCAGCCAAAAGGCTTCGGAGGGGAGGGGGTGGGGGCAAAAGTTAAAAGTCTAGTCTATTGTTTGTCTTCTTTCAGAAAAACGGCCAATTGACCCATTATATTGCCTTTTGTCAACTGTACAAAATCTGCATTATTGAATTGACACAATTTTTTTTAATTATGGTTAAATCAATTCTAAATGTCTGCATACCTATTGTTTTGTATGATATTCTAAATTTCCTGCCAGGTGGTAGCATTCAATGAGAGACATGCAGTTTCAAATAAGTCCACCATTATTATTTGGTTTTTCATTTGAAATGCTGTGTATCACATTGTTCATTGGTTTACTGGAACAAATAGCCATTCAGTAACTGACACTAACATTTATACAAATTACAACTAAAAAAGTTTGAGGTTGGTTTGTATCAAAAAAGAAAAATCTCCTCTTTGAATCAATTTACTTGAACTTTTTGTTTTGACAGCCTTTAGCTATGTTTCTAGGGTGATGAAAGAATCAGACAAGGTATTGAGCTTAAAGATACAATAAAATGGGAAAAGTTCCCTGATGGATGGCCAAATCTTTTCATTGAAGATGTCAAGAAAGACTGTGCTGGTCGAGATGGTAATTTAAATTAGTTATGATATACTAGTTGTAAGATGCTGTTTGGGGAAGATTGTAAAGGATTGATGTTTTACGCATAGATTTATGTCAATATAGTCATGGGGTGCAAGAGATAAGTACAGACAGCTTTTAAATCTGCAATATCGCATATTTTATGGTGAAAACAGCTCTTGGGGGAAGCTACACTGAGTTTATCAAAGGAAGGAAATATGTTTGGATTGAAACTATATTAAAATGTTTTGATTAGAAAGTTGGTGTTTGAAAACCTTCAATTGATAATCACTCTTATTCAATTTTAGTTATCTTTCTTGGGACTCTTCATTCTCCTGAGCTACTGTTTGAGCAACTTTCTGTTGTATACAGTTTACCAAGGTGAGTCTTGTTGTAACAAGGGCAAGGTTTGATATGGCGGCCCCGATTTAACTTTCACTGTCATAGAAGTCTATAGAGCTTCTTGATGTAAATTACACACAATGGAATGTAGACAAGCCAGCAAAATCCTTTCCAGATAGGGGTCTAGTGCCAAAAGGTACTGGTTGCCATTGTTTCTTCCCTTGTGTTTTCTATTAAATGGGAATCCTAATGAAAATACTACCAGATTATTATGGGAAAAGCACTTCAATCCTCAATATGTGTGCTCACAATCATGCACCTAAATCAGCTGAGATCTAATTGGGTCCACAATAGGCAAAAATCTGATGGTTTAGGCTTTGGCTTATTAATGTGCTGTTATTGCATTACCGAGTTTAATAAAACCGACAGTTGCATGGCCAATGACCAGAGCAAGGCAATTCAAAAAGAAGAGAATTTTGTTAACTACATCCTGGCCATCCTTTATTTAATTGTTTTCAGGAAGGTTTTCAAGTTTAATTTAATGAATGAACACTTGTCTGCATTCTGTAAACATGTCTAGACTCTGCTCTTAAAAGTGACAAATATCACATTGACTGAGGCCATCTGTTACCTTTTGAGATTAATTTCCTCAACTTTTCTCTTCTTTTTTAACTATTTGTTTACACAAACATAGATACTTGGCCCATTCTGTTACATTTATTATGCCATATTTCCCCACTGGAACAATGGAGCGAGTGGAATTAGAGGGTCAAGTTGCAACAGCATCGGTAAGTAACGATCATTTTATGTTTTGAAGCAATTATATCTAAGAACTGTACTTTATGGGTGATCATTCTTTAATTTTCAAGTTTTAGATTATTTAAAAACCATCTAGAATCAAACATGAACTGTTATTATCAAATTAACAAAATACGGTTCATTAAATCTAGGCAAGCAACTATGTTTGTGGATTACATTTTTAGATGCAGATTGATGCCAACCATTCACAGATACACATTGTGACTGCAATTATTTTGCTTTGCCTTTACAAAGCCTGTAGTTCATGGAAAAAACTATTAGATACATGCATATTTTACATATTTATTATCAACCAATATGCTCCTATTTTGAAATCTCTCCCCACTTATGCTTTTCATTAAAAGATTATGGTTTTATTCCAGACATTTGCAAGACTATTATCAGCTACGCCACTTTCCGGCAGAGGGCCTTGTCAACTGGTTATGTATGACATTCACGCTTTGCAGGAGCGGTTCTACTTCTCTGATAGCATAATACCTCGGTAAGCTAACTACATGCCACAGATATAGAACCTAGAATAAAGAGCATTCAGTGTGAAGAAATTGAATCCTAGATTGGGTAATAGCGCATACTTATCTAGAAGTATCGAGTCTTGGATGGTGGCAATTTAGGATTCGTACAAAGTTGTGCATCCCCTCTAATTAACTCTATCTTTATTTTCATGTCAAGCCATCCTACCCCAATCCGCTGTTTTCATCACTAAAAGTAAGTAAAATTGTGAGTAACAGCTGCTATAAATTATATAGCCTATAATCAAGCTGCTTGGATTTCAAAACAATGCATAAGAGAAAAGGAAATCGGCTCCAACCTGTCATAAGACCACTGTAAAAAGCTATTAAGCCTCTGCAGTTTGTTTAATTCAAGAGACTCTAGATGGGGTGGACTTAAAAAAAGGTGCATATTAGAGAGGGGACTTTTTCAAAATGTTTTAGAGAGTCATAACCTAGTGGGAACTTTTTATGCTGGACACTGTGTTACCCTATCATCCGCTGTGTTGCCCTATCATCCGCTGTGTTACCCTATCATCCGCTGTGTTACCCTATCATCCGCTGTGTTACCCTATCATCCGCTGTGTTACCCTATCATCCGCTGTGTTACCCTATCATCCGCTGTGTTACCCTATCATCCGCTGTGTTACCCTATCATCCGCTGTGTTACCCTATCATCCGCTGTGTTACCCTATCATCCGCTGTGTTACCCTATCATCCGCTGTGTTACCCTATCATCCGCTGTGTTACCCTATCATCCGCTGTGTTACCCTATCATCCGCTGTGTTACCCTATCATCCAGGTGGCTGAAGAGGCTTCTGCTCTTTTGTGTCACTCTCGAAACTGCCTAAGAACATGATGTTAGAAACAAATCATTTTGTCCCCTCTGCTGTTAAGAATTGTTTCAAACAACGTGATATACTTTCCCTTGAAATCTAAAACCTATTTCTCTTGTTTCCCTCCCGCAATAACACGAAAAACAGCAAAGACATTTTCTTTTTTCCCTATTTTAGTGCATACCTTGAATTTTCGTTTGATTTTTTAAAATTGTTTTTCTTTTAGATTAGAATCAGCCATACCCCTATTACTCCGCGAACTAAAGACTTCAGACACTTCCAAAATAACGATTGCCTTTCCAGACGAAGGAGCTTTTAAGCGATTCCGAAATATGTTTGACGAGAACTACCCCTTGATTACCTGTATCAAAATAAGGGAAAATGGAAAAAAGATTGTTAAGATCAAAGAGGGTAAGTAAAGTGATGGAGTATTCCTAAAGAAAGACACGATGTGAAGTATATCATTAACGACACTTGTTTGATTCCAGGCGGAGGAATCATAATAAATGATACTTTTTGTAGAAATTCAAAACTCCGTTACTGTATGAAAAGGTTTTTCCACCCAAATGAATAACACAACACAAAATGAGGAAGTTTGGAGATGCAGCGAATGTGGTGATATAATTCGCTTTGTTTGCGGCAATTTTCTACTGATACCTGGCTTTGTAAACATGCTCTCAAGGCTGGTTTTCATATGGTGTAGGTCGTCGGCGATCGTCGCGGACGTTTTACACCATATGGAAACTGATTATCTGCGATCGTCTGCGATGGTCGCAAATAGTGTATCTGCAACAATCGCCGACGAATTACACTATATGATATCCAGGCAAACTGTTTAATTTGATTCTTCCTGGCCATAATCTTCTTTACTTTAGGATTACTTATCTCCGGGTTAACGGTCAGGATGTTTTCATCTGCTTCCTGGAAATATTTAAAGTTTAAATCCATGTTTTCGAATCTCAGTACGGTGGGTTGATTGTTCGTCAAGGCCAAGCGGTGCTTCAATAATAAGTTTACTGAAAGGGTAATTTTTACTGGAAAAGGAACACGGTACATTTGGTATCAAAGACTTCGCTAACAACAGGGAATATTTCTCGCTAATCGTATGATCAAATGCAGAGTTTTTTGACGAACGAGTGACAGGTGTCAGTCGAGTTTTAATTTCATAACTTCTTTCGATATCTACTGCACACTTTTTTTATAAGAACCACATGCAAAGCATTCAGCTTTTTAAGTTTATTGCTGATTCCAGCGCTCAATTTTTTAAAGCTTCTTAATTACCACATGCTAAAAGGGCTACTTTTTTAGAAACACAGCAATGTGAAAAGGTCACATGAAATAGAACAGCTTTAAAATGTTCTAAAGAGCTCTTCTTTATCTATATCAATTAAAGAGGAAATATGTGTCTAATCGTCGGATAGAGTCATTTCCACCCAACCTTTCAAACGAGGATCTTCAAGCAGTTTCTAAAGGTTGAGGGTGCTCAGTATTATGTTTTGTAAATTTTTGGTCATCCTAGATTCCGGTTTCTTTTAGATTGTTTGTTATAATAAAAGTGAATGTAGATTTAAATTGAATACAATTTCATTCCAGGTCAGGCAATGAATCGTCATTGTATCATAGTGGATGACCTCGTCATGACAGGGGGTACCCTGATTGAGTGCGCCAAGGTTTGTACACTTAAAAGTTATTGCAATTCCGTTTGTGGTTTTGCTTTTACTGGGATTTTCTATCCGTTTACGTAAATCTAGAACGTCATGGATTTGACTACCTTTTAATTGGAAACTAAATGTTAACAGGTATGAGGATAGCTCAGTAATTACAGTCGCAGGTTATGAGCCAAGGGTCTGTGGTTCGTTTCGAGTCACTGCCATGAATAAATTTGCATTAAGAGGAAGGAGAGTTGCTAGCTCATCGCAAATCCTCATAATTGAGAGGGGCAGAAGAATGTGCGATAAGCACAGCTTTTCACTGCCCAAAAAGCTACTTTGGGAAGCAGTAACAAAAACAGATGCAAGAAAATTTATCATTAAGTGGGAAATTTGTGTAGGCGAATAATTTCAGGATTTCCCGAAGGGGGACCTATTTACAAACATACATGGCTGTGGCAAGTAGATTGGCTTGATCTGGGCTTCAAGTATCCGACTCAAATTATTTCCCAACAGTGTTTTGTTATCTCCACGATAGAAACTTGGATCAAAATCGAAACTGTCAACGTGAAAGTTTTGGAAAAGCTTTGAACGTCGAAAAACTTTTTTAAAAAAAGAAATTTCGAGAATTTTGAGCATGTACCGAATTTGTAAACTTTGTCAAGGTACACCCTCACAAATTGTAGCAGGATCGCCAGATGTACCAAATTGTTTAGGCACACCGTCACTAATTATAATAATCCCGAAAATTGTCTTCTCACGCTCCCATTTTGTAACAAAACTCAACATGCTCACGAAATTCTAAAAAACGGCCTAAAACTAGGTCCCAGTCCTAATCTAACTACACGTCATAAATGTACTTTGCGGACTAGCGCAACGGAACGAACAAAACTATGTCGCAAATAACTAACTAAAATCAGTTCAGACAAACATAAACGAACATATGGACTTATGATTTATTAGTGATACTAGAATTTATGTTTAAACTAATTGCAATATAGGTGTAACAAAATATAAGTGTAAAGAAGGGTTGGAGATATTCAGAGTTTCACAGTGGAAGCGCTTATTAAGGGTTTATCATAGGATACCAGACTTTTCATAACCTTATCATAAAAAAGCGCGCATCTGAGGAAGCCTTTCCACTAGCCTGGATTTCAACAAAACCGGGTTAAAAGTTATCCGTTTTTAAAGTGAGTCAAACGGCATTTTTTTCGACCCGTTTTTAATCCGTTTTGATCGTTCCCACTAAGCCGGGTTAAAATTTGTTCAAGGTTAAATAATCGAAAACGTACGGAAAGTTGTAAGAGAAATCAGTATTTGCTTCAATAATCCTTCAATTTCCATCGTTGTAGGCTAATGGAATCAAACACGACTTCGATTCCGATTTAGATTGTAGATTATTTCATAACAGATGGCTGCCCCGGAAATATTTTTTTGGACAGGTTTACACATAGTTGAAGTAAAATGGAGGGCTGTCATTATACCCTTCCCAAGAAAAAAGTGTATTTGGGTTGTGACACCTCCGTTTTTTTAATGACGATTTCATATAATATTTCAAGATCAAATTATGTAAACATTAAAACAGGTTTCTGCCATGCTATAATCGATGCAAGGTTTCATCATCATCTTTATCAGTTGGCCGTGGGTGCACCAATTAGTGGTCAGTCTGTCTCCATCCTTCCCAATCTCCAGCCCTTGTCAGAGTAGGACCACCTTCTCCACTATTCCCCTTCTCCCTTCTTCCTATCTCCCTCCTCCCCTTCTCCTTTCTCCTTTTCTTGCATTCCTATCTCCATCACTGATCTTGCTGTTCTGCTTCCCAGTACAATATGACCAAAGTACTTAAAATTCCTCTTCTTCACCACCTTCACCACTCCTTCGGGCTCATATTTGCAAATTTCACAGATCTTATCTTTTACCCACCCATTTGTCTTTCCTTTCCATGATATTTCCAACATTCTTCTGTATGTCCTCATCTCAAATGTTCGAAACCTTTAACCATCCTGTTTACTACCTTTTCAACTCTCACAACTGTGTAATAGGTTAGGTGTCACAATCGATCTCATCAGCAGTATTTCTAATACAATGTTCTTTGCTCGTCAGATGTTATCCAGCTTTGCCAACCATTTGTAGCCCTTCCAATTCTGATTCTAATTTCTTTTTCTGATTTCCAATTGCCTACTTTTGTCGATCATGAGTATGTGAAGTTGTTCACTTGTTCCAGCTTTACTCCATCCATTCTCACATCAACATCTTTTCCACCAATGTTTTCTTCTTTTCAAACAACCATCACTTTGCTTTTCTCTGTTCATATTTCCATTCCAAATTGCTTTGCGGCAACTTTTAGTCTCTCTAATACCATTTTCATTCTCCTTCATCAAATCAATGTCATTTGCAAAAATATAATCCTTGCTTTGGCACACTTGATACCTCCTTCATAATCATCCAGTGCATCTGACAAAATTCTTTCCAAGAACAGATGAAACAAGACTGGTGATAGCAAACAACCTTGGGTTAATCCAATATTGTTTTTAAACAATTCACTGTATTGATCTCCAACTAATTCCTTAGATATTGAACCTTCTGGATCCAAGATGTGATTCCTTCGCCAATGTTATTCTTTCTCATGGCATGCTAAAGTGTCTCATGCCAAACTCTCCTTTCAATGCTAGGTTTTATCCATGTCTGAATGATCTTCAGCAGCACTTTTGAAGTCAGATTGGTAATTCTGTAGTCTGTACATTTTCTGCTGTTTGCTTTTTAAGGTCTTGTAACGATCACAGACTTTGCCACTGTTTAGTGCTCAGGATCTCCATACACAACTTGTGAAGGTTATTAAATGTATCAATAGATGACAAAGAAAGAACATTCAACGCAACCATCTTTGGGAACAAAAATTTTAGATGTTCCTCGAGTATAAATGACATATTAATTCAACTTCAGTTATCACCTTGTTTTTCCATTTACAGGTACTAAAATCAGCTGGAGCCTCCAAAGTGAGTGCTTATGTCACACATGCAGTCTTTCCTAAAGATTCTTGGAGGAAATTTCAAACATGTGAGGTGGCATTTGAAAACTTCTACATCACTGATTCAATTCCACATGCTATAGAGATATCTAAGAACCGACCGTTCACACTGCTATCACTGTGTGATGCCATCTCTAATGCTTTATTAGGGTTTGACCTATTAAGAAACTAAACACTTCATTTTATGATGAGTTTTGTGGATGGGGCTGTGCCAGTGATCCACCAATAGAAATATGAACTGCTTGTATGAACTTAAAGTTTATAACAAAATTATCCTCTATTAATTATCATTTAACTTATACACATATACATAGAAGTTATGTAACACTCATATTCTGGGCTTTATACATCCTTAACCTATACAACACCCCTTTTCAATGACACAGACATACTACACCCCTTCCCCGATAAATGCCTTCAGATGCTTCAAAACCATTAGGAAAGTTGTATTGCTTGAAGGTAAGCTACACAAGCAGCCATAGAACACTTTTCAATGCATATTTACATACCATATCAGCACCAATGAAAGGACAATGTTTAAGGAGATGGGCTAAAGTAGCATTGAATGCAAATGTAGCTTGTGATAAAATCTAAATGGACTCAAGGTGATTGAAGATACAGGTCTTGAAATCAAAACCTGTGATCTAAGATCCAATCATTCCACCAAGTAGGCTACCAGCTAATCTTCATAATGGCTTGTAATATTCTTCTCCTCTATGCAGACATACATACAGTGACACCTGAAATTAATCGAATTTACTGTAGTTTCATATGCTTTTATAGAATTGAAATTTAGTTTTTTATTTCTATGTAGATTTAATATTGGGATATGATATTGATTTTGTTATTTGTTTTGCTAATTTAGAACTTGTTTAATTTAGAGATAATTTTAGTTGTAAACTACATGTCTAGTTACATGGAATTTTAAGTATTTAAATTTAAAGAGATATTAAATTGTAACTTGGAAGAAAACTATCTGGTATATATTAAATTCTTCAAATAAATGAATTATTTTAAAAGACTAGTTAATCTTATTTTCGAGCATATTGAGAAATTTTAATTGAAGACCTGGTATCATATTTTGACTGTTGTCAGTATTAACAAAAGAGGTTTCTGAAATTGTCTTGTCGTTGAATTTTATCTGTTGTAAGAGGAAGATCTAATAAAAACCTTACATGACTATCCGTCTATTTGGAAAAAATTTAATTTTAGCATCGATAGTTGCGCACTATTTTAGACCATATTCAGTGCAAGTCAAAGCACTAGACTTATCGCTACAGATACATCTAAAAGTTTAAAATAACTGATGGTTGAAACAGAGGAACCTTATAACTTGAATCAATTGCTGAGAGAAAACAAGTACAGACATGCTTCCATTTTTTCATCGGTTCATCTGAAAACATTACTGAAAAGATATGTGAAGATATATCAGATGTACAAGGAATAGAAAATGTGAAAAGCCAGAAATCCAAATCTAAACTTGCTAAATAACATTCTGGATTACTATAACTTTTCCAAAGACTTGTTTTTACTTTTACTGTCTTTACTATTACAGGAAAATGTCAAAGTATCTTTTCTTTCATATAGAAAGGTCTTGGCCTCTTGATAAATCTGTATGTTCATCAAAAGAAGAGGCATGGAATTGTGGTCCAATCTTTGGCCTTGATACAATCATTTCACCATCATCTTGCATCAAAAACGATCACTGACAGATGTTAAGAAAGCAAATAAAAAATTTATATAAAAGTTGTTGTTAAATTAACCTTATATATTATATCATATAGTTTGATCAAAATTTATAGAACATTGTCACGATAAAAACAGATTGACATGGAAAGCAGTTTGACATGAGGGAGAGGAAGATAGATTGATAACCATGGTAACAAAGTGACAGACAAGATAGTGTTCTGTGCTTTTCTGGAATTAAGTTATTTGAATAAACCTTTCACTAGAATTCTTGGTAATGGTAAGTCTTTTAAATTTATTCAGATTGAAATACTAGAATATAATGTTTGGCCAACAGAGGCCAGATAAAATAAGTAAACCAGACTAATCATAATGAAAGAATGTGTTTTCAGGCCATGCTGGGAATAAAATGGCAGGGGTGCAATGAATCACACTCCTTGTGGTGCCAAGGCGTGCAATGGTGTGCTATTGCACCAAAGTACTTAATAATACAGTCAGCTGTATATGGACTAGACTACATAACTTTATCATAAGAAAACATAAGCAAGGCTAGTCCAATCAATACATTTTATCAAACAAGCTTTATTAACGTCAAACCCAACATATTAAAGAGAAAAACATTAACAATAAGGTAGGTTAATTATTATGTAATCCTGCAGTTTATAAACCCTTCTGGTCTGCTTCTCCTGACAATCTCGTTCTCAAAATTTAAGAATTCTAACTGTGTTTTCACCATAAAGAAAACTTATCTGTTGACTAGTGTTAGAACGAATTAAATGGTTAATTGCACGTTTATATTTTGTAAGAAAGCTACAGTAGCTAAATCCTCACAATTCAAAGTCTCTTAATTTTGGAACATTTTTGGCCACATTTTATTAGTAAAAGTTTCTAAAGAGTTTTGTATTTGCATACAGATTAGAAAAATGCACATAAAGTAAACTGTATATAGAGGAATTGTGAGTCCTGAGAAAACGGGATTTTACTGATCGCACTTGCAAGATACACTCGTAAACCACAGTGTAATCTGGGTCAAATCATTTAAAGCTTAAAGATCAATAAGCCTGTTTAAATAAACAAAGCCTTACATGTGCCATGGGGTTGTATCTACAGTGGAATCCCGATATAATGAACTCTGAAGGGAACCAGAAAATAGTTCGTATATCGGGAGTTTGTTAAACCGAGAGATAATGTTTTTTGGGGGTCCTTTCGCAGTTCACGCCTAAAAAACCTGTGGTGGGCTTGTTTAGGCTATCTCCAACCTCTGTGCACATGTACAGCCATACATGTACCATTTAACTCAAAAAAACCAATCTGAATTCAAATAATACAACTGGCTGGTCATTGAAAATGAAAATCTTAATGTTCCTTTTATAACTTGGGACCAAGAGATTGGCAAAGCTGGTATCATTTCGCTCCTAGTTGGTGCCTGAATGATGTCTTCAATTACTTCACATTCTTACTTGTCTTTTTCTGCTTCTCCATCTGGGTCTCTCAATAAAGTTTTGTCGTCGCTTATTGCTAATGCCTTAGATGTAAGAAGTTATTTGTTAGTGTCAATGTACTCATTCGCAGTAATTTCTGACGCAATCGAACTTTCATCTCGTGGTCTGAGTGTATCAGCCCGGGCTTGAAATGTATCATCGGCATGTTTTGCCAATTATAAAAATGATTTCTCCCCAAGAGAAAGTGATAAATGAATACCGAAAATAAATAAACAAAAATAGCAGATGAAGAATTTATGAAAGTTCGTTATATCAAGGGTAATTATGATGAAGGGACCTAAAAATGGTTCGTGATAACGAGAGTTCGTTATATCCGGGGTTTGTTATACCGAGAGAATTTGTAAGGAGTTTGTTAGGCAGAATCCAAGCATTTAGTTCCTTATACCGGGAAGTTCGTTATATCCGGGGTTCGTTATATCGTGATTCCACTGCAGTTATTGCAAATGAGACAAGCGACCACAACTGCAAAGCAAGGATTATCGGCCTAAAAGGTCGAGCGATTTTCAGACCTCAACTCAAAACTTTGATAAAGAAATTATGGAAACTATCGTTTACAGGGGTTTTTCGTCACTTTCAGAACTTCTGTTAGTTTTAAACATGGTATCATCGTGTGCCTTGAAAGTCCGGCTACTAGAATCTGAAGAAATCGAGAAGTGGATGTTTTCATTCAAAAAACGTTTACCATAACTTTAAACAAATTAGAATATTCGCCAAATTTTTCGTCAAGTAGAAATCAAATAGAAACAATTGCGTGATTATCACCGTTCGTTTATAGTTGAATTATGATAAAAAAATTACATTGGGCCATATTGGTCACTTTAGAATAAAGTGTTATTTGCAGATTATTTAAGGCGTGCGATAAACTGCACTTCTGAGCAACGGAAGGCGTGTGCCAAGGCGTGGGCGTGCGATCGCACGCCATTCTCAGCATGGCCTGTGTTTTAGTTTGCTTGCACTCAAGTACAACTGAAAAGTAATTGAAGAATATAACCATGAGCAAAAACAGGAAATAAATTCCAGTGCTCTCTGAAAAAGGATACTTCTTCGTGTTCTTTTCTTGTACATGATTCTTTGTCCACATTCTCTACATCGGATAGGGTCCCTTGCTTTTATTTCGTTCTCTGTATGGCATTCTATATACAAAAGATGGGTGTGTTTCTAGCTGAAGTATGATAATTTTCAACAGTTTCAAGGGGGTTTCTCCAGGAAATTTGGGATCTTAGAACAAGGCCTGGTTATTATATCTTCAATGATTTTTAAGCGCTTAAAAGCGTAACTTAGTCGTCAACATAGCTATGCTTTGTGGAAGGAGGATGATCCTAAGCTTGTAGAGAAAGTGAAAATGAAAGAGCTTACAAAATATGGAATGTACACTAGGGTATCAAAAGTATTGCACCACCTCGAAGGAGGAGAAATGGCGCATGAATGATCGAAAGCTATTGTTATGCAAATTAATTCTGTTTTTAGAGGGCCAATGGCAATTGGTCAAAAGCCAAACAACCACCAATCAAAACTTCAATCTATTTAGAGCATTTATTTTAAAAATAACAGTAGCAAACGTCCTTTAACAGTTTCAAATTTCAATATTTTGATGGGTAGCCGCAAACTTTTGAAACCGCAAAAAGCCTCCTTGAAATGGATCCACATTTTTGGTCAACGTATTCTTGTGGAATTTTGCAATAGGCCTGGAAAATTCTTGCAATTAATGATTCTCTGGCTTTTGGACGACCATTTGGATCACAGTTTGTAACATTTTTCATTTGAAGTCAAACTTTTTTAGCGATGTTAAAGATTGGACTTGATTCTGGCTATGCCAAAACTTTAATTTCTTTTGTATGGAAATAAATATTTGTAAAAATGGTTTCCGTTTACTCAGGTAACTTTTTCTTTTGTATTTGTGCAAAACATTCATTATATTTTCTGTGGACGGATTTTGAGCTGCAAAACCTTGCGCAGTGTTGGGTTTCATGCCTTTTACTGCCCCTTGGTGCTGTACGTAGTGAGATAAAACCGACAAATTCTTTCCCCTTTAACATCAAATTTATTTTGGTCGTCAACTTCTCGGTTTCTTTACTACTGTAACACTCTCTAAAAATCTTTTTTGATTTACCGCAGCTGTTGTGTAGCTGCATTTAACTTGGTCAACATTTTCTTTAAAATTGAAGGCCACTTCCCCGTAAATGTTTTATAGCGACTCGCCTCTCATTTGACAATTTTGTTTCCTCGGGCATGGGCTACATTTTTACAGATAAAAATGTTTTTGCGTAATTTATACATTTTTAACTAAGTTTTCTATGGCGTCAGCAAGATTTGCAAACTTTTCCCGCCAAAGTTTGCTCTAAAATGCGCTTATTTCACCCAATTAATGCATTCAAATGTTTTGCATTGTCAAAAAGTCGACAAAAAGTGCCGCCATTTTGAGCAGGGTGGTGCAATACTTTTGATACCCTAGTGTCTATAAAGGACTGTACCTATATATCGTAACCCAAGTACGAATAATTCCTTCTCTCCTCATATAAAAATAAAACTATGTTTATTGATGCAGTTACAAAAGACTAGTCATTGTTCAGTAAAGATCTTAAAAATGTCATTACCACCACATATATAGATCATTGCAGTTTTCATAGCAGTAGCATTTTGTGACTGTGTCCTTGCATCCATTTCAAAATCTTGGAGCAGAAACAGTCTTCCACTTCTATCTTATCTTTTTTCATTCGGCCTAACAGATCAGATACTCGACTCCATGTGCTATTGTCACTCAAACTGAGGCTACGTCAACAGGCAGAAAGCGTGCCAAAATGGCAGAGAGGGTGTGCGAAGCTCCTGGGTGCCAAAAAGTTGCCAAACTGCAGTGCCCAACATGCATTAAACTTGGCATTGTCGAGGGCAGCTTCTTCTGTCAACAGGTGGGTTAGGTATCTACTCTTTTGAATGAATAAGTTCACTGATCTCTGCCAATAGGCCTAATTAATGAATCGAAACGACAAACTAAACTCTATCCTCCTATGCTACCACTTGGAGAGTGCTTTTTTGAAAAAGCTGTGAATAAATAAGCTTTTAAAACATTATAAGAATAAAGATCCATTGACTGATGAATTACTACCTTGTGGACAGTAGTAACCATGAACCATGATTCTCCGCAACATGCTTCCCGTCCCGAACCACAGCTAGTCTTGTTCACCGTTTTATATATCTAAAAGACTCAACAGCAATATCCAGAAATCCAAGAATAACTATTCAACCAATGTGACAAATCGGATTATACCCTGCTGTTTATTGTAGTTAAGAAAATATGGAATAAAGGGACAGAATTTTTCTCTACACTACACTAAAATCATAAACAGTGTGTATTTGTTAAGGAGGAAAACTTTTAGTGTACAGACTAAATTAACCATTCATTGAAAAACATGTTGTTTCCAACCTGAGTCCTGTTTAACATGTAAAGAAGAACACAGAGCCAGAAAAGAGATGATGTGTCTCTTGCGTGTCTTGATTCTGACTGTGCTGAATTGACTGACTAAAATTACTTTCAATATGCATATACATATATACAAATTGAAGCGCTAAAAATAAATGTGCTGCGTAAGGATCTGTTAATGTGATGTAATGATGATGCAATAGAGAGGGAAAGACCTAGGCTTGGAAAGGAGTCAAAATGATTTAGTTGATTGAAGCTGTAAACAATGGAATGTCCTATGGTATATGATGCCGTTAATGACACAAGGGGATGTCACGGTGATGATATGATCAGTGAAGGAATGAGAATATGGCCTGTTTTAAAATATTAAAATCACTACAAGCTCAAGTGCAATATCAGGTGTCCTGGAGTAGTTTGTTATTAACCTCACTCTGCGCTTACTGTATATAAATGACATGTAGAATTTCATCAGCGAAAAATATCATCATGCCAGTGCGTTACAAGAATACCCTTAAGCATGCACTTGAAAGTTAGGAACAGTTTTGCTCTTCTCTACTCAAAATTAAAGGAGAATTTTTCAATTCATCCTTTTCCACTCTACTCCAAAGTTTGCAACTGCTTTGGATGATAACAAAAATTTTCTCTAATTTTTCTAAATAAATCTGCAATCCATGCACACAGTGAATAACACTTCTCAGCACTTTATGGTACATACCATTTATATGGTAAGTCATGCATTCAAGATTATATACCTTAACAAGAGAAGTATGGATAGGCATAAAGGCAAGAGGCTTTTACAGGCAGGGAAAACTATTGTTTTCGATATGTTTGTCACAAATTGCATTAGTATCACAGCCTCTGCACACTTTTGGCTGGCAAAGGAGCACCTAAATTTTATATAATGGGGCCTTTAGTTGTTCCCCGCATATATCAGCTAGGGGCCTCAAGTGCTGGTCAGCATTGCATTGCAACAAACATGTAAATTAGATTTTTATCTTTTGTAGTGTTGTTGTAATGTATTTGTTGTAGAGTATTTTGTTAAAGAAATATAACTGTAATGAGAGCAAGAATGAGCAATTTTTAAACAATGTTTCTGTTATGTCATGGTTTTTATGTTTTCCTTAGCAGCATGCAAAACAATCTTGATTATATTAGAAATTTTCGTTCAATAGGAATGTTTTAAAAGCAACTGGAAATCTCACAAAAGTATTCACAAGAAAGCTGAACCTGCAGGTAAACATTTTCAGCAGTTTTTTTGCATTTTAAGGAATCTGAACTTGACAAGTTCCTCATCATTATTGATATACTTCTAAAAAACTGTTAACAATAGATCAATGGTTAAACTATAAATAATTTCTCAATGAGATTGAGGGTTTTACCTTTGTTAACCTTTCAACCAATTTTTAAACTTTTGTATTCTAACTGGATTGAAAATGAAACTTTCTCCTATTCTTTGATTATAAAAGCTGTATTTCATCTTTTGAAGCGCAAAATGGTGTTGTTCAGGAAGATGATAAATCAACTGAGAAGTATAATCCCTACCCAGGATACATTTATACAGGAAAACTGAGGCCCTTTCCTAAGGTATGTCTTACATTGTTTTATATATCAAGATCTTAGTGTTTGACAACACCCTTTGACTGTCTCAGTGCAATCGGTCCCCCTGAGTTCAAACCTTCCTTTTAAGGAAGTTCTTGTCCTGATAAAAAAAGGCCTTGAAAAGTGTGGCCTTTTGGAAACAGGAATCAAGCCTCAAAAAACCTATGCCACTATTTTTTGTAAATTGCGTGATGGAAATTCCTCTCATTGCTTTTATTTTATTAGAAAAGACAGTATATTCTCATGTAGTGTGCCCTGTAAAGAGGCATTGAATGTTTAGAGCCATGCTAGCTGCTTTGATCTCACTCTGAATATTTGTTTGCATTTACTATTCAAATGAATGCCCAATGAATGCAGCCCAAATTCATAATAATAATTCAGAAGCATAATTTTGCTAGAGTGTTATGGTCCTAGCAGAGACTTCACATTTGATTTAAATGAGTTTACACTTTTGAGAAATATTATTAATAATGATATTTGTAATCTATACTTTGTTGTTTTTCTTAACCTTTCTTCACAAAAAGTGGAATTATAAGGCAACACACTAATATAATTTTTTTGCACAATGTTTGCATGCAAATTTTGAAAAACTTTTTCTGTCCATTAAGAATTTATTCTGTCTTTTACAGTCAGCAAAGCGAACAGTCCCAAGTCATATTCAGAAACCAGACTATGCAGATGATCCAGAAGGTGGGTGTCCTACTGCAATGCATGCTTAATTAGCCCAACCTCAATTGATTAACTCACTCTCACCTGATTCGTCTTTGCCCCATTGCAAATTAATCAAAATAGAATCAAATATTGCATTGTCTTTGGTGCTCGACTACACAATTCTGCCGTCTCCCCCTAAAACGTGAACATCACATGCTGACCCAAGAAGTGAAGAAGATAATGCACACTTTGAATGCAAAGTCTTTTTTCCATGGGGGATGATACTTTTCATCCTCGATTAACTGGTATTTTAATATCCAGAGGATGGTGAATCTGCCGTGATTTGATAAATTTCTTTAAACTTTTGGGCTTCTACTCTTCAACCCTGTCTTGTGTTAACTTAGCTTAATAACAAACAGACGGACCTTTGGCATGTTCTTCCTTCCTTAGACATATGTCATATAAATGGTTAGGGTTAGTCAATAAATGTTAGGGTTAAGGTTAGGGAGAGGGTTAGGGTTTCGGTTAGTTAGGATTGGGGCAAAGGTTATACGTTAGATGTATATCACTCCTCAACAAAAACCTTTAATAGCAAGACTGAGACAGTTTTATTTGAATGGCATGCAAGCAAAAAGCAATCATGACACAACACCTTATTTTTCTTGCTACTTTTGTTAAGGTAAAAGCAGCTCTTTGCATCCATTGTTGATCAATGAAGACCCTACCCGTTTCATTTAATTCGTACCGTTTCGTATATATGCAGTAGGTCATATGCTATCTCATTTTCAGGCTACCCAGCGAGTGAAATGTCAGTTAAAAGAAGCACATCAATCCAGGTCTTAAGCCCGGAAGATTTGAAGTCAATGAAGGAGGTTTGCAAGGTGACTGTCTTAATTTTAGGATTGTTTGGGTAATTTTAGCATTTAATGGCATCTTCCGACCAAAGAAACAGTCACTCGCATGTTTTGAATTGAGAAATCTGTTAGGAACCACTGTCATTTCCCTGGACAACGAAATAGACAAGTTTGTTTTGCCGTCAGTTCTCTCCCACAAGGCCACCCTTGCATATTGGACTTTCATGAAGGATCCACTGGCCCCTCTCTCTGTTACATAGTACCATGTGTTGCCGCACTGTACATCTCTTTACTTCTCTAACGCCAAACCAAACGAATCACCAGAATTCATCAGGACATATTACATTTCAACATGTCGTGCCGTAAGATGCCGACTTTACCTTAATGAACAAACATATTCGGCATTGATAACAATGTTACTAAACAAACACTATGAGGCACTGTCTTGCCGTTTGATATGTAAAGTGGAATAAGGCTTAAAAACGTAAAATTAAAGAGTTTGCAAAAGCTGTACTTTAAATATTTTGCATCCCTTCTTTTTTGATCTCTGTAAATCTTAAAGGGTGGAAATTTTTCTGTGGCGATAACATGAGATACCTAGTTTTCACAGCTTTTCCTGTAGGTTTTTCAAAGTTCCCTTCCCGATCAAAAGCAAAATTAATCAGCAGTCAGAGGCTCTCTTTATAAACTCATGGACCCTTTATTTGTATATTTCTAAGATGTTAAATAATCTTTGCTACATAATTTTTACTCTGTGAAGCAATGCTCATAAGTGTTGCCTTTTTACAGTTGGCTCGTGAAGTTCTTGATATTGCTGCCAAAGCAGTGAGGGTTGGCATAACAACTGATGAGATTGACAGAATTGTCCACGAGGTAATTTTTTAATTAATTATGAAAAGAAAAACAAGTAGTTGTGAAATTTTGCATGAATAAATAATATGCATCCATAATATTGACATAAAAACAGGGGTTCTTAATTGTTTTGAGTGCCGGGCCAGAAAAACGTGAATTTTCTCCGGGGCCACTGAGTTTTCGACTTTTACAAAGCTTGTGTCAAAAAAGTTGCACAAAATGAAGTTCGGATCTCATACTTATCAAGCTAATTTAGAGATAAGATAGGCAGGCCTGTTATTTCTTGTTAGAGTCTATAGTCATAAAATCTATGTAGTGCGCTTATTTTCATAAAATATGTTTTGGAATGGTGGATGAGAAGAGAGAAAAAGGGAGGGCGATGATAACATTTAGGAACACGATGCTGGCTTGATGTTAGAGGAATTGGCTGAATGTGCAATGCCCGACAAAAACACGCCCAAGGCCAGGGAAAACTTTCTAGGGGAGAGGGACTAAAAGCTTCAAACTGTAACAAAGTGTATGAAGCCAACAAAATGATTTGCATAAAAGTTTGCAACATGCGTTTCTTTTACCATAGTTGGATCAGAAGACAGTTGTGCTATTTTTCGGTTACGACATTAATATTTGTTAGGTCGACTTAATGCACTTGAAGTCGGATTAAGGGATGGCGAAACGTATTTTGAAGTGGGGCCAAAATTCAATGACCGTGCTTGTATTTCAAAAGGTCGCCACCGTGGTTGGCGGCGAGGAAAATTTTAGATTATAATAGTCTAGGGATGGTCAGAAACTGCATCTAAAATAAAATTTGTAAGGGGGAAAAGCTAACGTTTCCATAGTTTTATCTATTTTAATGTTGACATTTAAAGAAAGGGTCTTCCAGAGTTTTAGAATTAGAATTCGCATAACAGCGAATCTTTATAACTGAATGAAACCAAAATAAGATGTAAAAGTAAAAAGGTAAAAAAACACAGTAAAGAATTGAATGAACTTGGCAATAAAGAATTAGCCAGCGCCCTAGTCCACACACGCTGCCTCATACACATACACTAATAAGCATGAACTTCATTTACTACAGAGGAAAAAAATATCAGAGCAGTCCAAAAGCAAAACTTAATCGAATTCAAAATTTTTAAAGTGGAAGCCAAAAATTTTTTTTTTGAGATAAAGCGCTCGACGGGCCGGATAAAAACTTGCTGCGGGCCGTAGTTTAAGAATGGCTGACATAAAAGTTCTGCATCCTGAAAACGTAGCAAATTTTACCATCAGGATATCAGATAATGATGAGTAGAGAATTATTGTTCACCAAGTATAAACTTTAGTGCATTTTAGATAACCGCCCAGGCAAAAAGGTCTCCCTTCAAGCCTTTATTAAAGAATAATCAAGTAAATGAAATGGCCGCAATATTCACAAACATTACCACTGAGCCAGGATCGCATTGACTTCTCTACAGTATTTCCTCCTCAGTAACGCTCTTCTAAAAGCGTTGCTATGTTCAAAACACAACTCCCGCTGTATTCCTGCACTGAACTGCAAGTTGTGAAATGATTTCATTTAAACACGTTTTGCACAAGTATCAGTAGCATATATATCAGTTTTCACTGTAATTTATTCTTGTTAAGTCTATTTTAGTTGCCAATTGCTCTTAACTTTCCAGGCCACAATCGAGAGAAATTGTTATCCGTCACCACTTAATTACAGCAGATTTCCAAAAAGTTGCTGCACGTGAGTATTTCTCATGCGCTAATGTGTATTTTCTTGTTTGTGTAAGTTTGCCTTATAGTATTTTCTATTTTGATGGCAAGTTGTCACAAAATTTCGTGGTACAGCTTAAGTTCATTAGCAGTTTTAATGTTGCTCTTTTTATGTAGAATATAAACCTAAATCTAATAGAACATGGTAGATAATATATCCAAAGATGAAATAAACATTACAGCCTACTGGTCTGTAATTTACTGCTTGTTGTGGTTTAGGCAGAGCTGTATGTAAACGCTATGGTGTGTATATCAACTGTATCTTACCATTAGGTTATAAATGACAATTCATACAGAGTTGGTGCAAAAGTCACAACATTAGTCTATATCTGCTTATCATTTTTCAATTTTCAGAAAGAATTTGTATAATGCCAGCTATCCTTAATGAAAAAAGAATCTCTTCACATCCATAATAAAGTTTTACTTAGCTTCAGACTGAATTTAATGTTTTTCCAAGAGTGCATAATTAACTAAATTTTTATATTTAGTGCTGTTTTTGTTTAAGGTCGGTCAATGAAGTTATTTGCCACGGTATTCCCGACAAAAGACCCTTAGAAAATGGAGACATAGTAAATTGTAAGTTATGTGTGCCTTCTATTTTATCAATGGTAGCAAATGAAAATTTAAAATTCGCAATGTTAGACCAAATCGATCGCTTTATATGTACTCTTAGATAATGACACGAGGCGTTTGATATCCAAGTGGCTTCACTGTGCTCCTATAAGGGCAGATTAATGGTAAACATTTTAATTCAAAACCGTTTCTTCTGGGATACCCTTTAACAGGAATGTTCAACTAAAAGGGCATTTTGTGAATAACTCGTTCTCTTGTGTTGATTCGAAAAGAGAGGCGGCAAAGATGAGTATGGACGTATTGTGTATTTTAAACGTAGGATGGAGCGTTTGGTACGGAGGTACCTCTAGGTTTAGAAATGAAGACTTTATAATATTTTAGCTTGCTACGCTAATTGCTTTTCAGTGGTGCTTACAATAGATAAATGTGTTTTTGGAAGCTAAAGACGTCTTGCTACTGCATGCATAATTTTTTCATAATTGATTTTATGTCGCTGATATTGGTTATCAAGGGGGATCTGGGGGAGGGGGGTTTGAGGGGGTCTAGGCCGGTCATTGGGAGTGCCATTGCATACTTTTATTTTGCCTTTAGTAATTGTTATCATAACGATCATTCTTTTCAGCTAACAATGTAAGGCCAATTCTCTTTGATATTTGGGGACAACATCGTTTATTCTTCTCTCAATTATTATGTCGCAAGAAAAAGGTGAAAAATGTATTGAAAATTACTTTTAGTGGATATTACGTGCTTCTACAATGGTTTCCATGGTGATCTCAATGAAACGCTTTTTGTTGGAGATGTCGACGAGGCTAGTAAACTCTTGGTGAAAACTGCTTACGAATGCATGATGGCGGCCATAAATGAAAGTATGTTGAGCATTATGTGATATTCTGAATCCGTTTTACCATCCTGTCGAGCAACTTAGATTGAGAGCGTGGAGTCCTTTGAGTAACACCCTAGGCTAGATTTCTCTAGAAATCCTTTTCTCCACATTAAGGATCAGTAATATAACTTACTGATCCCATTTCATTGCAAAACAAAAAAAGGCATATGGTAAGAGAACATAACTTTCAGGTTTTTGAATGCAGCGTTAGTAACTAAAACTGCCCAAACATTCATGAAATTTAAATTGCCCAAAATATAAAACCTGGGAAATAAGCAAATGATGTTTTTTGTTTATATTATTATCATCAATATTAGCATTTACATTATATTATGTGGCTTTAAAGTTTTTCAGACGTTGCTTCGCTGTCAGACACGATTTTTTCATTGTGAATAAAACTTGTATATATGTAAAACTTGAATAAGCCTTTCATATGTATTCTTATACCTTATGAGTAACCATATCATGTCAGATTAACGATTGCTTACTTTGGTTTTCTCTCCTTTTCACAAGTCCTGTATATGTTGTTTATTTTTCTTTAGTTTCCCTTGTTTGTTTCGTTTCTTTAATAACTGTCTTTGCCTTGCTAGTCAAGCCTGGGGTTCGTTATCGGGAGCTTGGCAACTACATTCAAAAACACGCCCATGCCAACGGGTGTGCAGTCACAAAGACTTATTGTGGTCATGGCATCCACAGGTAAATCTCAATTGACTTTTCTTATCTCAGATAGTTCATAGACTTAAAAGCACTTAAATTATCGCAAGAATACAATCTCTATCAAATTTGGATTTTAACAGTCTTGAAGATTGACATGTTTTTGTTATTGAAATTCTATTGCTTACTATACTGTTATTATAACGGAATTATTTGTTTGTTTCCTCAGTAAAAAAATTTTATGAATTCCTTGTTTAAAGTACCATTTTATGGGAAGAGCGTGCTTGCAGGAAATAGCAATAGTTTATGATATTGGTGTCCCATATTATTTTTTTTCTAAAACGCATCTGGCACTTTGGGACAATCAATATGAAAGATTAGAGAATCGATACTTTTCCTATTTAATTTATGACCATTTTTGTATGTTCAGCAAGCACTTGTTTGGTATTTTCAAATCTTATTTTCTTTAAGGTTGTTCCACACTGCACCAAACATACCACATTATGCAAGTAAGTTTTTAACTTGATTTCAATCGGCCGGGAAAACAGCAAGGTCTTTGAAGAAATCTTGTTTTGTCTTCTTCTATGAATTTGTATCTTTTTAGAATATAAATCTTATCATACAAAAGCTTAATGCCTACAATCCTGGACAAGCAGTGTTTTCATCGTGCACCCATCACCGCCCTTCCCCCTCCCCTCCACTTCCCTCTTCTCCACTTCCCTCCACTCTTCTCTACTTCCCTTCACTCTTCTCCACCTCCTCCACTCCCCTCTCCTCCCCTCCACTCTCCTCCCCTCCACTCCCCTCTCCTCTCCTCCCCTCCACTTCCCTACCTCCCCCCTTTTTAATATTGATATATGAATCGCGTTCGCTCAGATTTTGTGTTCATGCGTTGACCTCAAGAGCTGTAAACCATGTAATATGCTCAGTATGTCAGTGTTACACAGTATTTGCTGTATTATCTAGAGAGTCAAATTAAATAAGTCCTACCTTGTAAAATAAGCAATTCGGCCTGTTTTTTACATTTTTTGTATGTGATATTAATCATGATCTTTCACCAATTGTTAAAGGTTAACAGAATATCAATATTGTTTCAGAGAATAAAGCCGTTGGTATTATGAAACCAGGTCACGTGTTTACTGTGGAGCCAATGATAAATCAGGGTAAGAATCCTATACAATATAATGAATTTATTGAATGCTTTGTTTTATAGACAGGACTGCACGTTTATATAATAAAGCAATAAATTATATCATCAATGTACGCTGGCTAACTCTAAGTTGTTTCTCTAATTTCTGTTGGATCAGTGTAAATCAACTTTTTTGCTAAAAGAGTGGGAACAATTTGTCTCCGTTTGTTTAATGAGGAATTGCTAGAGCACCAATAGGATTATATAAACTTTACCTTTCTGCTGTAAAACACGGTATGAGATAATGAAAGTATCAGAATCGAATGTGAGAATCAGTCCATAGCCTAAATCAACACAAATAACAGTAGGCAAACATCCAGTGGATTTTAGTTCAAGAATTTGTTTATATGTATATCTGTGGATCTGATTGTGAAATCTGCGCCTCTTGACACACAATAAAGTTCTATGCAGGTGAAATTTTACTTTGCTTATGAGCTGCAAATACAATCAAGTTCTAATAATGGTCGCATGCTTCAAATATTAACATTTTATATTTTGATTTTGCTGTTTAAATTCCATAAAACTGATTTATGTTTGCTTGGCAGACGTTTTAATGTCATTTTGCTGCATGACCAGACACGTTTTTATTTTATTGCTTAAAAAAAACTCTTTTCGGAATTATCTGTTTGTTTTTTATTAAACTTTTCGATATTCCATCTGTAGGCTCAAAATATATATTAGTGACAAGTTTTTCATATCACCTGTTTTATGAGGGAATTGTGTTGTAAAGCGGCTTTTTGCAGCTAATTCCCTAATTTCCCGTTTTTCAACATAAATAATTAAATCTTCAAAACTCAGACAGTTTTCAAAATACAGTCAGCGCTCGATATTTCAAGGGAAAGCAAAGTTTTCTAAATCATCAGAAATTCGAATCATAAAACGTTCTCTTAAACTGGAATATTTGCTTAAAGGAAATTCATTTTGTCGGAATGAGGAGAAATTCGAATTTCTAAACTTTAATTGCAGCAAAAAATTATCTATGGCAATTTTGAGTATTTAGACATCTTTTTGTATTATGTATCGTGCATAAATTTTATGAAAGCAATTCGTATTGGATTCTCAGCTTTCTCTGTTTCAATTATGGTCAATTTGTTCATTACTCCGGCGTGAGCAAATTTCATATTTTTACGAAACGTTTCTATACAAAAACTTGATTGGAAAGTTTTTATGACGCATGCTTCACGTAATTCATTTTTGGTCTCTCGATATGGTTGCAAATCAGTGTTCGATTAGGCCTTCGATTGCACGAAGCACCTTGAATTTTAACCTCATGATGACTGAGTCATTGGCAGGTTTGCCAAATTATTCAAATTTATAAGAAACAGTCAAATCAAAACAAGTAACACTCCATAATATATTTCAAAATTAATTCAGTAAATATATATGAAATAACAAAGCAACCAATGTAAGCCATTGTAGAACAGTTAAGCTGTTCCGTTTAAACCGTCAAATATGTTTCTTTTTTACCACACTGTAAAATGCTGCATATTATTCCCCTTGAATATAGCCCCCCCCCCCCCGAGTAAAAGCCCCCCAAAAACTGTCTTTGAGCCGTTATAAGCCCTGGACTTATATTAGAGTTGCAACGATATTGCGATTGCGACTTTGATTCACTCTGTGTTAATAAGTAAATCAGCACAAGCTATTAAGAGCCACAGAAGAGCATTTATCATGCTCCTGATTATTCATAAAACATTCCTTGTGATCAAACCTAGGGGACATTTATAACATTGCATGGAAAGGGGCATTTTAATTAGCAAAAAATAGACTTGCTTGACAAAACATTTTTAAATTAAACTTGTGATACACTAAGTAAATGTATTTACGAGAGAAGTGTTTCATAATAACTAATAATAACATCCCTCATGACCTACAGCGCACTGAGTAAAACATCCTCGTAACAGACTCCCTGAGCCTCTTGTTCAAACTTGTGTAAATCACTGGATTTAGAACCGAATTGAGGTAGTTTAATAAGTACAGCGAATACGCAAATTTTATCTTTTGGTACTCAAACGACGAACCAGAAATGATTTCTAATGTGACGAATAAAAAGTAGGGTAAATTGCACAAGCAATGTATAAACACAATAAAAAATATGATCTTTATATATTTCTTCTGTCGAATTCGAAGGAAAACAGTAGTGAGTCGGACTGTTGCGCGCTGCCTCAAAAAAACCATTCTGTGTATTTGATGTGTCCCTGTGCATTTTCCAGTAGCAAGAGCATGATTACCGATGGTACGGTTGAAGCGCTCGTCTGCGTGAAACTCGCTCTCAGTTGGCAATGTTGATGCCTCAATCTTCCTAGACTGCTGTCTTGCATATGATAATAACCTTATATTGAAGTAGACTGTGGCAGCCAAGAAAGCGAGGAATGTTCCTTCAAGCCAAAGGAAATATGGAATATTGATTATTTTTGGCAATACACAGTTCTTGATATCGAGCCGGTAGAATGGGCCTGGTTTTCTATGAAAGGCCACTCCCGATACGACTGGCAAAATATTAACAACTGAAATGCACCATATTCCTATGAGCAGTAGTCTGGCTCGCTTCGTGCTCATTTTGCAATAATATCGAAGCGGCATGCTGATATAGATATAGCGATCCAAGGTCATGAGGCACACTGTGCCCGAGCTTAGTCCATAAAACAAGGCAATGAAGATTAAGCCGCCTTGGCAGAACTGGAATCCGCCATCTAGCATGATGCCTAATCCAGTCACAAGACCACCGGTGCACATTATGAGGTCGACAATAGCTAGATGCTTGAAAAATATATGTGAGCAATCGTCTGTCTGTTCTTGCCTATGGAAGGCCAGAAGAACGATAATGTTGCCGATGATGCCCGAGGGGGCACATACTGACAAGAAGGTCAAAGAGACTGTACGCAAAGCACTCATAATTCCGCAGCAAATGTTCCTTCGAAGAATATAATAGAAACTTGTATCATTATCAAATTGTCGCTGGTTTGTTCCACTTGAAAATTATTATCTGCACCAAACAAAAATTTTTCCGCTCTAGAATAAAATCATAGCTCCAGATTTAATTTCTTTAGTTACAATCAATGTTATTATGCTATACTACAAGCCATAGCAGGTCGATCGTAGAAGATATATTTTAGTTATTTTCATTTTATATTGATGGAATGGGTGTCAAGGAATAGAAATGTATTGGGACATTTTCAAAAAACTGCTGCATAGTGGCATAGTGTGCAGCATGACAAGTTGACATAGTTATGAAATTTGAGGACAGTCGGAATATGTAAACGTGTTTTAAATGTTTGCAGATTAAATTGAACCGCTATACGGATATTCTGTGTGAAAGTTCTATATATTCTATGCTAAGGCGCTATGTACTTTGAGATATTTGTAGGTTCTTTTGTGACGAAGGTTTAAAAGTATGTCAAATACATTAATTGTCAGAACAGTGGAACCTCCAAATAACGGAAACCGTTCGGACCACGGTGTAACTATCCGTTTTATGGAGGTGTCCCTTATACAGAGGTGGCAATTGTTTAAATTCTACCGTTAATGATGATTCCAATGTAATGATATCTGACTTAAAATTGTCTTCAAAAGCAAAATCTGGTTTATCTCCTATCAACAGTTTATCACAAGCTCTTTTACTTTGCATCGATTCTTTAATGATCTTTCTGTTTTTATCAACCATTTCATTAATTTTTATCTTGCATTTGCGTAATCTGTTCTTAGCTTGAACATGCCTGTACATGGTCCTAAGCTTTTATTTCAAGATTCTTGTACGATCTCCCACCCTTTGACTTGCTTTTTATCATGTCACTTCTTAAAGTTCAGCGAAGGTATTTTTTTAGTTTCGGTCCACGATATTTCTGTCATTCAGTTTGATATACTGTATGCTAGATGTACTGTCATTCAATCCCCCATGCTTTCGTTGTTATGGCATTTCCTAAACTTTTTTTACTTTTTTCCTTACAATCTTTTTTTATAAGAAGCAGTAAATTTGAGTTCAGGCTGACTGTTCTTAATTTTTTGAAAAATCTAAGGCTGAATTTTCTTAAGTTGTTCTTAAATTAGTAGGGCGTAAGCAGTGCGATTGCTAGCTTTTTCGCTCTAGGGAAATTTTCAGGCCACATTTGCAAACAAAGTGAGTGACACAACCTTCATTTGGCTGACAAGTTTGAATATTCACCGAAAAAGCTCCTATACATGGCTGAAATCCTCGTTGTAAACGTTGTTCAAAATTGCATTATACAGTAGCTCAGTCTCAGCTTGTTCTTGATTTGTTCTTCATCTTTGACCAATTTTGAGGCTCGCGTTCTTTTAAAATTGATCTCATAAAAAAGAGTGTCATTTTAGTGATGTAACTCTTTGTAGTTGAGTAAATGTGTTTCTTACTTACCTTATGTTCGTACGGCTCGACCCTTTTAATATTTGTCAGAACAGCCTGTATACTGTCTTGATCCTGGCATTCTCCACTGATCACTCGAAAATACTTTTATTACGAATGCTATGTGTACTCGGAATGCTATTCGTCAAACCCATAAGAGTTAATCAAATGTGACCTTCAAAATACTTGCAGATTATTTGTGCCACGATTTCTTCTGTTACCTGTTGTTTGAACAGCTGAAGTCTTGATAAAAGCTATAAAGCCTTTTCCTGCTTCAAGTTTCTTCCTGTGTCATTTTTCACCACCTTTATCAAACATTTGATTACTGTTTTCGTGATATTTGCATGAAATCAAAGCATGCAAAAAGCATCAGTTTTAACTGGCTACACCTTTAAAATTCTCTCTGGGATGTTGTTTAAATTCTGAGCAAATGGATGCGAGAGTTTTGTCCGGAAAGATGCTATCCAAATTGGTCGTGCTCTTACTGTCTGAGAGCTTTTCTTTAGACAGGGATTCTGTTAATTATCAACTGCAAATTAGTAGTCAGTAAAATTCTTTATTATAAACAAAACGTGTGTTGAGTTTATAATGCTCTGTTTCCTTGTAGCAATACTAGAGCTTTCGGAAAACGTTATTTGTCGTAAAATTTTCTCTCATTTTATTCATTTTGATTTCGTCGTCCTTAACATGTTTCTTCATTGCACATGTTCATTCGGTTTTTAAAATTGAAAACATGTCACCAGGTTTGAAATAGATTAGCCAATCAGTGTATTAGATTTTAACGACATATTTTATTGGATTCAACCAAAGTATTGTATGTAAAAAGTTTTTTTAAAAAAATTATCTTCATGTCTTAATGCACTCCAGAATTAGTAGTAATGACATCAGGTTCCCTCTGGGAAGGGCCTCCATAACGGTTAAAAATTTCAGTATTAAATTCCTTTGTTCTTTTGTAATTGATCATTTTTGTCACGAAGAGCTTTATGATAATTATTGTTTTCATTTTGTTTAGCAGCGTGATCTCTAGTCCCAAATATTAGCACCAAAAATAAGAAAATTGTCGTTTTCAGTTTGTCCTTTCTCTAAAGATTGGCACTTTTGATGTTCCCTCAGTGTCAGTTTCTGTGTATGTTTTAACCGCCATACCTGTTTGAACGAGCATCTTTGTTTCCATAGGTACATGGAGAGACTCCCTATGGGACGATAACTGGACAGCTGTAACACAGGTAAGAGGCTAGCAACTGAGGGCAAAAGCTAAATATTCAAGTAGAAAGCCGTTGTGTGGCAACTTACAATTAAATCCATTTACATAGGCATAGTATAGGCTATGGCATAGCTATCTAAAAATTAACTTGACAAGATATTAAGTTATAAGCTTACCATTTGCACCGTTGGAACTTGGTTTCGAGCACGTTTTCTCATTTTGGAACATTATTTCCCTCTAATATGAAACACGAAATATAGTATGTTGTTCTAAAAAATGTCATTTGAGATGCGCTCATTATTGATCTCTTCTTTGCCAGATGTAGTGTCACGTGTTCTCGTAATAGAAATCTTAAAGCATGTATCGTAAAGATTTCGTGTAATAGGGTTCTCATCATATGTGCCCCGGATTTCTTCATTATGCAAGATTAGCTTCAGAAGTCTAGAGCATATCATAGTTAATTTCTTTGCTCTCGATTCCAATGTCTTTGTATTGGTTGTAATTCAAAATAGTCAGAATAGTCGCAATTCAGTAAATAATCTTTCAAAAACATACGCCTTAACGAAAGCCGAAAAGAAGGGTGAAAACTGAGAGAAACCAAGTCATTTACCGTTAATTCACCTCAAAGGATGATTTTTAGTCCTAGAATATATTTCATTGTTGAGTTTTTGTTAACAATGATTGCCTTGAGCTGCATAGTAATGAATTCTAAGACAGAAAATTCTGAATGTTAATTGGACTTTGATAGAGTTTTGTGTAAGACCAAAGCAACGAGCACCTTTCTAAATTTAGCCTGAAGTTTTCTAAGCTCACTGTTGACTAAATAGTCACATCAACTAACAAGGACACACAAGAGCCTTTTGCTGATGTTTTGTTTTCGTTTTAGGACGGTAAAAGATCGGCTCAGTTCGAGCAAACGCTATTAGTCACAGAAACTGGTGTTGAAATTCTGACGCAACGACTTGACAATAATGGACGTCCACATTTTATGGATCAGCTAGAGGCCATGGGAGAGTTGTAAGTTGGGTGTGGCACCGAGGCTACTAGTTATTGTTACTGGTCATCTACAAGAAGAACCATACTAACATCATCATATACATATCGTGTTTTGCCGCCCGTATTCATTCGATAAAGGACTGAAAGATGTGATAGTTTGACGTCGAAAGAGTCTTTGTCTATTGCAGAGCAATACAAGATGGTTGCCAACTGACTAAAGGACTTTAGGCGAAAAAAAACTATTGTTTGTTGATTGTGTCTGATTTTTTTATAAATGTTGTCTTTGTAACCGACTTGCACGTAAAATCAGGTCTGGCTAGTTCAGATTGGTACATTTTTTACCCTTTTCATCGCGCTACAATAGGTAGCAATGTAAATCTTTACTCCCGAAAATATGTTTCACTTCATTTCACTCGACATTGTCGTATTAGATATAGCTGCGACATTGTTAAAGCATTTGCACAAGCTTGAATGAAAAGCGGGCTACGTTTAGAACGAAAGCTTTTAGGAATCGAGACTATCGTTATGTTTGTATTGTTTCAGATCAGTTTGTCGATCAATTGTCCCATACTGCTTTATAGTACCTAGTTTTCCATTAAATATAATTATGAAGAATAAAGATGGTTAAAGATGTTGTTCTCTAAACCCACTATTTTTTCGATAGATGATATCTGCATCGATTTTCTGTTTCTTTTTTGCCCAATCATTTTTGCTTGTTGTTAAGAGGAAGTGAAGCCTGGAAGGGTGTGCCTTGAAAACAGAGAAAAGTGCCTTTAAAATTCGTCACAGAACTGGCCGTGGAGAATACCTATCAAAACGTTCCAAGATATCCTTCTAAGGCCAAACCATCGAGTCCGTTGACATTGTCTTGCCATTGTCAGACATTCTGGCATTTGCGTCAGAAATTTTTTGTTTGTTTGAGTTAAACATATCTGCTATTATCATTTGCGGGGGGTAACCGACAGTGTAGCCATAACGTTATTGGAAAATCGCGTTTTCTTTCACCTGCTATGCAGTCTCGTTCGTCTATCGAACTGGTAGGGGTGCTTGCCCCTGCAAAAGTTTATGGAGTTCGCACTTAGAAATGATGGGGAACATTGTGTTGAACATTTGGAACATTGTGGAACATTGTGGAACTGGTATGAACAATGTGGAACATTTGGACACACATTTATTTGGTATTGTTTCAATTTCTTTCTTGCAACAACAACAACATCCCCAGGCCTGCATCAATTTTGTTGGCATTGGCAACGAATGGTGAACAATCAAAAATGGTGTCTTGAACCAAGCCAGAAAACTTATGAAATGGTGAGGCACGAGGTTATCATTAGATATGGACCATACCAGTCTTGTCATTTGGTAAAACACACCGAAGATCGACTTGATGGTCTCCAATGTGAGTGAAATAGCCAAGTTTATTTTGACTCTAATAAAATAAATAGGATAGGCCTAAGGAAAATGTGATCTTTTAACCTTTATGAAATGCAATACAATTGGTCATACTATCGCTTTCTCCCTTGTCAAGCTCAATTTAGTTGTCTAAGTTGGGTAATATTGAACTGAAATGATAACGAAGGATAAGACAAAAATGAACTGGAAATGAGGAACTGTTAATTGTTTTTATTATAGTAAATACTCTGCTCCAGCTTTTGTAATGTCATGCACAAGAAATCTTTATTTGTTCACTGGTATTTCCCAAACCATCATCATCAAGTTTAGTGACCAACAGGACATTTAGATGTGCACTTGACAGGCCTAGAGTTCTACTAGTAATTCTATGTACTGAGGAGAGTAGGCAGTAGAACCTCTTGACAATTGATCAAGATCTCATGCAAGCAAAATTATTTTCACAGATTTTAAATAAAAAACCTCTTTGAACATATTGCTATTTCATTGTTCAACTTGGATAGTAAGTATGCAGCATTGCTCCCACCTTATGCATGCCTCGTCTATACTGTTGAAAAAAAGTAATAATTATAATACTTTCCCAAACGCACCTTTTAATTTTTAATTTGGTCAAAAAGCTTTGTAACAACTAAATGCTGCTTAACATAAAACCCTAACCTTACTGTAGTTAAAAGACTTTCATTTCTTTATTTAAGACATTCTTAAAGAAGATGGTCATTCTGTATCCGTTTTGAATTCTGAAGAATGGAATGTTGTTGAACTTATTGTACATGAAGAAGTTGTTTTTAGATGCCAGATACAAGAGCTAGATTTTGGTAGGTTATTTTCTTTTCATAAGTTTTGAATACTGATATTCAGGCATTGTTTAATGTTAAGCTGGATCTGGAATGGCTTCAATGCTGATTACTTGATTTGAAATATGTGCTAGAAAGAGGTTCAGGGCAATATGACCATTGAAGCTGTCAGAGCAGTTGCATGCCTTAACCAACAAAGGACCTTAAAGTGTAAAGAGCATGGTCAATCCACTTTTCTTTAAAAATTGGCATGGTTTAGGTACTTTAAAATTGCTCTTCCCATTCTTCAAAGGATAATATCATCTTTTCCTGCTTTGTGTTCCTCTGAAAAATTTCTTGAATTCTATTGGCATAATAAGTACTATTCTGTAACTAATAAGTGTTTTACTCATTCAGGTGGGGATGGAAAGCTTGATCCACTGTGCCTTCAAGCATTGGCAGCAGTACAAAAAGCATATTGAAATTCATATCTAAAGGTAAAACCTTCTGTATTCTCAACTTATTCCCAGCTTTTTCTTGTAGTGACTCTACTTAGGCCTGTTTATGTTAATTTTTTCTTTTCATTCATTCCATCACATTCTCACAATGCACCCATTCACTAATTCTTAGTGTTTACTTTATCTTTGTCACACTATTCAATTTGCTCATCACCTTGACTCACCCTTCCAATCATTTGTTTATCTATGCATACGTGGTTCCAGAAATAGGCAACAAAAGTTGAAGTGGACACAGCCAACATAGAAATTGTAGAAACAATATCCTGGATTGATTAGTTAAAATTGTTGGAAAAATAAAATAAAATTGAAGTTTTTCAAGTTTTGTTCTAAATATGTGTGAACCCGTGGCCTTTCCGTATATAAACAGTGCCAAATGTTGAATCATTGATGGGGGAAAAAAAGAAAAAAAAATAGTTTATCTCACATTTTTATTTTAGATATCCATTTCTGTATATATAAGTATGTTAATTTTTATGTTAGGAACATTGTCTTTTCTCTAGCTCTGTGTTCTCCTCATATGAAATAGGACTATTTGGGTTCAAAACAACATGTTTGTCAATGGATGGTTTATTTAGTGCTTACATTGATCACTGTTCCAATGTATGCTAAAATCTGATACTGAAGAGGTGAAACACAGGCAAGAAGAAGATCTAGGTTATAACAAGTGGCTTTTCTCCAAAGTTTCTTTTTGCAATGCCCTTTAACAAAATTGAAAGTTTTTTTAATCAAGGCAAAAAAATAGTATAAACATGTCATGCACTTATGCTGAGTGAGCTTAAAATTGGTAAATTTTAGTCATGATTAATTGTTTAGGGGATGGTCAGCCAAATTTATTGGGATGTTTTGCTCCCCAAGTTCAATTAAAAAGGCAGATTTAGAGTCAAAAATGTGCTAATTCAATATCAAGGCTAGTTACTGATTTATATCTTGGAAAGCGCAGTTTGATAATGACACACACAATAAGCATGGTGATAGAATTATAAATTTTCTAAATTTTGTTTTGACATCATATCCATAAGTTATAACATCCATAATTGACAAAATCGGTGAAACAAAGTTTTACATAACCAGTAAGACAAAATCAGTATGACATAATAATTTAGACATAATCAAAAACACATAAACAATCTTTTGATCATTTCAACCATAACTACAGTCATCTTCAGTAAAGTAATGAAAAAGCAACAATTAACTTTAAGTAGAAAAGGATAAATAATAAGGGCACTATCTAATTATCTTCCTAATGCAAATTTAATTATATTTTACTTTTCTATACAGGCATTTGGTTATTGGAGTGCAAAGTTCCTAGAAATGTGTCTTGTTCTTGTGGAGAGACCAAAGCAGACATACAAAACACATTATGTAAATAGTCTATTTAAACATATATGAATCTTTTAACTCAAGTATGATTCATGAAGGAATTTCCTCGTTTGTTTTTAACCAAAAAATCATCTGTTACACTGTTTTCGAAACTTTATATCTACGCTGGTTTCGAAAAATAATCGAGCTGCTTTTGGGATTAACAGGAAATCGGTAGCGGTAGTTTAAGACTTTAATTGGAAGTTTAGAAGTTTTTTTTATTTTTTCATGAGATGAAAATGGAAATTTTGATATAGCATTATTCCATTTCATGGCTGTTACTGGCATAAAAGAATAGAAAAATTATAAACAGACTATGTTAGATTGATAAAATCTAAGGAATGAAATATTGTTGAGTTGCAGCGATAATAACAATAATTGCAATAAAAAATAAGAACTTTTGGAATGTCAGAAGTGTTCAATGAAGATCAAGTAATTTCAAACGAGTTAATTATTTTTTTTGCTCTATACTCATCCCTCGTACAATTTTCGTGAAGATATTACTGCACACTTGTCAAATTTTGTTTCCAAACGTTTGAGATCCATTGCTCTACCTAATTAGGTCTATTATTTTTATTTTCCTTTCTAAACTGTGTGACGTAAATATGCCGGGGACTATGCGGCTTTCCATTTGGTCTGGAAAGTCCGAATCTCCCATGAAATTTTACATCGTATTCTTATTCCACAATAAGAAACGGATTACCATTCACAGTTTTCTCTAGCATGGGGTTGGCAATAGATTCCTTTTGTTGCTTGTCGGACTTTAATGTTTTCTTGGACGTGATATTAAACGGCCTAAAGAAAGGACACTATCATTTAAGAGAGAAAACGTAGGGACAGCGCACATATTACATAATGAAAATTGGAAAATTTAAATTAAATTTAAATTAAATTAATTTAAAAACTCTTCCCCTAAATTATCAGTTAATAAGCAGTAGCTATAGGCCATAACAACCACGACAAACGTTTGTGTTTTTCCCCCTCCACCTTCTTTGATTATGTAATATGTAAACGTCTCCATGCACAACTGCCAATGCATATATAATTATTATTTGGTCTAGTTACAACCATTTTGATTGGGAAGCAAATGAATGGTTGATTTTTCTTCTGCTCGTAGTTGTTTCTGGGAAAACACAAGTTCATTTTTGCTCTTTTCATCACCAGAAGGGGGGGTACCAGGTATTTTGGCGTGATTGCGTGATCGGCGTATTTTCAATGCTTGAGTTCGTGAAAAAAAATTTTATTATACGTGAATGCGTGAATAGACATTGCCGCGTGACCTGTGAATCAGCATTACACATGCGTGATTGCGTGAAAATGAGTGTTGTACACTCTTTTTTTATAAGAAGCAGTAAACTTAAGTTCAGGCTGACTGTTCTTAATTTTTTCGAAAATCTGAGGCTTAATTGTTCTTGATTTGTTCTAAATCGATTAGGGTGTAAGCATTGCGAGTGCTAGCTTTTTCGCTCTAGGGTGGTGTGCAAGGCCTCATTTGCCAACAAAGTGAGTGAGAAAGCCTTGATTTGCTGACAAATGTGAAACTTTGGAGTAGCCATCATTGTTGTACTTTTTTTGCATAAACTTATAAAGGGAAATCACAACAAGGCTTCTTATTAGCGCCCCCTTTTTTAAAAATAGTTCGATTGTTCTTAACATTCTGAACAATATGAACCAGAACATTTCTGTACCCAGACCGGTTCACATGCTAAATTTCACCATTCTTTTCGGTTCCCTTTTTTTTAAAGGCTTGGGTACATTTTTGTATAAACAAAATTGTCACCCGTTTGTGTACCCGGACCGTTATGCATGCTAAATTCCACCATTTGTTTGAGTACCCTATTGTTTAGGTGCTTGGGTACGTTTTTGCATAACCAAAATTGTCATACTTTTGTGTACCCGGACCGAAACGCATAAGGTTACCGAAACGCATGCGACACCGGTACCCAGTGCTTCCACAAATGACAATGCGGGTTTCCTTAAACGAGGCTGAAATTTCCTTAGATTTCCTCAGACGTCATTTGAAATTTCCTTGGATATTTTCTTGAAAGTTCGAAACTTAATTTAGAGTGAACATAAAAATTTTCGTTAAATTGAAGCTTATCGTTCATGTCTAAAAGTATGCTGTGAATCTGATATCTTTCGTTATCAAAATATGTACCAAGAATTGCTAGCTGACTTTGTGTAGATCGATCTTTTTTCTCGTCAATGATCAAGGAGATCGTGTTACCTTGTAGCTTTGGGGAACCTTCTCTTAAAAAATTGAACTTGACGTATAAGGTTAGTTGTCTTCTGTTTTCCAAGTGAGCATCTGCTTAATGTCTTATCCTTGGGATATATTGATAGGCAAATTTTTTTCTGCAATGAAACTAGCATTTTTAAGTTCCATCCTTGTAGCTTCCTTGTCACTTTGGCCAGGCATGGAATCAATTTTCTTGTTTGTTGTTTCCAGTGTTGCTGACCTTGCCATAACTTCTTTATGGGCAGAGTCTTGATATATGGCTAGAGCTGCTTTAGAGCAGCATACGTTCATCTTACCCACTTGGCACCAAGGTTGAAATTTGCCAGTGTCATTAGTTATCTTCTTCAACCATTGCTTAAATGTAGGGATTGTTAAGTCATGAATCATGAAACTTTTGTTCATATTATTTTTTGGAAGGCTTTACCTTCGCTTCAACATAATTACGTTTCATTTCTACTCGCTTAACTCCACCATTTCTTAACCAAAGTCTTAATCAAAATAGTTAACAGTAGCTGACCTACACCAACAACACAGCAGTCCAAAGGGATTATCTGAGAAAATTTTCTTTAAAACACCCATGTGCATAAGGAATTTCACATATCAAATCGATTTAACAAAGCTGTTCTGACGATCCAACAGCGAGGAATCAAAAAAAATTATAATAAAAAATGAAATTTAAAATTTCCTTAAAATTTCCTCAAAATATCAATTTCCTTAAATATTTCCTTAAACGGACCAAATTTCCTTAATCTGAGGAAATTTCCTTAAAAGTGGAAGCACTGCCGGTACCAGACCTGGTAAAATGTCCCCCTTATTCAGAGATTCCAATGCCGATGGCTTTGCCAACAAGAAGTTACTAGTATTAGATAGTTATATAAAAATCAGAGAGCTTCTAGAGGGCGTGATGGTGAAATTAAACTTCCAGTACCATGAAAGCGCGATTTGCAATTATTTTACGCGTGATTCCGTGATTCAGCGTAGATACCTGGTAGCTACCCCCCAGAAGATAATACTTACTTTTCTAGTGTAATATATAAATGATTCTTTCTCAGCTCATATGCACGCAGTCAAAAAGTCTGAATATATGTGAATATAAGTGGCACTCGAGGTAAATTGCATTAGTCGTAAGTCAAGTAAAAGTATATGGTTAGTCATTAGTCTTGGGTTTTACACAAAATTAGTCATTAGTCAGTTGGTAAAACAGTCTGTTAGTCACCTAGTCAAAACACTTCTACACCCTCTAATATGACCTCTACTTGTCTTTTGACGTCAGACATTTTGCGGATTCAAGTTTGTCATAGTATATTCGAAGGCAAATTAGCTACAGGGGAAATCCTCTGTTTATATAAAGAGGAGGAAAACTGCCTATTGTTTAACACAATGCAAAGTCACACTGGGGTTGGAGGGGCAATTGCCCACCTAACCAGTATGTTGAAAATGGCCCTGAAGTTTATAGCAGTTATCCAAGTTCAACAGCTAAAGACGTCTAAAAATCGGTTGAAACGTCATGAGCTGCACTATCCTTCTCAAGGGCTTCCGTACAAGGTCCAATCAGGGACCGCGGAAATGGGGGAACCCCCCCCCCTCCCCATAATTTCCACAGTGTACTTAAAACCAAACAAAAATCGCCCTGCTCTTGGATTTTAGCATGTTTAGCCCTCAAAAACGTTCTAGCCCCCTCAATCTCTAATATACTCCACGGTCCTTGCATCACAACGATTTATTCCAACTCCAGAATGAATTGCATGATGAAGCTAGTTAGAACAGAACCCCTCTTAACCCCTTCAATTAATACCTTTTTCCGTTTAATGTTTGTGAAATCGTCAGATTCAACAATCAGATTCAAATATCTTGGAAAACCGTCAGAAACGGAATACAATTTGATTGCTGCCGTTCGTAGAACAGAAATAATATGCACACATACTTCTGGAGCTGAGACGGTCTGAAACGGAATAAAATTCTGTATGCCATTGTAGTCTGTTCCGCGTTGTAACCACTGATTCAAAAAAGGATTAGATAGCTGAAAACCGCAAATATACGTGATTCATTAATGACGTTAACAACGCACGCAATACATGTTCAGTTACCCGATTACAATAACAAGGAAGTTAGTGATTTGGTTCCGGAACAAACCAATAAAAACCGGCGTTTTGCTCTTCTACCTCAATTGCCAATCTTGATCACTTTAGCTGCCAGTGACCTGAGGTTGAATCAGAAAAAAATTATGAAGATCTCAATACTCTTCGCGGTTTTACTTGCTATTGCCCTCTTGGTAGAGGAAGGACAATGCTGGGGACGCAGAAGAAGAAGGAGGAGGAGAAGGTCTGGTGGTAAGTTCTTTTTGGTTCTTTATCTTATTTATTTCATATGTTTGTTTCTTGGTTTATGTTATATATTTTTATCTTTTTAATTAAATATACAAAGAAAAACGAATTAGATAAAATTTTATTTCTCAAAAGTCGTGATATTTCTGTACTAATAAGCTACTATTATACGACGAGACTGCGGAGATTTTGTATGACTGAACTGATTGCTGGCTTGGCTTAAAATAATTAATGTGCGTATGAACTTGAGCTTCGATTTTTCAAAATGAGCATTTAAAATTAAGGAAAGTTCAATAATTTTCGCCTGCTGACTTCTGATTAATTTTTAAAAAAAACCAACTTGCTTTCATGTGTTCAGATATTATTTCATTATTGAATAGCTACTAACCAAGACGATATTAAAGGAGAACTGACACGCAAAAATAGCTTTGGCTTATTCGATGCAAAGTTTGTCGCTGACTTCAAATCTGGAAAAAATTTTCTTCTTAGATTCACCGTTTTTCTGATATTTGCACTTTTATCCGTCAATTACGTCACAGCCAGGACTCGGGAATTTCCCGAAGCGGAAACAAGATTATCGCCAGGAGTTGTTAAAATTCTTGGTTGACGTCACAAGTGACATGTTAACAATGCCGTTTTAAAGGCTTTCACCGCAACGGTGAAAGTACAAATTAAGTTTCGTGTTTTATTGAAAATAGTGTGCGATAAAAAGACAAAAAATTGTCAGGCATTTCATTTATAAGTATAAAGAAGCTAGAAAATCCTAGCTACATGTCTGATAAGACGCTAATATCCACATAAAATTTATTTTCATGCCATGATATCTTCGAAGCAGTATGCTACAAAACATTGAAAGAACCTCAAAGCTTGTGAAAAAAGGAGTCGACTTTGTTTGAAAACTGATACCGTTTCTTCAAAGTTTTTATTTTTACAATTACAAATAAAACCGCAACATGGGGGGTAACTTATCAGTTCCCGAAACCTTCACGTCCGGTGAAAATGGCATATAATCCGCACAAGTCGACTTTTAACCCGCCTTTACTATTTGATATCACTATTCAGTTAACTCGTTTGAAACATTGAAAAACAATCATAGAATGCTACACTAATAATGAATAACTTGCAGTTCCGTTTAGGGCATCATAGGCATTTCAGCGAATTAGGCCATACAGACAAAGCAGTCTGGACAAAGACCCCTCAATCTGAAATGAAATTCTAGTTTTACGATACCTGATCCCATTTAGATTGTAGCAATAGCAATGTTTTTAATAGAAACTCCATATCAGTTTGTACTTCCAGTCTGTTCTTTGTTCATAACATCGGCACTGTTGAGCCATGGAACGACTGTCTGCCCAAGCGGCAGCGCTGGTTGGTAGCAAAAACTCAGACGGCTGAAATTTTCCATTTGTTTCGAAATCAGTGTAATAAAACTCGGATTCAGAGTCCCAAACCATTGAAAAAGTCAATTATGTGTCAAAAATGCAAAATTAGCTCCTTTCAGATACACAAAATAAACATTTGTCCGCAGCATTTTCTTAAAGGTTTCTATAGAGAAACACAATACGTGCTGAGAACATGTCACTTGTGACGTCAAAGATGATCGCCCACTCGTGACGATTTTCGCCTCGAGTCTCAAGTTGTCGGAACGATTGTCGTTTCTCAACTTAAAACGCCTGTATTTCAAAAACGGTAACTGTGATTTAAAAAATTTTTTCAATCCCGGAATTTGCTTGTCACAAACTACCGTTTTAGCCAAACTTATTTTTGCGTGTCAGTTCTCCTTTAAGTGGTCTTACCACATAGCTTTGTTTTCCTGAACTAAACTGTTATACATCCATGGGCTCCGGGGCAAGTTGGAAAGTGGTCAGTGGTCAAGGCAAATTAAATACTTATAATTAATGATTGTGCTAAAAAGTGGGGGCATAGGCCCCTGGCCTCTCGGCTCCGGAGGACCTAAGTGTTTGTTGCCCTCGTTGTATAATTTACTGGTAATTATAGCATATGAAAAACTTGATTTTGATACTGTATCTCTGTGCAGGCCCATGGAGTATTAGTAATGGTGGTGTTACGTACAAGTTCAGAAATGGAGCCTCAGTCACTGGACATGGCAGCTTTAAAAATGGCGGTTCAGTAGGTGTCAAGGTCACTATACCCTTTGGCAGAAAAAGACGATCTGTTGCCGATGACACCGACGTGGATGTGAAGAAACTTATTCCAGCCGAAGAAGTAACAGCAATTCCACCAGTTTTTGATGTCGATGATAAAAAGAAAGCAAAGCTTGAAGAAAAGCAACCCGAGATCGAAAAAAGTGACGAAAGCCTGGTCGCACTTCGCCAGAGTCAAGATAGAGAAGACAACTGCGACGAATGTCTAGATATTCAACCTTTCAAAATAAACGACCGAGCTGTTGAAAATAAGACCATAAAGAACAACGATTTTGTCATGGTTGTCAAGTACATCGAAGAAAATATTTCAGCATTGAAACTACAAGCCAAAATCAAATTTGAGGTATTTGATGTCGTGAAAAGTCCTGTTGATAGTGTCAAAGAAGGAGAAACCTTCACAATCAATGCAGAAATGGCCAAGTGTCCATGCTTGTCGATTCTCGACCCAGGCTACTACATTGTAACGGGATCTGTCAATGCTGAAGGCAAACTGGTTTTGTCAAATGTTCTCATGGAATTTGAACGTTAAATTAATATGTATTTAATATTTATATGTACAGCTATTATTTACAAAACTTTCTTTTATTGAAAATGACTTTGTCTTATCGTTTCTGTGCTATAAGTTTCGCAAACTTTACCTTACTTCAGAAGTACTCTTCTAATTGTACATAATCTAGACAATGATTTAGGCAAGTTTTGGAAGAAAAGAATTTAAACGCAAAAATTTCAAATTTTGTAAAACTATAGGCTTACATATTGGATAGAAAAGTCAATGACTATAGATTCAGTGGTTAAAATCTACCAAATGTTTTGTTTATGGTATTCAACACTTTGTAAACTCTCTCAAACGAGGATTTAAGAAAATTTAGCAAGAAAAAAATTTTCAACCCAAAAGTCGCAATATTTGTAAGGCTATAGGCTTGCTTTTTTCATAAAAAATCGATCACTATAAATTCATCACTTAATATCAGTTCAAAGATAACTTTTGTTTATGTTATTCAACACTTTTTAAGCTCCCTAAAAGGAGGATTTAGGAAAGTTTTGTACGGAAAAAATTTCCGACCATAAACGTCAATTTTTGTAATGCTATATGCTTGCTTTTTCATGAAAACTCGATCACTTCAAATTCAACGCTAAATCTGTATCAGATCAAAGATTATTTCATTTCATGATATGCAACTCTTTACCAACTCTCCTAAAATGACGGTTAAGGTAAGTATTGGAAGAAAAAATTATCTGTAAGAAGTTTTAGCTTTTGCCAGACTATACGGTTTCCGTTTTGAAGGTAAATCGCTCACCATAATTTCAACCCTTGAAGTCTATCAGATTCAAGATAAAGAGGTAGCTTATAGATTTTCTAAAAGATTGGAATGTAATGTAGAAGTTGCTTGGGAAAACCTTATTGACAATAAAACACAATGACTACCGTAAATCCTCGAATTAGCCGAATTAGCCTGGGGCTTATATATTTTTGGATGGGGGCTTATTCGAGGGGGGCTTATACGAGGGGGGGGGCTTATACAAATATTGTAGACATTAAGAAGACATTATTAAAAGACCTCGTTTATTTTAGTAAAAATTTCTTTATGAGCATTTAATTAATTACTACCAAAAGTATGAATTTGTTGCGGTAATTCAATAAAACGCCATAGGTAACCTACGGTAGCAGTGGGGGCTTATTCGAGGGGGGGGGTATGTTCGAGGGGGAGCTTATTGACAACTGGTAGTTTAAAGGTGGGGGCTTATTCGAGGGGGGGGGCAATTCGAGGATTTATGGTATTTGCATTTTATATGTCTTAACATTATATCAAAATTTATTTTTCACTGTGATTTGGAGCTAAAAAGGATTTGAAAATTCTGTTTAAAGTGGACAGAAAGAAAGCCGATTTTGAGTGGAATTAGTGGGTGAGAAAAACCTTATTACCATCAAAAACCAAGAATATTTTCCTTTGAAACGTCTAAACATTGATTTTAGCGATTAAAATATAGTCCTTTCCACTCTTGTTTGCTATTAAAAGTGATTTGGATGTCCTATTAAAACGAGCAAATAGATAGCCTATAGGTCATGAAAAGTAAATCTTATGTGAAACTAGTTTTGTAAAAATACTTTTGTTTATGCAAAAATTATAAATAGTTTGCCTTATAAATGTCTTAATGTTAATTTGAAAAATTTACCCTTATTTGGCAAAAAAATGACTTGATGACTTAACAAAAGCTTAGAAAAGCTGAAAATTTTCAGAGGAATGATTTCGGTAAAAAAATCCTTTTTACACTCGGAAATCATATATATTTCCCTTTTAAACAATTAAAATTAGCTTTAGCAAACAAAATATTTGTTTTGTATCACTTTGATTTGCAAGAAAGCCTACAGACAGAGTAAATTCAAAGTTTCACAGCACTTAGTTTAGTCACGAAACCATTTTGTTCAAGAAAATCATCGATGTTTGTGATCGAAACATTGGATTAGAAAAAGGGACGCTTTTCAATGACAAATTTTTTATTATTTTTGTATCAACAGAAAAATAAAGTATTGTATTGAAAATACCTTTTTGAATTTCGGTGGCACTGAGATGCTAAATCCCATCTCCGTTCGCCATTTTAAATAAATTGTGATTCTGGAAGACAAATTGTGTCCATGTGTTCAATTGAAAAAGTTGCCCCAGTCTTTAAATTTAACCAATGGGGTTGCGAGAAAATTGGTGATTCGCACAGTGGTGATTCCTTTCGCAGCCAATCATGATTTGACGTCTATTCAGTTCTCTTCTGTATTTATTTGCTTGACGATGAATAACTGATAGAGCTTTGACATTTCTATTCTGTGGCTTGGAGCTTATTCGTGAAAAATCAAGCTGCATCATGCAACAGAAAATTCTATCCAGGTCGAACTAGAAAGCTGTCTGAACATATTCATGTTCATGTTGATGCTTATAGGTTCCAATATAACTTCAATACGGTTCGGTGCTAGAGATATGGCAATTTAAGAAAGATGGCCTATTACAAAATTTTATCCAACTTTTACTTAAATTGTATATTGCACATTTTATTTTAATCTTTACATGGCAAACCTGTGCCATCCCATTTCATAGTCAGTTCTCATTAAAATTTATGTTCTGAAGGCAGGAAATCAATGATTGGTGAATACATCTATTTCTTGCTGGCGCTCTCCACTGCATGGCTTTGTGGAAGAAAATGCCAAGTATCAACTAGAAAATAAAAAAACTCTATGACATGAACTTAACTTGATTCACATCAAACTTTGATGTAGATGCTTGCACAGGGAACTAAAGTTCAGAATGGGAGAGCGGAGGAGCATTTAGTTCAAACAAAAGCGAGGCATCAACAAAACAAAGCGACGGCAACCATAACGAAACGTGCGCCATCACATGACATAACCGTATGCAGTAAACTTCTAGTAACAATTGAATAGGATTCCCCTGTGATGGGGATCAATTCAATCTAAACATAACATATGAAGGGGCGGAATTAAGCAATATGACTTAATTTATGGAATTTCTTGCTATGCGGGGAGAAAAGCAAAGATTCATTTGTTACTGTGATTTGTAAATCATCACAAGATGTTCAACCCCTACTTTGCACAAAGGACGTAGGGAATCAAGTGTTCCTACACGTTTTTACGTTACACGTGCGCATAATACTGACATCGTGTCAAATTCTGAAAAGTGCTTGACTAACAATTTAGCCCCAAAATTTATTCAACTAAAAGCATTTGTGGATTGTAAGATTTGAATTGTCGAAAACTAAACATTACGAGCGGTAACTATTTGAAAATGGTTATAGATTCAAATATTTGGGAGGGAATAAAACTAATGACCATCCAGAGCAGGGGACGACAAATAGAGAGTAGGCCGCCAAATGGTTCTCTGTTGTAGCGGAAACCTCCCGTTAATCAACAGGAAATATAAGGAATATGGTGACAGGATGAGATAAACATTGAATTCTTCCCATGTTTTACCATACTGTAAAGCATATATGGCAAAAAGAGGGTGTCTATATAGAAACCCATCTTGCTATTTTTTCTTTAACTTTTGCCCTATCGTTTTACCCCTTGAGAAATCTCGTTTTACCCATTAAGAAATCTCACCTGCCAATATCGAGTCTCTCATACTACTCATACATATCGTAAAAAACAAAGGGATATGTCCTATTTATGTTGGGAAAATACTTTACATGATATCTAATACTGCATTTTAGTATGTCAAAAAGCATACATTCTCCTATATGGAAAACAGTGATTAGTTTAGTAAAATGAATAAATGAAAGGTTCAGACAAAATTAAAGAACAAGACAACTTAAGGAAGAAAGGATGCTGCTATTAACTGGTTTTAGTTAAAATGCTTGTCGTTAAGTTAAAACCATTCCTCGCACTATAACCTTGTCACAAGAAACATTTGGCAGATCATTTGAAAATGCTTGATTAACGGAAAATCAACAAGGCAGAGAGAAGATTTAAAAATTCACCTTCTGTTGGAATTTCGGCTGGTGGACCATGAGGTGGAGCCTGGAATAAGTTCGAGTTAAAATAATACACTATACGAGTAAAAATACAGTTAAATACAAATAAAGTAAATCGAATTATAGAAAATTTGCCTAAGCAAAGGCAGTTGAGAAGAAAATAAATTATGTACAAAATATAAAATATAAAGTAATCCGGAAATCAAGATACCAGAGTATGCTTCAGAGTTTTACATTAAATTCTCTAGGGTTACTAAGGGTTACTTAGGGTTACTAAGAAAAGCAAAGGAAAACATGTTTAAATGATGATTTCATCCAGCGGTCAGCTAGCCAGGCATTGATCAATTTGAATTAAGCTTGGAAACTCAAAAGATAGCATCCTGTATTGACTGGACCAGTCAAATCCGGCTAGAAATTCAAAATCGGGCAACGTTGTTTATTTATAAAATAATAACTATACCTCTGCAATCACTTTGTTTGCATCTTCTGGAGAAATTTTATAAGGAGAGCCATCAACGGATACATTATCGCTAAAAATCAATTATCTGGGTTAATTTTGTTCAATAAAATTGCCAAAGATAATTGCAGTGTCTTCGTGAGTTTTATGACACTTAACACGCGACAAAATACATATCAGAAAAGATAAGTCTTTATCTACTTTTAAATTTCACCAATTTTGAGTCTCAATACACTTACAAACTTTATTCTCGAAAAAAAGTAAAGTGTTTACTTCACTTTCGCACAACAAAAGTTTGACTATTGAAATCTCAGGTTTACAACAGAATGCAATAGTCAGCTATACAACAGAGAGCATATAATCATGCAGTATAGAAATCTCGCCTTGAAAATATATCATTTAACAAATACGTTTACCAGAATAGAACGATGGCATATAGGCTATTGTCAAAGCTTTGCTAACATGACTTGGAATGTTGACTGGTAAACCTTTTTTACTGTACCGGCTAGCGTATAGTATTTCATAGATGACAGTCTATTTATCCGTTCAATCTCAACTCAATGTCAAAACGAAGATCTCGAACAGTTAACTTACCATGCAATGTCATCAGCAACACATGGATTGCTGCTCATCAGACGTTTCCAGTGCTCGTGTGTACTCAGAACAGTCTGCACAGCAAAGTCCCTGTCTTTTGCTTCACCGTTGAAAGCAAATTCATTTTCTGGCTTTCCAGCCGGTATCTTGTACAACTTAAACCATTCGTGTGTGGCCTGTTAACAGATTATGTCTGCTAGGTGATTCTCTGCATCAAAGCTGAGAGGCATAAAATTATACTGATAGTGTGTCTGCTAGGTGATTTGCTGCATCAAACGATAAATTGATGAAATAACACTAATAGAATCTTGTTACATGATTCCTCATCATTTGTAGAGCCAACACTCTAGTAGCAGATGGAAAAATACATCTATTTTTGAAGTTACGCTTTTGGTGTATAGAAAAAGATAGTTGTACGCTTCCAGCGATTCTGAGTGTCCCGATTTTTGAAATTGCCCATTGAGGGTATCAACTTGATAATTTCAAATTTAATTTTCTATCATACCTATACTGGTTCATAAAAATATTATGAATAAATTGAGAACATACAACAATGTGAAAAAGCTGGAAATTGCTAAAACAAACAAAACCTAAAATTTACATGGAAAAATGAGCTTTATGTTCGAGGCCTCGTACATCTCAGAACTAGTAGCTCCAAAATCTATAAATCTTTTAATTACACTAATTACAGGATTAATCAAACTTACTTCAAGAAGACCCGGCATATGTTGTCTTATTCCTTCAATATCTGAAAAATTTAATTCATGAAATTGTATGGCATGCACGAACAAATATACGAAAGAAAACTTAGGCCCAAAGTTTAGTATAAATATTGTCTGCATTTAAAGGGTTTATCTTATATTCAAAGGATGTCCATAAATCGGTAAAGTATTAGAATGAATGGTTCCTAAAACTATTTGCTGCTTGAAATAATGCTAGAATACAAGTACTCACCTCTAAGGCAAAAATTATAAAGAAAAATCATTCTGCAAGATTTCAAGAAAGTTCTTGTTTTTTTAGAGGTATGCTTTATCTGCCAATACTGTGTTTGGCTGCTTTTAAAAAACCCGACTAAGTTTCCTTGACATAATTTCTACATTATCAACAGAATTCTGTTGGTGGTTATGGAAAAAACACTTTTTAAAAGGTTATATAAACCTTTAGTTCCCTGAAAAATACTATGATTTCAACTTTTTTCCCTTAAAGTAACACAAAAATGTTTCCTTGAAGCTTAGAAAGCTTTGAAAATAGAGAAATGGTTTTGCTGCAAACTATCAAACTTTTATGGTATCCAATTGAACCAAATTGTCATTTTCAATTTCCTTGCTCTACTTTTTCTTTAATTTTTCCTACTTTTCCATCATTCTTCTAAGCATTTGGTATATTTTTCGTAATAATAATGATTCTATGCTCTTTCAGTTGTCTCTGGCGTCAACACTCCTGAAAAAATATTTTCATGAGCTGACAGAAATCTAACTGAAAGTCTGATCAAGTTTCGGTTGTCTTACCATTAATTTTATCTGCAAGCGGGTCTGTGACATCAATTGTTAAAATCTTCCAATCTGTTTCTCCTTCGTCAATTAAAGCTAAGGTTCCTAGAATTTTCACCTGCTTTACTTCTCCACGACGACCAACCTTAAACAAAACATATTTGTTTTAAAAATGCTGAAAGTGTTGATAGTGATACGGTATGTTAGAAAAAGCCTATTGTGTATTTTTGGAATACTAGAATAAATACGTTTAACATAAAAAATTGTGGATTCAGAAAATTTAATAAGGGTTATTATTACTCAAAGGAATATAACTTTAAAACAATTGGCACCTAAAACCAATGCAAAAACGTTTGATCAAAACAAGGCTGGGAAATTGCTAGAACAAGATATTGTGAACCAATATTTAATTGTTGCAATGCTCAATTCATGCTTAACTTGTTCGGGAGATGAATCATGCCTGTCTTCCAGACATGCACTAGCCCCCGTTTCAGGTTCATTGCATGTGTGCACTATCACTTGAAGCCCTGGCAGGAAATTCAACAGTTGTGTGGTCACAGACAGAACCGTTGTGTGAATACTGAAATAAATGCGCATGTACACAATGACCCTGCAACACTGATTGGTTTAAGACAGTATTGTTTTGAAACAAAGGACTTAAAGTTTCATCTCCCGAACAATAACAATTGACCAGAATTCTGCCTGCTCAGGACCTTATATGGACCATTCTAAATTCTAACACTGCATTTTCACTGACCAAAATATTTCAACCCATACAGCTGCTTAGAGCTGTTACTAGGTGAACCATTTAAAGAATGGTCTTAAAAATATTGCAGATTGCTTTTGGTTGCGATAGTGGCGTTTTGAGAAAGGCGCATACAACAAACAGGTTAAAATACAACACAAAACAACATTCAAAAAAATCTGTTCTGAGAGCTTTCAATCCTTTCAAGGAATTGGATCAAATTTCTATTACAAATTTTACCAGAGCGTTAAATGACAAGCAGATAAATTTGAGAAATTGTATTGAGACAACTTATTGTTATTGTTTTTTTCAGACGAAAAGCAAATATATATTCCAAGCTTTTCCTATACCTCAAACAAACTGGTGAAAATATCATTTTAAATCACTTCAATTTCAGTAGCTTATAGAATTTCCAAGGAAACAGAGATAAAAGAAAACCTAGCTATTTTAATATTGTTAATAAAATCTTACAACCTGCATGTGTAGCCCAACACTGTTCATATGGTTGACATGGCAACAGAATGGAAGTGAAAATACTTCTTTCTATTCTATATGATTGCCAGCTGCCACAAATTCCAAACATTGCTAGAACAACCTGCTTCATAGTTTCTCTAGGTCTAAAAGTTTTTTCAATTTCAAAAACGATTTTTGAATAGTTTTCATGAAAGAGGCTTTGTGCAAATTTGTAATTCTTTTGTAGCAAGCTTTTGTAAATTATATTTGCACATACAATATCTGTTAACAAGCAGAGATTGTTGAATAAGAGTTGTTTTTCATTTCTGCCAAATACATAAGAATACTTTGTCTACAGCATAACAAAGAAAATTAGTGAAATAATATCAGTCTTGCCTTGACATGAATTTAAATGACATAAAAATATTGAAGAACAGAGTTTGCCCAAGGTCAACAATTTTCTAAAGCTCATAGCTAAAAAAATAAAAGAGTACCTTATGCCCTATTTCACACACGTCAATTGGATCATTGTCACCTTTGCACTTTGTGCTTGAATCAACTTCATGAGGGTCTTCCCATGTCTGTGAAGATAAAATATCATAGCATCATATGTTCTTCCTCATTTTATGCATGTAACCAGTTCTATAAATGGTTTCTACATCAACAGAACAGAGAGTCTTGATAAATCAACAAAAATATTTTCAGATGAATTCAACACAGTGGAGTTACCTGCGGCAAAGCACCATAGTTCCAAATGTAACCCCGGTAAGGAAACACATTGTTGACAAATCTAACTTTGCCTTTTTTGACATCTTGTATAATTGGATTGAGTTTTTCTTTCTTGTTTATCTGAAAAACAAAATATCATTTCCTGATTCAAAAGTATCAAGTTATGGACTTCCAAATGTAACTAACTAGCTACAGCAAGGGCTGGCACTACAGGCATTAACCTAGCATCATTTTTTTCACAAAGGAAATTCTCAGACCATGGTTCTCTAAAGTACCATGAAATGTTTACTGCTCTGTTAAAAGGCTGTCTCCAAGCACATTTTCACAGCATTTTTCTTTAATTGACTGGCTAGCTATATTTGTATTGTCATTTGCATTGTCATTGCTGGTCCTTATTGACATCAGTGAAATGAGTTGAATCCATGCCATATTCAATAAACCTGACCTTGGTAGAAGCCTCTAAACAACCAAACTGTCCCCAAACACCTTTGTCTCTAATGACATATGTGAAACAACATTTTGCAGAGCCATGGTATAAGACGGGGTGAATGGCATTAGGGGTGGATGGTATTAGTTTCTCATTTCCAATATCTTGAGGGTTATCATCAGCTGTTGAAACTATTGGGAATGTTATCTCTTTGGATTTACATAAAAATTGCAGTTATGCTGATCATGCCTTTTGATTTGGTTATTTGTTTCTGATTTCATCGTTTAATAATAAAATCTACACTGTAATATAAAAAGCAAAAGATAAAAATGAAGCTGTAACAAAATAACTTTATTTCTACATAATTTTCACAGGAGCAAGCAATCAACCAACCAGAGAAAGAGATAAATCAAGTCAATGACCTAGCTTTAAAAGTTAGATAATTTTTAAAATAAATATTATTATTCTTATTTCAGTTATTTTGGGGTTTTTTTCTAGATTGCAGGCTAGTACTTCCATTTATTTTCATAGGACCCTAACTGCAGCTCAACATTAGCAAAACTCTGCTACAAATGAACTCTCTTTTTGTAGAAGTTAACTTGCATTTGTCTTTCGATGGTATAAAAACAGACACCTATTACAAACAATTAAGACAGCACACAATATATTATAAATCTAGAATATGAACTACAATCAAATCCAATAAGCAATAAACAGAATTTATACAGGAGCTGATTACCTCAAGTTTTGCATTGGTCCACCTTGGAATTTCTACAACCATATTGTATATACTTTTCTGAAAAAAGAAATTGAATTATATCAGCAAACCAATACTCTTACAACTGAGAAATGTGTCAATTCACCAACAAACATTTTTTACCCCAAATTTTCCATGCAAAAAATATGACAATAAAGAATTCATATACTTGCAAAAAGGTGCTGTGATAAAAGAAAGAAGAGAAAACAATAAAAATCTGGGAATCAGGATAAATAATGCTCAGTATCATACATGCATCATGCAGGACTTTTGAAGGACAGATTTACCGAAAACCATTTTCTGCCATAAATCTTAAATTTTCAATGGCATACAATTAGAAAAACTATGTGAAACTACAATCTTAAATAAGATAAATGCAAATCTTTTTATACCTAGGCTGCTACAAATTTGCATGTATTCAAAAAATTTCAAAAAAAACCTACATTTCTAAGTATTTTAGGTATGTTTATGATATGAAAAGATATTTATCAATCATCATACCTCTTTATTTGCAAACAGAGGAATGTCATGAAATGGTGAAATTGGTCCATTTTCTCCTTCTGCAATGAAGAAGAACAAAATTTCAAAGCAAGATTACACATATCATATAACTAAAGTATCTATTTAATTTTATTGTCAATAATTTAAGTCCAGACTGTTCAAAATCCAAAGATAGCCCCTATAACATCCACAGAAATTCAAAAATCAACACAAATCTTTTCTTCTGTTGTAAGTTGTTATTTTGAGACTGGCTTAAAATCTGGACACAAAAACCAAACAAAAAAACTAAAATTATGCAAAAAAATCCAAAATCAAATGTTTTGCAGTCCCTGCAACATTCTTGTGAATTTAACCTTCTATACTAAAATGATTCATGAATGAATGAACAAGGGCTGCAATTCAGAAAGGGAAGATAGCTCCTGGAAGAACACAAAATTACATAATGCCATATGTAACATTATTTAACAGCAAAAACTTCCCTGTTGATTAAGGGGCTCCGAAGCAGGTTGAAAAGTGGGGGAGGGGGGCAAAAGCAAATTAAAGACCTATAACAAAAGATTTTGCAAGAAATCTCTGTCTTGAAAAAAGTAGGGGGGAGCAACCCCGTCGTCGGACGCCCTGGTGGATTCTTTCTTTGAAACTTCGAGCAACCTGGAAACTTGATTAGGTATAGGAAATTGAAAGGATCGGCAACTTTGAGTTGTTAAAAACTACCAGAGTGTTCGAAGTTCATGCCTGAGCTCTGGGAAATATTAGACACATCAATTACAAATTAAAATACTGTTCAGTTCTTTATTTTTACAATGGTAAAATCATAATTTTTTTAAGATAAAATTGCCGAGCGACATCTGGCTGCATCTAAAAGCAACATTGTACGTTTTTAATTGAAACAGTTACATTTTGATCAAATGAATCTACTATTTAAAAAAGTATTTTGGCACGCAAATGTCGAGGTTTACACTCACTAATATATATCTTGTAGTCGTGAGTATGCAGTGATCCACTTTCTTGAACAGAGTAGGCCATAGTTGAAAGTCGAGCAGCTGTGCTTGTGCAAAATGAGCTAAGGTTGGGGCAATTCTTCCTAACAATTGCAAGCCAGACAAGAGAACTGACAGTGCGAATGTACAACATGGTCACTGTAACGCAGCCTCGTTTGCATGGCTTCTCTGAGAAATAGAAGGACAGAAAAATGTCATGCCCCACGGGGATGTTACAGTGAAGATCTAACGGTCTGAAAAATTTCTTGAAAACATCCTTGAAAACTTTTATAAGAAAACATCCTTGAAAACTTTTTATAACAGAACATTGATTCTTGCTGCACCTCAAAACATGTGATTCTTAGAGTCGTGGTCTAAAATGGTTCTTTAATTGTTTCTAAGGAACACAACGTGTGAATTTGGTAATAATCAACAAAGAACGTTTAAGACTTCATTACCATCTTTCTCTATCAAGAAATTGTTTTAGAGAATGAAATGTGCCAACACACGGTACAAGCTCAATGACTGATGAGTGTGCTTGAGTGTGAGTGAACATTTTGAGTGAAATTCACGCTTGTTTTGTTTTCTTCAAATATTCGTATGGATAAGAGTGAAAATTTCGATAAAATCTAACAATTCTTAATCAAATCTTAAACTTCACAGATTTTGAAATTATTTATTCTTATGAAATTTTCTTGGTCTTTTTGATCTTGCAATATGAGATTTGAACGAATTGGTTTGGTAAAGCCTGATCCTTCCAATCAATCTAGTAATCAATTAGAGCCTACTTGTGATAATTTTCTACCTCTGGTTTCTACATTTTCATATCCAACATGTTTGTAAAATTCAAACTATCTAACAAATTTTGTTTCTACGGTTGACATAGATTTTTTCATCATCAATAATTCAACATTTGGTGCTGTTTATATACCGAAAGGCCACCGGTTCACACATGTTTAGATAAAAACTTGAAACACTTGAATTTTATTTTATTTTTTCCAACAATTTTAACTAATCAATCCGGGATATTGTTTCTACAATTTCTATGTTGGCTGTGTCCACTTCAACTTTTGTTCGCCTATTTCTGGAACCACGTATGCATAGTATGGCACTACGAAGAAGTGCAAATAACAGCTTGGTACGAATCCAATTAGTCACCAGTGAAATTGCTAGATCACGTTTCTCTGAAATCTTCATAGATAAAACCGATATAAACTTTTCAGTTTTTCTACTTGAACCACCACTGTGAGTGAAAATCAATGACGTAAAAGAACCATGCTTAACTTGTAAAACCCTTTGACTGTACGCGCGTTTCTTCTCTCTTTCATTCCCTGCAAAAGTGTTGTTTAGTTTCTGGTTTCTGTACAATGGTGCGAATGGGTTGAATACCCTTACATCAAAAAATGCACTTTGTTCCTTCTGCCAGAAGCCACGAATGCTGATGTCAAGCCTTGCCTTTTCTGATTTGTTGGAATTCTTTGGGAGATTTTCACCACTGAGATGTTGTAGAGGTGGCTCAATTCTAACATCATTAGAAATTTCTGTTGCCGAGTAGATCACGTACTTCATTGTGTCGATGATAGATGTATCCACCTCTTTGACAAGACATTGCATGGTCAACGGACAAGTGTTTTCCGCATACACAAATAGTTGGCATGAACTGTAGATGCCATCTATATCTCACGGATTGCGTCGTGGAATTCACGCTTGTTGAGAACAAAATTTTCAGCCTTCAAAGGAAGAGAAGTGAGCCATGAAGACGCACCTTTCATACAAGACAGCTCGTACCAATAAAACAGTTGACCATAGATAGGTTGATTCTTTTCTTTTCATATGTATTCAAGCTAATCAAACAAGATATATCTATATTTGAAGTTGAAACTAAAACAACTGTTTTAAAAAATTGTAGGTTAACGCAAAAACATATTTGCAATCCGCTTTTGCAAATACCGGGTCATGGCTGCTATTGTTTCTCAAAAAATATGTTCTTTCAATAATTTTATTCTTCCTATGGTACATGGAATATATTCAAATACCAAAATACCTGCTCCACGCATTTCAACGTTGGAAGAACAGAAAGAAATTTTTATCTTCTCAAACTACTCGTCACCTTGGCTTATATGGCAAATATTACGTGGCCCAGTTTTGCAAAAGACGCACACTTCAAACGTATGCCATTTAAGGATAAAGAATTCACATTACTTGGTTTTGACTTCCAAGAATTGGTTTATAGAATCACAAGACCTGACGTGCCCTATCAGGTTTGGTCATGAAAACGACCCCGTGGCAACGACTCCGTGAAAACAGCCGTAAGGCCGTGCAGATTGTAGTTTTACACTCTTTTTATATGAGACTCAGCCTTAATACTCTTGAAAAAATTTTCGTTTGAATCTAAATAAACTTTTAAATTATTCCTACTTTTTCAAATATGATATGATTTTAGGGGAACATGGCCCATTATCAGGGGCGGCTCTTGCTAATGGGCATTTGGGGCAATGCCCCCTCAAAAAGATTCAAAGGAAATCTATGATATTCATATTTAATTATGAAGATAGTCTTACTGTGGTTAATTATATAAGTTTGTATCTCTTCTAGAAAAAGCTCCTTGCTATTCCGTCTCGTCCTTAGCCTCGCTTCTGGCCCGCTAGTGCCTTGAGCGATGATGTCATTTTACGGGCTAAGTTTTTTTTGCCCCTAGCCGACATGCGCAAAAGCTCCTTTTCGACCTCGAGCATTGCGAAACGCGGCATGTGATTGGCTTATTTGGAGGAATCGGGGCAAGAAAAATTTTGCCCATAAAATGACATCATCGCTAAACAACAACCACATCTATATATGCTTTTTCTTCTGCGCTCCATGACGATCAACATCGAACCATGAATACAGTGAAAAATTTGCAAACTCGACCTTTCTATCGATTATCGCAATATTGATGGTCTGCCCTCCCAACTGTGAAAGTCACGAGCCGCCACTGCACCAATAATGAGATTTTCCAGCCATTCGATTCTTTGTTAGCAAAGCATGCAACTGCTGGAAAATGAGAGTAAATTTTCCGGCTGAAGCTGAGCAATATTTTTGCAATATTCTTAAGAACTTGATGATTCTGTGTCTGTAGATTCTTATAAGCAATATTCTTATAAAAAAGGAGTGTATAACGAGAACATGAGCCGAAAAATAGAAAGCAATTTGAGGTTCAGCCACAGTACTTTTTTGAATTTGGAGATCCTTGACACCAGGCTAAAAAATCTATCGCCCTATCTAAATCAGGGCAAATCTAAATACAATATTTATAAGAAATAAGCGAAGACCTTACGATACCCCCTCAATATCGTTATTCTTTTGGATGAAATAGAAAACGTAAAGGAGAATTTTTTACTTCTTCATAGTGAATACCCGGTTTTCCAAATTGTGTCGAATTGGGCGGAAGAGGAGGGACAGGACAAACTGTTGTGTGATGTCATGAATTGTGCTTTTTTACCTTAACCATAAATAGACCAGAGGTGTGAGGGGGAGGATTATCACCTGAGCTGGCAATTAACCAGACTAACTTTTTCTGACTCAACTTTTTGCGTAGATTACGAATCCGGATGTTGCTTTGGCGTTTAGGGGGGCGTTTTCTAGATATAGGGGTCAAAGCCCAAAAACACGCGATGTGACCTAATTTGACTGTATTTAATTATTGCACTTTAGGAAATGTTTAATTCTATTAATAATTGGTTTCTTGATCAATGCTCTGTCAAATCTGGCCTTTTCTGGCATTGATGGTTAATGGGGGGGGGGGCAGGCAATTACAGGGAAGGGGAATTTCACTATTACTGTATTCTTAAAGCGTTTAGTTTAAATTCGCCTTCTCCTTCTGATTCGCTTTATTTTTCTTCGCTTGCAAACAATAGCTATGCAATGTCCTCAGGATAGTATAGTAGGGCTCCGTGAACCAATCAATTAACAGATCATCTAACCAGCCGTGATTGGCTGGCTCTTCTTTGTTGATTATGCTTTGTAAAGCTTGTCTCTATACTCTCTTGCTACAATGTTTGCACGCTTTAAGTGTTTTTCGAGGCTGCTTTTACATGAGGGCAGCAGTGACCGACCAGTTACTTTGTTTTCCTTTTGAAAGGTCCACCAGAATATAGCATATCTTGCTTCATTCAATGACAGCAATCGTTTCTCTCCATACAGTGTGCAAACAAACCTTTCTAAGCCGAGTAACAAATTACCACGAGTAACAATTTTTCTTGCCAAGCTCTGAGAACGTTTTTTGGAATTCTTCATTGCCTCCAAAAAGCGTTTCCAAAATGCAGGCTTTCCTTTCGCAAGAAGGATGAGATGTAGAAATTTCCTGAAAATGCATGCAGGCCAAGGAGCGCTTGCTTCCGCAATAAAGATAGCGCAAAAGCATTTAGACCCAGTAGTCTCCTGTATTTTCCTCTTCCGTACTAAATAAAGAAATGCAAGTTTTCAGCCTCGTTGGCTAAAAGGATAACAAGAATATCAACCTCTCCAGAGCGCACAATGCAAACTGTCTCCTGTCCATTATTCATCCGTAGGGCATGGTGGAGTAGGTAGCAGATTTTGGTACCTGCTTTCCCACCTGAGTTACCCCTTTGCTCTCAATATTAACACAAGAATTTTTACTTGCAAAGTTTATTACTCGATCGTTGAGTTGAGACTACTGATTGTGGCGCTAGAAATTCTCTTACGGAGGGGCTTGACCTTCCGATAGGGGGGCTATGCAATTGGAGAGAAAGCATGGAATCCCAATTGCAAAAAGATGCACAATCATTAAGATTATGACAGGACATGAATATAACAGACAAGAAAGAACAGCTACTTAGAGCGTGATTAATATTCTTTTGTGGGAAACCTTTATAACAAAATATCTCTAAAAAGACAAAAGACATATGTTGAGAAAGTTCTTTTTCCATGATTTTTCTATATTAACAACGCTGTAAACTTTTCTGAGTAATATAAAAAGACGTCATTTAATCATTAAACAGAATAGGAACCATGACACGAAAGTTAGTACCTGAGACGGCACTATGGCTGCCTCAAAAGGTGGGGGAAATTTTCGAACTTTGATGCTTCCAGTTTGCTGGAAAATTCACTCATTAAAGACATTTTTACTACTTTACAATACAGTCTTATTCTTGAAATCAATATCCGCGGGTGGAACGCTATTTGACTGTTTTAATCGATTTTCTGGCAGTCATTCTCATCATTCGCGCAACCAACGCTGACAAATTGTAATGTGGAGTTTAGCTCTCAGTGGTTTCAGTTTGCAAATTAACGGTTGAAATATTAACGCGCCGAGGAGCGAAGAGGAACAAATCGAGATGAAAATGAAAACAATCAAATATACCATCGACTATTATTTATTTTTTTAACTAACGCCACCACCAAGTTTGCTGAGTAAGCACAGAAAGTGTACTTTCTATGAAAATACTGACTGTAAGCGAGGCCATGACTCTACCTATGCCGATGAAGTGAATGCTTTGAACGTATTTGGAAAGCGCTGAGCGAGATCAAAGAATGATGTTGTGCAAAAACTATAATCATGGCAAGGGCAAATTTTGACTAGCTTTACTGATTTCTATCCTGACGGGGGTAACCAATCATAACCGATATTACTCTATAGGACAATCCTATGTTCAAAGGGCTTATGACACAACACCTTTCGGTTTCATTTAAGGGTCTTACGCAATCAGCGTGCTTTGCGACTGTATTTTCAAAACTAGCCTAATATTGTACTGCATGAAAATAACAAATACGGTCCAAAACTCCTCAAGTAATAAGAAAAGCTAAAGCAAGGCAGGCCGGTTGCACAAGAGTCTTTAAAGATCAACGAATCGTGGCCAGCCTTTGATAAACTTGCTTTTAGAGGCATAATGAAACCGAAGAGACGAAGAGGAACACGATAAAGCAAATACAAATGTCGACAGGGGAAGACTGTGATTTATTTTTGATATCGCATCTAAAACTAGCACTGAACTAGACTGATAAATCGTGAGGAGAATGGTGAATTCGTGACTGGTGGCTTAGTTACACGACAATAACGCGGCGTAAATTTGCGCGAGTACTTTTTCCATACGCGTCCATAAATGGGGCAGGAAACGTTGTATTAAAGTGTTTTGCTTCAAGACAAATTTTTCAGAAGTGCTTTGTATTGTGGCTACTTTATTTATGTTAAATCCATTTCCATCTTGCAATTTTTTTTCTCAGAAGAGTTCAGTTTCATATCCTACTTTTTTGGGCAAAAAAAATCGAAAGTCTTTAAAAAAGAGAGAGGCAACCCTCCGCCCAGGCGTTAAAGTGCATGCGCAGCTCATGCGACGGACAGATTTGACGGAGGGCTGCCTCACTCACCAAAAGATTTTCCCTGTTTGGTCTACCCGACATACTGGATTGGATCAGTTATCGTCTGTGTGAAAATGCACACTTGATTACCCCCTGTTTATCTCTGCAAATGAATGCTGTCACTTTTCAGAAGGCTTTGAAAGGCAACTGCAACTGTAATAACATAAACCGTATCTTGAAGCGTTCTCGTACTTTTAAATAGACTTACACAGTATCCTCCATTTGCAACGGCAGGAAACTTGCAAAAGACGAGAGCTGGAAAATTCGCAATTCAAGGCAAGAGGAAGGACATTTTCATTGGTAGGTCTTTCTTAAATTGTCAACTCATGTTCATGAGACGTATCAGCATAAACTGCTTTTTTATATGTCTCAACTTTGCAATGAAATGAATATGAATTTCAAGGAGGGAAAGTTGTAATGTGGCATAATTATTGAAGCAAGGGTCATTTGGCTCGAAACAGTAATATCGCATTTACATTTCAGCAATTTTAGTTTAGTTAGAATCAAGACACACAATAGGCACATCGTCTTTTCTCTGGCTCCGTGTTCTCCAGACGTTAAACTAAGACTCTTTGGGTTGGCAACAACACGTTAGTCGATAGATGGTTTATTTGGTGCTCCGAAGGCTGCTCCGAAGTACACTAGATTTTTAAGACGTATACCGCTTGTAGACAGTACACACTGGATTTCTTTCTCATTGCGCAACGGTCGAACTGCAAAGCTTTATCTCCGTATTCTTTGTGTTTATGACTGAGTTCAAAGGTATATGCTCATCTTTGTGCATAAGGAATTAAGTAACGTAACCAGTGGGGATTGTGAATTCAGAGAATCTCTTCTTTTTTGCAAAATTAGCTGGAACCAAAACTCTAAAGGGCATCGTCTTACCACCGAACTTATCATGCGAACTTTATCACGAAAACTGTTGAACTGTTGTAACTTGATTCAACAATAACTACATAAAGCTAAAATATGAAGCAACGATAGGCTCTCTTATGGCCCAAATCTATGAGTTCCTCCAAGGCCCGGGCAGGCTCTTGACGACCCCCTGGATTAATTTAGAGTGAAACAGTTTCGCTTTTGCATAAAAATGATACTGGATGCGTCATCATGATAAATGATAGTGTCATACTGCAAAATGTGATTTCCTTTTACCAAGTAAGAAAGTTTCGGGAGACGAGAGCTGTGGATGGCTGGGTAGTTTCCCAAAATTTACTTCAAACCATGTAATTAGCCATTTTGCCTCTTGCAATAAAAATTAATTTTTGTTGTTGATTCAAACAATTTTTTATCTATATAGAAAGATGCTTTGTCATATAAATCATATATAAATTCGTTTTCCGGTTTTATTTAAACTTGATTTAGGCTTTACTGTTCGATTTTGATATTTAATCTGATATGAGGCAATTTCTTTATCAGCTATTCGTTTTATTTGGTCCAGCAGAAGGGTGCAAATGCATATTTTGTATAATCAGGGGATAACCGAGTCATATTTTCCCAAATAGCAACTATTGAACCTTATTGCTTTACGCTTCTTGTTTTAGCTTAAAGGCCGATATCGATATCGAGTAATTTGATATTGATATAAAGTCTTAAAGAGTAATTTGAACTTGTCTACAACATCGACGACACAAAAGGTTTTACACAGCTTCGTGTTGGCCTTAGTAAGTTGAGTTTTCATAAACGCTAACATAACTTGAGCAAAAATATAGATCGTTTGTTACCAATTAATGATGGTGTGGGGGATACGGAACACTTTTTACTGCTCTGTGATACAGTTAAATGCGATCTCTTCGACAATGCAAAGGCGATATTACACCCCAAAGGATAAAGAAACTTCTCACATGAAGCTTTACTGCAAATAATTCTTTATGGCCACGAAAAATTATCTATAAAATCATATACAAAATTTCTCATGGTAAAATAAAAATATATCCAGACCTCAGAATAGTTAGAACAATTCTCTCTTATCTAATTTGTCTTTCTTTATGTCTGTTTTGTTAATATAAAATTGTTAGTTAATAATTGCAAGCATTATATAGTTTATGTAATCTGTAATATGTAATTTGTAAATCTGAAGTAAATATGTTTTATGCAATGGTCCCAAGGTTGCTACGTATTTTCATGCGTAATGGTCACAGGGTTATTTGTAGAATTGTGTAGGAATATAAAAGAGTAACTTGAATGAGTTGTCAATATAGAAATTTGTCTTAAGATTTAGCTTTTTGCTCAGGCTAACAGTTTTTCCTAAGACGTGTTCATCATCTGGTTGTACAAGAAATTGGTTATCAACCGATTTTTAAAAATCATTTAACTTTAATCAGACTTACTAAATAAGACTTATTATGTTACAATCATTTTCTGGGTAAACATGAGACTTGCTATTCTTTTTATCCGTAGGCAAAGCCGTAAAATTTTCAAGTCTATTTTGAAAATATATAAACAAGAAGCATTGCATCTTCTACGCTGAATTTTATTGACAATTTTTTTCGGCTAGCTTCTTCTAATCTTCAATAAACAATGCCACACTTGTTATGGTGTCGGAAAGGCCATAAAGTTGTTGGCTCATTTTTTGCTAGATACAATGACCTTTCGAAACCTCACCCTCGTACCCGTAGCTGGGTGGGCGAGTAACATGATTTTACGTTAAGCCCAGGGACGCCGGAGCGGTGGGGGGCACGAGGGGGCACGAGGGGGGCAGCGCCCTTTGCCTTTCACCAGGAGGAGCAGAGGGGGCAAATGTGTTTTTTAAAGAAAATAACAATTTCAAATGCAGTCATTTTTTATTTAAAGATTTAACGTTAACCACATTTCCCAACGGCTCTTGTGCTTCTATCATTCTATTTTGTTCTAAAATAATAGATGATTGCAAAACAAATGTTAGAAATAACGAAAAATCAAGCATTATAACGTTGAAAGCAGGGCCGTCGCGAGGCAAGTCTGTTGGGGGGGGGGGGGGGGGGTGTGGACTACAAATTTACCTGATTAAGAAATAATTACCTGAAATTCTTAAGTTGCTGCCACAAACATCTGCAATACATTTTGTCAATCTAACTGTGTGGCATATAATTCACAACATTCATTTCAAAATGATAATAACGGACTTTTCCTAATGGTTTTGCCAAATCTGTATACCGGGAAGGGCAACTACCCGAGGCGGCACCATCGAATTTATCCAGAAAATTTTCGAATTTTGATGCTTCCAGTTCCCTAGAAAATGCACTCTTTTAAGTAAATTTTACTAAAGCAATCCTCCTAATCCTACCGAAAATTCTTTTATTTCTGCAAACAAATTGAACTGCAGATAAAAACATTTGGTACAATTTGGCCGTGGTCTTGAAAATTCCATGTTGTCAGTTACTTCTAAAGCTAGGCAACAAGCAGTACTGGTTGCCAATTTAGATCTCTCTTTCCATCTTAGCATTCCTTTTTAGGGGAAATGGACACAAGGCACAATTTTACCTGGGCCTGGATTTTTAGCTTTTGTGCCAACAAGAAACCCTCTAATCTTCAAGTCATTAGTTTTTTTATCTTCCTTCATATCAAGAAACATCATATTTAGCCAAAGAAGCAACTATCTTTGCTTGATCCTTTATTGATGTTAATACATGAAGGTCGCTGAAAAACCTAAAGCGTTTTTTCCACTGGGCGGATTTTACCTGAAATTTCCTATCGAGATACTATTGGCGGGGTGTGCTTAGATTGATAAGTACGAATTTTGCCAGGGCAAGAGACAATGGAAAATTCAGAATATAATTTTTGTAATTTGTATTGAGGTAGGCATGTCTTCCCAAAACCTCAATACAATCCTCCTGATAACAAAAAGCAATTTCTTAAAATCTCTAACCATTAAAATGCTCTTGTTTTAGCTACGTAAATGTCTTCATCAACGGTAATTGCCAAAGATCCAGGAAGACTCTTTGAGGAGAACATCATTCTCAAACAAAAGATTGGCAAAGTAAAAAGATCGATCGAGGATATGTCAATTTTCGACGTTGATGGCCAGGATGGGGCTGGTAGGGACAGCAATTGGAAAATGCATGCAAAACGATGGATACTGCGACCAATCACAGTTTTCGGCGTTCTTGGGATAGTTTTAGCTATCGTGGTAGTTTCCTTGCTGGTTTCAAATTTTTCAGCAACAAGATCCAGTTTGCGTGAAGCAGTTGCAGCAAATGTCAAAGCAAGTGCTCTCAAAACACAAAATAACAAGGGCTTAACAACCTGCACAGATGCTGCAACCGCAAAGACATTCCCGGATCTAGACTATGCTTTGTTTGGCTACAATATTTTAAAAGGATACCCAATGGCCATTGGTCACGACCCAGGATTGACTAGGCCCATTTTCGACAGCGACTACTCGAAAGGCAAACGGACAGCTGACTGCCGCTATCACTTGCCAGATGGTCTGATTGTGGTTCCTGACATCTCTTGTGTGACATCATTCACATCTGAAATAATTCAAGACCAGTATCAGCTTACGAGGTCCCTCGCAGCATCAGCAGAAGTGAGCGGAGGAGGATGGGGAGCTGTGTTCTCTGCGAGCGCAGAATACAGAAAGAATTCTGCTGAGGTGGGATCTAAAGAAACAGTTTATGTGAATTCCCAAGCAAAGTGCGATTATTATATTTCAATGATCGACGAAATGCAACCCCCGCCATTGTCAAAATCATTCCTTATGAAGGCAGCACTCTTGAAGAAGAAGTCAGATGTGTTTGATTTTTTCGACTATTATGGAACACATTACCTTAAGCAGGTGACATTTGGTGCACGGCTGATTTATGAAAACAAAATGACCAAGAGCAAATACAAAGAACTGGAACAAAGTTCAATCAGCGTCTCCATGAGTGCTAGCTACTCTGGAATCGTGAGAGTAGCTGGATCAGCGAGTCTTAGCGAGAAAGAGGCCAGGCAAGCTAAAGAGTTCCGCAGTAGAGTTGAAACTTCGACAATAAGTGTAGGTGCCCCACCGCCCCCAAATGGTAGTACCAGTCAGTGGGCATCAGAAGTGAAAGATAACCCTGTACCAACAAAATACAAGATGGCTGGAATTGAGGAATTGTTTACAAAGAAGTACATGGAAGGCCAAGGTATAGATTACCAAAGAATTTACAAACTTGTTAACGAAGCTAAGTCAGCCTATTGTCATTACTTGAAAGAGAAAGGAATAGTTGATTCTTGTGAAGCACTGCAAAGTTACACCAAATTCAAAGGGCTAGAGTTAGGCCAAACACAGTTCCGTACAATAAACGTCGATGAACGAGAATGCATTAAATCATGCATAGAAGAGAGCAGGTGTGTAGCAGTTAACCACGCCAATAGAATATGCGACCAGTTCGGAGATGGGAACCATACTGCTAAAAAAGCAGAAAACAATATCTTGGTGCTTTTTATTGATAGCATTAACATTAGAGATAGTAACTTCAGAATCATTAATGTTCATTTAGACGCATCTGAAAGAGCTAAGAACGACGAATCGGATCCAGACAAATGCAAGGAGAAATGCAGACAAGACAAAAAGTGCATCGCTTATACCTTTTCGAAACCTGTTTCGAAACCTGAATGCAAGTTGTATCAACAGCAGGCTATCACTGAAGGCAGCATTAAATTCAAAGTTGGTTCATTTTTGGAGTTTTATACCAACAAAACAATGGTTTGATTAAAAGACCTTTTAGAGCTCCAAATCTTTTATTGCAAACATTTTTTAATCAATAGCAAATACGTATATATATCTTTACCTACAGAGATCTGAAATATTTTGAAAACAATCTTGCTGGCAAACATAAAGTTTTTGTATACATTTGAAACTTCGTGTAGTGCGTGGAAACTGAATTAAGTCATTTTTATATTTGTATACCATGGAAATATCTTTATCGTGATTAATAAAGTTGAGATCGACAAAATTTGACATCATAGCGAATGAAGCACGTATGTGAGAGATATTCCCTACATATCTTATATTAAGAGAAATATCTGCTTCGTCATTACAAGTGAGAAATCTTCTTTGCTTATTCACAGACTGAACTGAGATCCTTATTATGCCTTTTTCCCGCTTCGGTTTCCAAATATTTCCTCACAATTCATGTTACTAACGAATTTGGTTCAATGAACTATACAACGCAACAAAAATCGCTTAGGCCACTCTAGACTTTAAAATTAGTAAAAGGGATTGTGGGTAAACTTGGCTCTTTAATCACAACTGCCCAGAAATTTGATTATGCATTCCAAAGCCCTTCTAGAAACCATGCGCCTGCTGTAACGATGCATCCGTTGTTAATGAGAACCTTTACCCTCTTAATAATGACAAGCATGGGGGCATGATTTTCTCTTCGATTTCTTTTTTTAAATTTTCTAGCAAAAGCTACATAATCTTGGCATTTTACAAAATTCCTTTAAACTAAACACGCGATTTCATTTCAGTTCCCAGTAATAAACCATACTTCAAATCAAATTTGCCATCGCTATGGCACAGACCAAACGAAACAATCCATTTCAATAAACATGTAGCTTCCCTTTCATGCATACCTACCTTTTGAAAGTTTCTTGCATTTCTGTAATTATGAATAAAAATATAATTTGCTACACTAAAAGTGTTTATGAATTATAAAGTTAAAAAAATATTATTAAATAGTTTACATTAATAACAAAAGATGAACACTCCTAATTTCTATGTTAGGGATAGCATTGAAAGGTCTAGCTGACGTTGTTTCCATAATGGTCCTTAAAGAGGTGCTGGTGAATCAGGAAAAGGAAACGACAGAAGAAAAAGATAATGCCTGTATTGAAAGCTTTTTCATCCTACCTGTGTCTATTGGCTTCAATACTATTAATTACTAGTAAGAGTTTCAGACCCCGCTTACACTACTGAAAGAAGAACGGAACTATTTGGTTCCGTTTTGTTTGGGCACGATACCGCTTTTTTCGTTGCAGCTACACTGTAACCAAAACGTTCCGTTCCTAGCCGTTTACACTAAAGAAAACAAGTGTTTCGCATGTTAGCGACAGAGAAACCAAAGAAGCCTTCTCAAACTAGCACGGAACCAAGATGCCTAGTGTAAACACAAGGCCTATTATCGCTTTTTCAGGCACAGAACCAAAGCGTTCCGTTCCTTTTTTCTGTAGTGTAAACGGGGTCTTGATGCAACTACAATCCTGGCAAAAAGGTTAGTGGACTTGAGAAGAAACCCAATAAAACTGCAACTTTACCCCAATAAAGTTATCAAAACCCCCCACCCCTGCAGCAAAATTGGTTTTCTGGAAAATACCAAAGTAACGGCAATCAAAATGAGTAGAAATAAGTGTATCAACATTGACTGTGGGGGATGGGGACCGCATTTGTTCAAAAAGACTACAATTCGCCAGCCATTACAACAACTTTTGGCCAGGATTGTAGTTTAACAGAGCAAGCTTTTCGAAAAATAACAGGTTCGTTAGCTTTTATCAAGTTTAGTTAACTTTCAATATACTTCATCCAAAATCGTCCCAAATTCCCGTAACAAAATATCAATTTGACGTAACAATCATCTGGAGGCGGCCACCGTCATGTATAAAAGGGCGCACCATGATTAGACAAATTGCGCTTCAGTTTTCACAACTGTGAGTATCGGTGCATTCCACTTGTGGATTTGCACTTAGTTTCGTGTTCTTGTGTTTCTTACAAGCACACAGCACACGGCGGAATGGCGAGTTTCAGTTCGGACGGTAGCGTCCGTTGTTGGATATGCATGAGGAACGGCGAGAATCGGTTTTTCCACGGTCATGCCGCACGGAAAGTTCACGAGGAGACGGTGCACGCACCACGTTACTACCAGGACAATAATGAAAACGCAGATGCAAGTTATCGTTGGTATACCAAGGGGTATGCATCTCGTACCACAAATATTAACGGTAAGTACGTCTTTCGTTGTATATTAGATCAATTTACCTTGCAAAATTTGTCTCACGAAAGTTAATCGAGAATCGAAATGAAAGAGGTCGGGTGGTGCGGAGCGCCGTAATATAGGGCAGCGGTAATATGGAGAAGTGACTGTTGCCGTAAAATGGGGAAGTCCTCAGAAAAGGCTTTAAACGCGTGTTTTAGTCATTTTCCACTACATTTAACGATAGATCTTCGAGATAAAGTCTATCAAATGAAATATCTCCCAGAGTTTTATCGATTTACTCCTTAAAACTTTCAAAAAATCTATCTTCGACACTCTAGCTCATTTAGGCCCGTCTTTCTTTTGTTTCCTCCACGAATATGAGGTTCATCCGCGCGTCTAACTAACACATTCGCGCGAATATATGACTTCAGTGCAGTAAGATGGAGAAGTACTTTATAAAACACGTAAAACCTTTCAAACTAAAGCAACAGTAGCAAATTTATTAGCCTGCCACATAATTACGATGCTTGTTGCAAAATTTTAACCAATATATGCGTCTTCCTTGTGTGTTTTGGTAATGGTACTCCCAGCGCCGTAATATGGGGTAGTCGGTTGCAACGCCCCCTGTTAGAATCCAAACTTGATTCATTTTACGCAAAATTTGTCAAAACACAGATTTCATGGCCATTCCATGAAATGAAATGAATTTTTAAAAGAAATGTGTGGACCATGTTTTGATGAAAGTAGGGGGGTCCCTTGGGTATTTTAGCCACACCCCCAATGTTGGCAGCATAAACGGGTAAACGTTAAATCCTTTATTAAATAAAGCCACTTAAATTCATTTCACTACAGGAGGGTAGAACTATAAATTTAAAGTCAACAACCATTCTTCATCAACAAAAAATTATCAAATCTGATCACAACGCTTGATCGAAATTTATTTCATTTCATGGCCGGTTGAAATGAAAGCAGGTAGGAAACCTTTGCATAGACACCACTGCATCGAATTTTCGAACGAATGATAAACATTGGTATTTGAATGTATAAACCTAACAATTTTCTATACTACTGCATTTAAAATATCTAAAGGCCTGTTTTTATGAGCAATAACGAACAATAACTAGAATCCCTTACCAATTATAGTAATAATGTAACGTTTTTTCTCAATTTAGGGTATCAATCAAGCAACAGTGCAACGCCTACAAAGTTAGGCAAAGCATGTTTCACCCAACTTGAAAATCTCAGAAGGAAACTATATTTCCAAGAGGAGAGAACAGCGGATACTCCAGAAGGCCTTCATTTGGCTAAAATTGATCAATGGCTTGAAAATGGACCCGATGTTCGCGAGTACGAAATCAAGTCACTTAACACAAGGTAAATCAATTCATTTTAAACATCTTCTGGTCAGCTATGAACTTCTTTTAGCATGTTATAATTTAATCGACTTTAACTTAATTAAACATCCTTTACACAGAGTCAAACAAGCTCAAGATGAGATCAATGCTAGAAAGGCGGTTATAAAGAAACTGCAAGCAGATCTCGATCATGCCCAAATGACCCTGACTGAGTCTCAGGTCAAAGAAACACAACTGCAAGAGAAGCTTGAAGCAGCTAAAAGGCAACTAAAGAAAGCTACAAATGAGCTTCACCTTGCACTGGGTAAGCAGAATAACGCGTATTCGACAGTTATAAGCAATCTAAAAGATATTCCAGAGATTTCAGAGACTATATTTAGCTTCATAACAAAGAAAATGTCACCAAATCATTACTAGCTTCAAATTACATGAAGTGGATTAATTTTGCAAAAATGAGTAGGAGCCTCGGAACAGGAGATGAGCAACCTTCAATTTCCCGAAAACTATTGGTTCTTTTAAAGATTTTTCTTCAAAACTTGTCAACTTTTCTGAAAATAGACTAGTTTCACACCTGTACCCTTGGTAAATTAACGTGCCTAAACGATTTAAATTCAAAGGAGAGGAAGATTTCACAGAAAATTCTTATTCCTGTCCAGTCGTCATAATATTCCTATTATTGACATTCCTATTACTTCACGTCAATGCCATTTTAGGGGTCATTGAACATGAAAGGGAACAACGTATACAAATGCAGCAATCGATGGAAAGTCTTCTGAAGTCGCAGAAATTGCAGATAATCAAACTGCGAGAGGAACTTGACAACGAGAAGCTGGTGAGTGATAGCTACTCTATATCTTAAATACAAGATGAACATTGTATGAATTACTCAATATGAAGAAACACCTCCGATGTATAAATGAGTCACTCACAATAATTCACAGTATCCATACAAATATCTTGCCTTACCCTGTGAAACAAACCTAGCGTCTAAAGACCAAATTAATTTTGTAACAGATGTCAAAACAAAAGGAAAATGAATACGAAGAGCTTATTATGGTCAAACGGAAAATGAAGCAATTGGAGCAAGAGTTAATGGTTGAAAAACGCTTGAAGCTCGAAGTCAAACAGACTAAAGAAGAATGTCAGGCTGAGATTGACGAACTGCTCTTAGAAAATGAAGAAATTAGAAAGAAGTTGAGAAAATATCATCATGATCTTGAACGACTTCATGACGAAAACAGGTCTCTTGTCTCCGACTATAACTCCATGATGGACAGAGGTGAAGTCATAGAAGCAGAACAACAGCTCAATTTGATGCAAGAACTCATGGAGGAAAAATTTCAAGAGGTGAGAGCTGATTTTGGTAATGAAATTGAAAGATATCAATTCGAAGCTAAAGAATTCAAGCAAAAGTTTGAGCAAACTGCTGCAGAACTAGAAAAAGCTCAATCTGAGTTGGAAGCAGTTGTTCTGTACAGACAGGATGATATTGACAGACTTTTAAAAGAAAAACAGGCCCTGAAAGTCGACCTTAAGAGCAAAAAGGCAAAACTGCAGTGCTTAGAAGCTTTGAATGGTGAGCTAAAAAGCAATCTGAAAGAAAAGGAAAGTCAACTAAGCCAATTTCAAAACTTCACCAGCTACAAAGACGGCAATGGGCAGCTAGATGCCTCTGAGACACTAATTTTAGAAAAATGCAGGGAGATCGAGCAACAACATATAAAAGTTGAGGAACTACAAGACATAAATCCTGACAAAGAAACATTAAAGCTTAAAGAAGAGTTGAATCAATTGAAGAAAGATCAACTAGTCAAAAAAAGGGAGATTGAAGACCTTAATAAGAAAAATGAAGAGTTGAGACAACTTTTGAAAGAGCTTCAAGGAAAACTGCTCCATGAAGAATTGAGCCACGAGGAGAATGTGAAATCAACAAAAGAGCAAGAAAGAAAATTAGAAACAAGTCGTGCCGAATTTGAGCAGGAGAACATTTCCTTGAAAAGAAAATTAACAGATGCAGAGGTTCAAGCACAGGCCTACTCAAAACAGCTCTTAGATATGGAAGAAAAACATAGAGAACTCACAGAGAAAGTTGACAACAGCATCGAGCGGGAGAAGTTTCAATCAGTCATGGATCAACTCGATAATCAAAGCTCTAAAATCGAAGGTTTGTTGAAGGAGAAAGAAAATCTTCAAACATCATTTAAGGAAGAGCAAGAAGATCTCAATGAAAAGTTAGACAAAGTTCTTGATGCCAATGTTGATCTGGAGAAAAGCTGCATCGACCTAGAGAGTATTTTGGAACAGAAAAATGCAACAATCAAAACATTAGAGACATCTTTGAAAGAAATACAGGAAAATACCAAGGTAACAACAGCACCTTTGACTGAAGAGAACAAAATACTTAAGGATGACCTTGCAAAATCACTTGATGAAGTTGCTGCACTTAAGGCTCAGATTATCAAGTTGGAGACAGATCTCGAAGCAAAGAAACAAGAAGCAACAGAGCGTTCGAAAGATATCAAGGAAAAGATTCAAACCTTTGAAAAAGAGAAGGTGTCTGCCAAAGGCCAAGTATCAGATCTAATGAAGAAGATCAAACAAATACAGGCAGATATTCACACCAAGGAACAAAATTATCAAATAGAAAGTCAAAACTTAAATGAGCAGCTTCAACAAGCAAGGTCACAAGAAAAGAAGCTTGTGGAGGACAACCTGAATCTTAAGGAAAAGCTTGATATGCAAACCGACATTGTTACGGATCTGGATAAAACAATCCAAAAGCTACAAGAAGAAAACAGAGAGCAAGATGCTGCCAAATCTTCGATAGCCAAAATAAATGGTCGCGTTACTGAGTTAGAAAGCAGCTGCTCAAATTTGAAAGCAGAGTTGAAATCAAAAAAAGAAGAAATTGGACAGTCTTATGCAAAGCAAGCTGACCTGTTTAAGAAGATCAAAGACCGAGAAAATATGTGTGACATGCTTGAGAAAAAGCTTTGTACAACAGAAGAGCAAGCAAAACAAGAAAAAATGCATTGGCAAAACAACTCTAAGAAAGATCTGGAGCAAGCTATATCAACAATTGATGAGCTGACAAAAAGCAGAGAAGAACTGCTTACTGAAAACATGAAACTGAAAGAACAAGTCGCTAGTTGCGAGCAAAAACAGAAGCATCGCACAACTGTTGCTGGAAAGGAAAAAGAGCTATCTGAAAAACTTCGAGAGCTGTCTATGAAACTTGAAGAGATGAAGGAAAGAGAAAAGCTAATCCAGAAGCATAATTATGAGATTAAGAAGACACTTGATGCAAAAGATCTTCAGCAACAGAAACTGGAAGAAGAAGTTAAAGTCCTCAATATAAGGCTGGAAACTAAGAAAGGTGAGGACAATAAGGCCATATCTAGCATGGATGCTTTGAAGAAAGAAGCTGAGGACTGGCAAAGAAAATTTGATGATCTTGCCTCTACCTTGTCCGATACTGAAGCTAACATAGAGATGATTGCTAAAAGGTCAGCAGCAAAAGAGAAAGATTTGGAGGCACAGAAGCAACATATAAAGGAAGAACTTGAAACTGCCAAATTTAAGCTGAAAGAAAAAGAGGCAGAACTGCTTTTGATGCAGAAAAGAAGTGAAAACAACGAATTGTTGTCTAAAATGGTTGATGAAAGGGCAGAAGAATTAAAAGCAAAAAATCAAAGTATCCAGCAGCTTGACAAGGAGAACAAAAAATTAGTCGATGAAACGAAAAAGTTGCAACGAATAGTTACTGAATTAAAGAGGAAGACAAAAGAGCTTGAAACAGACAACAATGAGTTGAAACAAGGAAAGGGAGTCTTCGAAAAGCAGCTGGAGAAGCAAAAGACAACATCTCGGATTCTCAAGAACACAGAGAACGATTTAGAGAAAGCATATGATGAGATTCATGAGCTGAAATCCGAGAAAAAAGAATTACTTTTAAAATGCGAGCAGCTTCAAACAACACTCAGTCAAATGGAGAATCACCAGACAGTTGAAACTGAAAAGTAAGTTAAACATAGAGCTTTAAAGATGTTTATAAATGTATTTTGTAGACATGCTTTATCTTCATGAACTTAGTCCACGTCTTTGTTCACGAAATTCCTTATTTAGTCTTTGTAGATATTCCGTAAAAGTTAATTAAAGCCACGAGAAGGGGACCTATCTAGTTATTTATGCTCGAGGGAAGGATGCTTAAAAAAGAGATGTCTGATAAATATCTTTGAAAAAGATTAATATTGACGCCTTTTATATTCTAATTTATTGATTATAGAGAATGTTGCAACCAAGATTTAGTCAATGAAAATGTCTTTATCTTCATCAGAATCTTTAAGGTCATTTAATGAGTCGGAAGAAAAAATGGGGCTTATTTCAAATTTGACAATAGGAGAGTGGCTTGATTATTTTCGCAGTACTTAAAATGGAGATGAAGAGGAGGGTTCTTTGGTGCTTATTCCAATTCTGATCCCAATCATATTTCAATATCTAGGACATTACAGTTTTAACTACGCCAATCCCTGTATACCATCATTCGTATCTGTACATATTAATCCATGTTGTTAGATGTTACTTTATCTTATGCCAATAAAAACGAGTAAATCTACTTGTTTGATAAACGTTTATAATTTTTTACCTTTAGCACTAAAGAGAATTTGGCCAACAAAGAGAGCTCTTCCAGTAGTTACGAATCTGACTTTGAAGAAGATAGCCATTCTTCGGAAGAAAGCAACAATGATGAAAGAACAAAATCAGTAAAAGATTGCGCCTCTGATAATAAAAAGTCAGCAGAAAAATCGAGTGAAAAGGAAGATGTGACTTTTGGCGACGATGACGCTTTTTTGGACATGTCCGAAGAAATTATGGAGTTTGAGGGCGAATATAATGTCACTGAAGACATTACAGTAGAAGAAGATTATCTTGCCAACCATCTCGATGAATATGATTTTGTTGAGGCTATAGAGCCAATGGAGGAAGATGAAAAGCAAGAGAAGAAACTTGGAGACACCCCCGTCAAGGACTGTACTCCAGCTGAAAAGAACACCAATGAAGTTAATCCTCACGAAAATCACGCTGCAAAAAGAGGACATGGGAGAAAAGAAGAGCAAAAAGAAGGTCAGGATAATGATATTTGTGATATTTTGAAGAACTAGAAATGGAAAACTTGTGATAGTTGTCACATTGTCTGTATATTTTTGTATTGTTATTAATTTTAATGACAGCTATAGTTGACCAGCGAACAATTTGAGGCTGTATTTGCTCGTCAAAAAATATGCATCATCATTCCGACACTAAAACGATAATAAAGAAGTTTAGAAGCATTTTAACAATTAGTTTCAGCAAAAACATGTTCACGTTTGCTGAATCAAGAACTGGCAAAGAGTTGTTCTTGTGGATTTGGATGATCTTTTTTACCATTTCCTTTTGACAGAAGTTAGTTCAAACAAGTTTGGAATCGATGAAGAAGAAGATGACATGCTTAGCTCGTTCGTGGCAAAACAAAAGACAAAAAAAACAAAATCATCTTCAAAGATCACAAAAATTCCATCTAAACAAAAGCAGATGGTTAAAGATTTGGGTTTTGACGACGATGTTGAAATCGATGATCTGATATCAGATATCGAAATGAGTGACGAGAGCCAAAGCAAAGGTGACAAAAAAACCAAAAAGGCCATTGGGAGTTCCAGTTCATTAGACGCATCAAGCCCCTCAGATTCAGGCAGCGACTCAGACACTGGCATCAAACCACAGCAAAGTGGACTTTTGTTTAGTCCATCTCTTACGTCACCAAAACCACTAGGAAGAAACATGCTGTTGCCTGCACTTCGGGCAAAACCAAGATCGTTGCCCTCTTTACGCAATTTCAAGAAACCAAAATTTTAATATACTTAACTTTCCAATTATTTGATGTTTCGAATTTTCAATATCTCAAATAATAAATCTTTTGTAGCTGCCATTTTTAACATTTGTATATAAAATTAAGTTTGTGTATGAAAGATTTTTCAGTCAAAAAACACGACTTGTTCTTGCTTAAGTCTTGGCTTCTTTACTTATTGAAAACGATTTTTCTTGCTTGGCAAATCAAAAAAAACCTATATCCAGTCAAAGTTCGGGCCTCGAACCTCCAACAGGGATTGGAAGAAGGAATAGAGGAGCAATCAACGAAACATTTAACAAAATATTTACTTCAATTCAGAACTAAAAATCTCGCCTTATTTAAGGGCTGTTCAATTTTCCCAACGAAGTGGGACATTTCATCTGACTGGGACATTCTAAATGAATAGGGCCATTTAAGAAATCCCATTTAAGTGAATGATCCCATTTAAGTTTGGCCATTTCATCCGACTATACACGTTCTAATGAGCGCAAATACGTTGTTACCACTCGTTAAAAGAAACAATCCTTACCTCATAGACTAGTTTATTTTTTTAATGATTTCCTGGTGGCAAGATCCCACAATATTACAACTTTGTCACGTCCAGCACTGTGGTAAACAAAATAGTGTGGTAAATGCTTAAAGGTAAAGACTCAACACAGAATACTAGGTCATAAAGCTGTTAGGACCATTGAATAGTTAACAATTAGTTTTGAAATTGGTTAGTTTTGCGATCCAACAGTATAGATTCTTCATATTATTTTCAAAGTTCATTTCATTCAGTCGCCCGTACTGACCCTGTTGTCCAATGATATTATCTTTATTACTCTTTTACTCCTAGATCCCTAGCTCCATTTAAAAATCATTATCTCAAACAGGCTTCTTCCTAATCGAGTATCCTAGGTAGTAGGTCTCTGAATCGCTGTTCCGACTTGAAGATACCAGGCAAACTTCATGACATGACTACCTGATCATTTTCTCTATGTCTTCCAAGAATAATAGAGAAGTGACATTACTGTAGTGGCCTTTTAGCGTCGAAATGCATCTAGGAATTATAAAGAATGAAACAATAATACATTTGCCTTGAGCTAATATAACTAAAATTTAAAGTGCGTGCTCATTTTCAAGTGATTTTCCATGGCTAGATTCTTGAATGCTTGTTATCTATAATAAAATTCCATTGAAAAAAACCTAACAAAAGTTAAAATTATCCAGTTTTCTATGCGCAAATGACCAAGCTCCACCCTTCTAAGGAAACCGCTTGTCGCCATAGACAACCCTACAACCTAAATTTCGCTAGAGATAACAAACTCACAACGTGCAGTACATAAACATAGCATTTGCTGCTTCTTTCGTCATCACTCACGTGCTAGTATTGAGATCCCAAATCCGAATGCAACTATCAGCTGACGATGAAAACAACATCAGTTTTGTCGGATCAGGGTGAAATTGCACCAAGCTAAGAAATAAGAATATAAATCAATATTAAGCACAACGGAAAACAATGAAGCTTTGATGTTGAATAAAAATTAAACTACCTTCTACATTCTCAGAATCATGTTTCAAGTTAATAAGACATATACTGGCCTTGAAAATGTAGAAAAGTGTCCATGAATAACGTGACTGTGTGCAATGAAACTCAACTCAAACCAATTTTACTCAACCAATTCAATTCAATTGATTTCATTCAACAATGCATTATGTTTAATATACTCTTGAAGTTGATATGCAATAAAATATCGTTTTTCTATTACATCAGACTCAACGACTGGCCAACGCTGCTTAATACAACTTGTGAGAGCCTCTGAAAGCCCTTAAATTTCTTGTATACAAATATTCTTAAAAAATCAGCTCTGTTTTTTCACCTGAAAGCAAAAATGAAGAGAATATCCGTCTAATCAATATTGGAGATAAGGATACTTATAAAAAGTCATTAAGGCAACTCGAATCAAAGTTTCAAAATTTCGACATGGTGAAAGAGATGAGACACAGTGTTAATATGTACTTTAAAATTCAAAAGCTTAAATGCCTAAAATACACCTAACAGTGTTGAAGAACTATCTGTACAGATTGCAGGCAAGCAGCATCAGTTTTCTGGATGCCAGGTAGGTTTTGAGAAAACAGTTTCACTTTTCCAAATCACAAATGGATAAAACTAAGGAGCAAAGAGTTAGTTCTGCATCATTTTCGAAGATATGACTCTTTGTTTATTAGCTTTCAACGCGAAATAGAATAAATGTTCACTCTCAAATTGGCAATTTCTTTGATTCTTTACAGATTTAATTCATCGCCATAACAATGGAACAGACTTCGGGGTCATTCAAAAAGTAGATTCCAATTTTGGGAACATCTATCCCCCTTGTTAGCATTAGATCGTTTGCTGCTCCAGCACCTTTTCCTTTTATTACATCACCTAGTTATCAAACAAGGGGCACGGAAATGGGAGAGGAGGCCACACAACTGTCATTGCATACTGGGATCTGCCTCGTACAGCACCATTTGCATATGTGAGAAAGAAAAATTTGACAGAATATTAATCTTTTTATTGGCGTTAGTTTGTAGCAATTGTTTGATATACCTGATCAATATGATTCAATAGATTGAATCTTCTTCTAAGAATCGATTCTATAAAGCGTTGCTTCTCCATTTATTTCTCGTTTTGATTGTTCCTTGAATGAATTGATGTCGAAACAGAAAAGTATAATATGCAGTACAAGTATTATCTCAGAAAAAAAAGTTTTCTTAATAGGGGGGGGGGGGCTCAGGGGAGCAGAAGGGGAGCTGCCAGTCTAAATTCTATATCTTTAGACTTTTCTACTCAAGTAACAGGTAGACAAGGTAGAGAAATTGGTATTTAAGGAGCCATGAAAACGAAAACATGTGAAACGTTCATTTTGTATAGAATATAGCGAAAGCTCCTTGCCCGCCACACTACTGGGCAAAATCCACTATACTCAGCATAAATCTACCTTCTCCTAGTAATGTACTTTACTGCACTGCGACAACACTAATTAACATACTGCACACTGCAGTTTGCTCAATATAGCGATGTGATTAGCTAAAATCATTAAAATAATGCGAATGTTGATACGTAACACATTTGTACTCTGTTGTCGGATCAAAAATGGACTGCTAGATTGTGTTTAGGATTGATTGACCCAGTCCCTTGACTTTGTCTCCTCCACAAAGCAAGTTGTCAAGTTTGAGTGAGTAATGATTCCAAGCAAACAAAAATAGAATTTTCCATAAACAAACCTTTCTGATGTAAAGCTGGATGTATTTTTGAAGTTAACTGTCAGGCGTGTGAATGGTGTGATAGGAAGGTTTTCTTTGTAAACAATGGTTTCATAAAACTTAAAATATTTGCAAGATAATACCGTAATGCATAAAGTAGATGTCTTTCTTTTAAAAGAATTCTACTCCTAAAAACCAACATCAGTATGAATACATCAAAGGGGTTTATTCTTTCTCGTTTTTACTTTCTTTGCGGTGCCAGTTTTTAAATGTTTTCCTATTTCTGAAGTCCTTCTCTTCTTCCCTGGGCCAGGGGATTTTTCAATCAAACTCTCATCTCTAACTATCGTAGTTTTGTGGTTCTAAAACAAAAGGATAAAAGTTTGTAATACAAAGGAGTTTGAAAAGCAAGGTTAATTATTTCCAAAAATATTGGAGAATTAATACAAGAGAAGGAATAACATATAGCAACTCAAATTCTTTCTACAAAAAATATTTTTTAAGAATATAAATATGTTATTTGAAGTAACGAAATATGCAGATGTAAATCGTTGCGTCACTTTCAACTTTATTTACCTCTTTGTTTTCTTCTTGACTTGTTTCTGTATCTAACGGAGAATCTCCTTCGCAGGGCTCACTATTTTGAGTTTTAGATTCATGAATCGTCTCCTCCGTTCCATCTGCAGCCTCACTTTGGTGCTGATCCCATGTATCCATAGCGATGGGATCACTGAGATGTTCTGTTTGCTGGTTATAAGCTTGGCCAACGGATTTATGGCTCTCGTTTTCAGCATTCATTTCTTCATCGATTTCCAACTGCTCAGATCTAGAAGAAGAAAAAGACAACTTGGCTCCTCGGAATAAGTGGGTAGTAATTAAACTGAAAATTCCTTGTTTTTCTGCACAGGTGTGCACTAGACTGCGAAAATACCATTTCAACTTTTTGCGAAAGGTAGTTAAGGGCATGGTAACTATTGATGTCACAAGAAACAAATCTTATTCACTCACGCTTTAGTGTCGACATCCTTGACAGAAAGTCGCATGGATTCCCATGTGTATTCGAGAAATGCCGATTGCTGCAGAAACAGACGGAAGAGTAATGCAAATGCTCTTTGACATGAATTTAATTGGAATTTTATGAAGCAATTTCAGTTTTTTTATTTATGTTATCAGACTTAAGTGAATCATTGATTTTAAATTTAAATTTTCTATTCAGTTTATATTTAGTAAAGAAATATTCAGAGGTCAATAAAATTTGAGAAAGTCTGTTTTTGTTTTATAGTACAAAATCGAGTGTAGATATGAATCAATAAGGGTATTGTATTAGCGGGAGAATGAGGCAGAATTTAT